CAGTTGGTGATTGTCCAATTTTTGTAAAAATTCAAATGCCGTATTAGAGTTGACATTTACATAAAAATTCCCCCCACCCAAAACTCTCCAAATCTTTTCCGACCATCCATATTTTAAATTCAAAATTTGAAACCATCAAAATTCAAAATTCAGCAATTCCAATGTAAAAAGCAATTAAAACAGCTGAGTCATTCCATTTCAAAATTTGAATTTTTATATCAAATGAGCAATTAAAACAGCTGAGTCATTCCATTTCAAAATTCGAATTTTAGATTAGATAAGTCATTCCAATTAAATGAGCAATCAAAATTCAAATTTCAAAATTCTAATGTAAAAATCTATTAATTCAGCTGACCAATTCCAATGTGATCGGCAGTAGGACACTCAATAACTTGTCTGCCACCACAAATGATCATTTATTTTTTGATTTAAAAAATAAAATTCGATTTTTAAAAGAAAGTTTTTATATGCTTTGAATTTAAAAAATTAAATTGAAATATTTAAAAAATGAAATTTCAAAAACAAAATCGAAATCATATTTTGAATTTTTAAATAGAAATCATATCTTGTTTTAAAAGAGCTGATCATTCCAATGTAGAATTCATGATCAGTTTGAATTTGAAATTTAAAAAGAGCCTCTCAATTTAAATTTAGAAATCATCATCATTAAAGTCTGACATGAAACAGCTCAGTGGGACAGCTGGGCATTGAATAAGGTGTCTTGCCAAGTGCTGTAAAAGCCCAACCTGCATACTTGGGAGTCTTGTTCCTTTGGCACTCTATTAATGTAGGATGAATATGGAAAACTTCTTCTAGCCAAGGAACATACACCATATCTCCTAATTCCATCTTTTTGTAATCCACTTGTTCTCCATTAACTTCAAAATTAGCTAACATATTAGCTTTAATTCCAATAGTAGCAGAATCTGCTACTGGAGAATCTGGAATTGGAGGAGCATAGGGATCCTCATAAGGAACCAGTGGAAGGAGGCTCATATGATCAAAATGACCATTGTGCTCAGTATGCTGAGGATCAAAATCATTGAAGACAGTTTGCACTTGGTCTTTTCTCTTCAACTTCAAAAACGCTAATATATCTTCATAGGCTCTTCTTAAAACGATTCCTCTACATTTCATTGGGGAATCAAATGAAAAAAGCTGGCCTATTGATAACATCATCTTGTGTAGTAAGAGAAAAAAAAAAGCAATCAATGCATCATACAACATATAACAAAAAAACATACAATATAACTAAAAGTTGACTACATTAATCAAATTAATTTAAGGGACATTATATCACTGATACTTAGCTGTAGAGCTTTTCCTTCCTCACCTTGAATATTTAAGAAGTGTGATATACAATGATACAAAAGTAAACCCAAAGACCTCAACTTCATCCCACAACTTCATCCCACAACTTCATCTCAGAATAAAATGCATTTACTATGCTTCTTATCACAATTGAGAAGAGAAGCATAAATACACTAAAGTATAAAATAATACTAACAGTTTTCATGGAAATAGAAGTCATTGCAGTTCAATGGAAACAGAAGTCATCTCAGTTCCAATGCCAAAAGTACATCAAAATTTAAAGCAACTGACCTTGCCAGCTTTTCAGAAGAACTCATATACATCTCTCTCTGTTGCTTTTAGAGGCATCTGTGATCACCACATAGCAAATTAGGCAATCATAAAAAAAAGACACCAAATATCCAAATATGTTATAGACATTAATAATATTCAAAACAAACAAAAAAAGAGCATCCAATCAACCTAGTAAGCAAAAACAGATCTCTGATCCCTTTCTGGGTCTGCCTCGGGTTCCACAGCCTCTTTCTTATCCCGAAATCTCCTGCAACTCAAATTAAAATTAAGCTGTAAGAAAAAATAAGTAGAAAAGTTCGTAATAGTTGAATTTGATATTATGATAATATAATCTCTATCTCTCTCCAAAGATATATTATTTATATTATGGTCCAATACGGCACCTAATGTTGAGAGGAAGCAATGTCTCAAAATCTTACTGTCAATATAACTTCTAGCACAATGCCAAAAATACATTGCTAAAATTACAGTCCAAAATGTTATACTATGTCTCAAATTCTCACCGTATCCATTATTCCAAAGCATATTTTGTCGATATAAGAGTCCTCCAAAAACAGCACCTCATAATCATATAACAATATGCATACATACCAGGGTATATGAGAAAATCCCTTAGCATCAAGTAGAATAGAAATGCAAGAGAACCTGTTGAATTGTTTGAAAGTAGAAATCACACCAGAGGCGCAATCACAAAATTTAAAACATTAAAAAAACACTTGATAACTCTGAATGAGCAAGACTGGGTATAAAAAAGGAAAAACATCAGTAAATGCATAACTGTAATTAATACATACATATAACATACCTACAGATAAATAGAAATACAAAACTAATAACCTAAATGATGCGAGGTTCCAACCTTGTATCTCTTGTACTCAGGCATTTATATTAGAATAGAACAATTGCGCCACTTAAAGACATACCTAAGGGCCCACAGACGAAGGTAAGAAGCTGTATTAGACACTGCTCCAAGTACAAATTCTATGGTGTGAATGAGTTGATGTACAAAGATTTCACTGAAATCAAATTCCTTATGAACATGAGAATCATGACTTGCCTCCACTTGCAAGCTCTCCTCTGTGCTTTCGAGTGGTATATAGGATTCAACTCCATGCCTCTGAAGTAACATAACTATTAGAACCAGAACAATGTTCTGAGAACATAGGTAAAAGTTCCATATTAGAACAAAAAGAGAACTTGAAGTACAAAAGGAAGCATACATCTTGATGTTGCTTCTTCAAAATAAAAGGTTTTGGCAAAAGCATCCAAGGCACAGCGACAACAGCTAGAAGCAAAAGCACAAGCTGGTAGGAACAGAACAAAGCGCGTAAGTATTATTCTTACAGAAATACACCAAAAGGTGGGGGGAGGGGTGTTGGGAGTTAACCAACCTGCAGATTTTTCTGACCAACAAAGAGTTGGTTTTCACCCAAATCATCTGTCGGGCTCAGGAACATGTAGATCATTACATGGTACAAATCAGCTTGAGAACCAGTGACCCACTTCCAAATAATAAGAAGGGATAGGTAGTCAAATAGACTGTTAAGAAATATCATCTAGGGAATGAATTGGAACCTGAAAGAGGTGAAATATTGAAATGAAAAATTACATTAATTTTAAATCAGTAAGCAAGTTCCTAGTGATCAAAATTCAAAAGAATCAGAGATTTGATTCCAGATGTGAATAACCGTGCTAAACATAAGTGAAGACAGTCAGGGAACTCACCTTGCTGAGATTTCAAGGAGTGAGTCCACGGGACTCGGTGGTGACAGTGCTCCGTCAGGAAGCGGCAGAGGTGATCAACAGACATGGAGGAGGCGCCAGCGGCCAAGCGATGGAGATGGTCCTGTTCGTCGAAGAGAGCATCCGTGATGGCAGTGTTCTTGTGACAGGGTTTCGATTTTTTTTTAGACGAATTGTTGACAGGGTCAGTATTTGCTGAAATGAAATACTGGAGGAGATGAAATTGGAAATGGAGATGAGGTCGGTCCTGTCGCGATCGTACAAATCGAACGCATCGCGGAGCTTGGCGGCATCACCGTGCGGCGATTCTGAGCTTGCTATTCTTAGCACACACGGAGAGAGAGAGAGAGAGAGAGGCGGTAGAGAGATTATCGTGCTCAATTAGTTAGATCGTGCTGATAACGTGTATATTTTGCAATTCATAGAATAGTGAGAATGTTTGTATATTTTGTTAAACGTTTGACAATTTCAAGAAAGCAGGTGAACATTAACTGAGTTGCCAGTTTTTAAAAATTAAATTTAAATTTTGAACTACAAATTTCAAATTTCAAAAAAAGATGAGTTGTGTCCCAATAAAAATGAAAACAGATCTGCACCATTGATTTTAGGTAGCAAATCGTGGCCATCAATTTTGAGTCCAGTTTATAATTTCTTTTTTAATTTTTTTATTCCCTGAATTACCAAAGAAGGAAACTTTTTGAATTGTGTAGTGTGAAAGCAAACACGTGTCAGAAGGAGAAGCAGCCACGTGTCAGAAGTTGCCAAAGAATGGCTTTGTCTTAGAATATAAGATAGTATAACTTAATGTACTTCCAAAAATACATAGTATAGTTTGTAAGAATTTATAAATAAAAAATTTGTAAATATAAATCATATATATATATAATTAAATTAAACGTGTGAAAACCATGAGAACATTGACCGTACTAACACGCTTGTGATTAAAAAATACTGGTATGTCACGCTTTAATGAAATTTTGCTAAAATACCACGTAACATTCGCTACGCCACCCAACGAGAATGGATTGGACACGTGGTCAACCATTCTAGCTAAGCAGCCCAGCGAGAATGACAGTATGCTGGCACGTGACAAAAATACAGGCATTCTCGCTGGACAGCCCAATGAGATTAGTTACCTGAACAGCTTTTGCAGATAATGTTTGTACTTTTGCCACGAGTCAACATCTTATCATTCTCGCTGAGCTTCTCAGATAGAATGGTTGACCATGTAGATGCCGCTGCTACATGTCCCGTCTATTCTCGCTGGGTGGCGTAACAAGAATGTGATATCGCATTCTAACAAAAAAAATGTTCCTGACGATAAAATTTTGCCTAAAAAATGAAAAAATGATCATTGTCCCGAAGACCATGTCAAATCTCATTTAGATACTATGCCAAGAATTAAATACATAATTTAATACAAATTACCTTAATCGTTTATCACTGTACCTAACTCGATGGCTTTGACCATGTAAAATTTGGGATTTGACTAGAGTGTAGATTTTTTTAGTTATAATAAACATAGACGCGAAGACCTTGAATCCAAAAACCCAGCCTCTTGAGTTTCAGTTTCAGTGCTTCACACAATTAAGAAGACGTCGATCTCTCTCTTTTTCCCGTCCAAATCTGATTCAGAATTATCCTTTTTATTATTAGAAATTGAAATTCCCAAACACAGACACACTCTTCATCTGTATCGCTGCTCCTTGCAATTGCATCACTATGATTCATAGTCTCTCTCAGTCGATGCAGCCTCGCGGTTTTACCCAAAAGGTTTGACAACTACAACAACAATAAATCTCATCTTTTTCATCAATCGATTCTTAGATTTTTGATTGATCGCTATCTGCGATCCCCTTTTGAGCATCTTTCTAGGGTTAGGGTTAGGGTTAGGGGATCGGTTGCTTTTCTAAGATCCCTTTTCGAATTACCAAAATTCGACCAAAAGGGTATTTAGGGCTTGCGATTGTTCAGTCAATTAACCATGCAATATAGACGGCGCGAAGAAGAGCAGGTTGCACTGTCTCCGTCTTCGAAGTTGCGCGCCCAGAACCGACTCGAAGCGGGTCCTGACCCGTCTCGGAGAAATCGGCGCGATGGGTCGGATCGGTCTCCGGTGCAGCAGAGGAACTTGAGCCCTGTGAAAGTGGGTGCGTTGAGAAGGATTGCTGGTGTGAACAAAGGGGGTGGTGATGGGTTTGAAGGGAGGGATTATGATTGGCATTTGGGTGGTAGAAGGAGTGGTAGGGTTCGGTCAAGGTCGCCTCCTGCTGAACAAGTGAGGAAAAGGTCACATTTTGATGATGGGGTTGGGCACAGAAGTTGTTCACCACCACCTCCACCACCACCACCACCACCTTTGGGGTTGAGACCAAGATATGAATTGTCAAAGACCAGGGATTACAGTGGTGATGAAGACTTGGATGCAAAGCGTGTCTACCTTAATAGAGAGAAGGACTTGATTGGAAGCAGATTAGGTGGTGGGCAAGGCATGGTGGATCAGAAGTTTGTGATACGTGAAAATGAAGTAGGAGATTCATATAGGTCAATTCCAGACATGGGTGCAAATGTAACATCACGATATGAAGAAGCTGATGGTCACTTACCTCAGCCGCCAAGGATGGTGCCCATGGGGAGATTTGAGCATGAAAGACTGCAGCACCGAGACCCTCTACCTATGGATAAGATACCCATCACAGAATCCCAAACTGGGGCAGAAAAAACTATATTGCATGCAAGGGACGTTTCATATTCCAAAGTATCTCCCTCTTATACAAAAGATTTTGCAGGCACTTCAGACTTGAGGGATTATGGAAGCTCCTCCATAGAAATGTCAAGGAGTGATTTTCTATGCTCGCGTGGTGATGGCGTCTGTTTTCCTACATCTTATGAACTGTCAAGGAGCAGCGGAAAACTTCCAGAACATGTAGGTTTAAGTGGACATGGGCAAAGGCCAGTTATAGACACTACTAGAGGTCCTGAAATCGGGCAGAGGAATATGATGTGTCATCAACAATGTGAGTTTAGTCCTACCAGGACTAAGCATGCTGATTATCTTAATTCCAAATTACAGGTAAGAGCAGCACAGGATGAGCGTTATTATCAGTATGATGATTTACCTAGAAGGATAGCTCCTCATGGTCGAATGGACTATGAGCAAGCTGTAATGGAATATGATAATAGGGAGGTGTCCAGACATTATATCTCACATCCAAATTTAGATAGGACTGGTAAGAGTGAAGATTCTTACGGCAATCAAAGAAGGGGTGTTATACATGACCACCTTGCATTACAGGAGCCAAAGTATTTTGACTATCAGGATATGAGAAGAACATCAATTGCATCGATGCAAGGTGAGGCCTATCTGCGTGCTGGATATAATCATCTTGAAATTGGGAAGCGAATGCCACAAGAGTATGAAGTTTCATATCTGGATGCACAAGAGGCGGATCAATTATCAATTTTAAGAACAGAATATGACTCTCGAAGAGATGGAGGTCCAGGGCTTCAGCAAGAAAGGTTTCAAAGTTCACCCTTGTCTAAACATAATTCAGAAACTTACAGACAAGCTGTCAGAGTGCAGGAAATGAAACAGGATCTTGGCATTCATGACCGTTCAGATAGAATTATGAAAAGAAAATACAATGCCAATGATGAAATAGATGTACATGAGTTGAGAACAATAAAATCAAGTAAATGGGGTGCAACTGAAGAATTTCAAGATGTATATGAAAGTGGAGAGTGGGTAGAAGATGAAGATATGAATATGGTGTATTCATCTGGTAATATTGGATTCAACCATAAGGCATGCAGGAAGTATAAGAAAGAATACAATGAGTTAGAGAATGAAGATGATTTTCCATCTGATGAGTGGATATTACCTCAAGATTCTATGGAACATGCACATTCATTTCGATTTCGGAAGTATTCCAATCAAAATATAAAGCATCATTCAAAGTCTAGTTCTTCAAACTGGTATAAATCCCAGCATATTCCTAAAAGAAATGCAATTCATAGACAACCTAAAGTTTGGAAAAAGTATGATGGTTATGAGAATAAGCATACAACTAATGATGAATCATCTGAAGATTGGATAAATGCAGCAGAATCTGAGCCACCTGAAGGCTCTGAGGAGTTTATCCAAATGGTACATGAGAATTTCTTAATGTACTCCAAGAAGTTGAATCTGAACTCATACGTCCAAAGAAGGTACCTGGACCAAGGAAAAGCTGGTAGTTTGTACTGCATCGTTTGTGGCAGAAGGTCTGTTTTCTTATCTATGATGCTCTTTTATTACATGGAGCACTTCTGTTCACATATTGAATCAGGAGTTCCCTAGTATTTAACTCACACGTGGAGTCAAGTACGTGTGATATTATTCTTGGGATCACGTTTTTGGTTCTCACAACTTTGGAAGTATAACATGTTGGTATCTGTATTTGTTGTACTTTGTTATGGGGGATGCCTGGATTGATTGATAGCACCAATCCCCCATGCCAATAGGATCGAACATATGGTAAACTGCTCTGCAGATGAACATGAGTCAAAAAGCTAGCGGAGTGGTGTCTATGCTTTTGAAAGATGGTGAAAAATAAATTTAAATTTACTGCTGTGTTGCATGGTTTTAAAGTTGGGGTAGAATTTTTGCTAGAGCTGACATCTAACTGTATTTTCAAATAAATGTAAATAATTTGTGTAGTTATTTTAGTCTTTAGATGCCTATGACATAGCATACTAATTATATTTAGGAATAAAGAAAAGACAGCTAGGATAATTTGAGATAAGAAAAGTTTATGTGTCTTCTGATCTTCAGAGGGTAATTGAGTTTTAATTATTGACTTAGAACTGACAACCACAAAAGTATTCCTATGACCTGCCATGACATGGTAATGATAGGAGAATACTGCTAGGTTGAATTGCCTTTATTTTTTTAGGATACCTGGTCAGGGCTGTAATTTTGGGTTTTAGATTTTTAGAGGAAGAGAATGGAGGCTTCAGATGTTCGCAGAGAAGTGCTGCATTTGTGTAACAAGTAGGACTAATTTGAATTTCGATTTGTATATAATGAGGTTTTAAATGATTTTTCTTCTAAGCATTAATCTATTAAGTATTAATCTACTGAATCAATTAGCATTGGTTTTTTTCAACATTTACTTTTTCTGCTTGAGGGGATTTATGATTGACACAACCAAGTTGCTAATCTTAGGTACTCCTTAGGAAGTTGACGATACACAAGCAGACATGCATCTGTTATTACTTTGATCAACAGATTAGAAAGTGAACCAAAAGGCTAATTATATATGCTACATTCGTTGATGCATGCAAAATGATAATTTTGAGGTTATTTCCGATAGTGTTGGGAGAGTATTATATTCCAAATGTTATTTATGCTTGAGAGAATTTTATAAACTACAAGTTAGCTGTAAGTTTTATTTTTTAAGATGTAAATATAACTTATATTGCATGAGGCGTAACATGTTTATTGTCCTGCTTATCTTTATTTATGTTGCAGCTCCTCGAAGGAATTCATGGACACTCAACGCCTAGTAACTCATGCTTTTATGTCCCATAAGGCTGGGCTGAGAACAAAGCACTTGGGTCTTCACAAAGCAATCTGTGTTCTGATGGGATGGGATACTGTTGCTCCTCAAGATACAGTAACTTGGGTTCCCCAGGTCTTGACCCATACAGAAGCTTTGGCTCAAAAGGAGGATTTGATTCTTTGGCCTCCTATTGTTATCATCCATAACATATCGATGTCTGATGACAATCCACAAAACTGGCAGGTTGTAAGCATGGAAACAATTGAGGCTTTTCTAAGAGGTGCGTTTGTGTTTGGATGTTGTTTTTGTCTAGATGGTATAATAGATAGAAAATTGTTAGCAAAACATGCAGAGGTTTGAAACTCAACTTTGCTAAGAGGTTAACGCATGGAAGCAATTGAAGATTTCGTAAGTGATGTTTTTATGTTGTGATACTGTGCAATAATAATTATTCAAACTTCAATATAATTTTTAACGAATCACATTTTACTTAGCTTTATGCTTTAGTTTGACTGCATACATAAATCATCTATTTGATTGTGCACGTTTAGCATAATGGAAATGAAATTTATATCAAATGAAACTTTGGCCCTTGCTTGGAATCTTTACTCATTAGTTGTTGCCTTGTGAAAACTGTGCTTGGCAATTTTTTGTTTTATATTGAATTTTCAGGCAAAGGTTTTGTGAGAGGAAGAATCAAATTATGCTTAGGGAAGCCTGCAGACCAAAGTATTATTTTGGTGAAGTTCCTGGGCACGTTTGTTGGGCTGGGAGATGCGGAGAGGCTTCAGAAATATCTTTCTGATAGTAATCGTGGGAGAGCTGAATATGAGAAAATAAAATCCGAAGGTATCAAAAGCTGCAACATCAGAGAGAGAGATCAGGGAGATGAAGTGGAGAATATTCTGTATGGTTATGTGGGAATTGCAGATGACTTGGACAAACTAGATTTCAATAGCAAGAAATGGAGTATGGTAAAGAGCAGGAAGGAAATTGAGGACCTTGATAATGCTCCTGTTAAAACCGATGAGAGACGATAGATAACAGTATGGTTGAAGAACTTCTCAGGAATTTCATGGTCCCCTCATGCTATAAGAATCGAGCGTGCTAATTGCATAATTTGTCTTTCCCTATGCTTATGTTAGTAGTTTTTGTATATGGGTCTGGAACTGGAATTTCAATCAATTGTCCTTTGTAAGAGGATATATGTTTTCAGTTTCGTAATGTTACAACTGAACCTGACTGAAAGCCAATGCAGAATGCTGTGCTTCTGTGCTGAGCAATGTAGGCTTTTGTTTTGGGATGAATGTCACCAATGTTCTGAAAATACTATTATGTTTAACTACAAAAGCCAAGGAGGTTAAGACTGGTCACTTAAGCTATCTTGGAATTTACATAAAATGTATTTATTTATTTGTGTTATGAAATGAATGAATTTTACCAATTTTACTAGGTACTGTTTGTTATTTTTAAAATTTTAATGTGTTTAAATCAGTTTATTATAATATTTCATTATTACTGACAATTTATGAAGACATTAGTGATTAGATACAGGATGCATCTTGTATCTCTGAAATTAGAGATACTCAAGGCAATAATTTTATATCATGTATCTCTAAAATTTTAGGGATACAGGATGCAAAATTATTGCCTTGAGTCTCAAAGAAATATTGTCACGTGCCATTTTGGCTCTCTGCGTCTATCAGGTAAACAAAGAGTACGAGCCCGTTCGTAACATATACAACTCTTTTGACTACGTGGAGGTGTTGCTATCCCTATCCAGATGACTTTGCATGAATTTCTTCATGAAACACCCCCTTCAACAAATGAAGAAATAAATTACTCTTCTTTTAATTGCTCTACCAAATCAATTCCCTATAAGGATTCCAAACCTAGCTTATTTTCTGTGCATCAGAAGTATAAAGTTATATATACTCAGAAACGGAGTGAGGTTTTAAAATACTGATATATACTACTTGTCCAAAAATAAAAAAAATATGGGATATGGATGAAAATAAATATATTTGATAAAAGGAGTACCGAAAATATTTTCCCCAAAAGCTGGTAATTTGTATGTCAATCTAATAAAAACAAAATGGAAAACTTAAAAAAAAAAAAAAAAAACCTCTTTTCACCTGTTTTCCTTCCTTTGAAGGAGGGGAAGGATGAAGTGTGGCTGTTATATTATACAATCCTTAGATAAATTCAAACAAATAACCAATGAAATAGTGATCATTTTGTCACGCCTGGCCAAAAAAATTACCAGATTGTCACGTCAATAGTAAATTTTCTCAGAATGCCACATGAGATAATTTGCTACACTGTGTAGCGAAATATGCTTGCAAATAATTCGCTACACAATGTAGCAAATTATGCCACGTCAGAATACACAGTCAACAAGAATGACACGTGTCAAGCAGGACATAATTCACTACACTATGTAGCAAATTATGTTCGCGGATGATTTTTTGACACACGGCGTACTTTTGCAAGAAAAAGCTGACATGTCATAATTCGCTACCACTGGTAGCGAATTTGATCTGCAATATGACCACGTGTCACGAAATTATTGGTCACGAAATTCGCTACCAGTGGTAACGAATTATGACATGTGGCAGTCTGATAAAAAATACTGTTCGCGTGGTATTTAAATAAAAAAATTGACAAAACGTGACATTTTGGTGATTGTTGCTCTTTTTCTTCTATCCAAGTTAAACATTTTTTCTTTATTGGAACAAGATAACTTCTTCTTTAAAGAAATGGTAAATATTCCCACACTAATATGCACAACAATAATTATCATCTCAAATTGGATAACTTGGGAGGATATATGAATGCCAAACTAAAGATGTTGGACGCTAACCTCAATAACTATATACAAGTGAAAATTCCAGACTGCAACGAAAAAATACATAGAAAGCCAAAATACTACTTATCTATTCTAGCAATTAATGGTACAGAAACCTTTATAAGTGTCTTTCTATCCTCTCTTTTCATTAGTATTTATTCTTTCTCTGTGTTACTTATCTCTTCTGGAAATTAAGGAACTTGATACCGTATGCAAATACAAAAAGAAACAGTGCAGCAAAAGCAATTTGAGCCACTGCAGCAACTCCAAGGAAGCTATATTTATAGTCCATCTGTTTCTCAAGGTATGCTTTTAGTGATATTGTTCCAGATCCAGGTACCTCAATTGGAGTATCATTGTCACCCATCTGGGATGTCAATAGACCATATATAGTCCAAGAAGTTGGGCACGCCCAGTAATACCACCTCCACCATATTGGAATTTGCTGCAAATGTGAAAAGCAGTTAATGGATTTAGTTTGTCTAAGCTGTTGATGAAGGACTTGTGGTTTAACAAACAATTAAAATGTCCTGGATCCTAGGAATATCAAAGTTCAAAACAAGGGCATCCCAGTGCTACCACTTGAGTCAGCACTTGATTTTTCTAAGTTAGGGAATATGGTGAACACACGTAGGTGTTTAATTTTATTAGTGTGTGCATAACTTTTAAGATTATAAACGGATCAGTGAAGTTGAGACACCTGATTGTCAAATTTTAATTATATATCATATAAAAGATATTTTGTTTTTTTAAGTATGGGCTAAGTTATTTCTGGTTAGAAGTGTACATGATCAATATACTATGATGAAAGAAAAGGATAAGTTAAATGTTAAGAACTATAATACCGAGTTCTTCATGAAGATTCTCAGTTATCAACTTAGAATGGATTGCAAAAATATTTTAATATGTGCACTTAATGTGTGAATGAACTATATTCCTTAAACAATGTAGGCTAATGTGCAATTTGCTTTGTTACTCTCTGGCTATAAATATATTTGATCTTTGCTTTGTTATACATACCGATTTTGGAATAAGGAAACCAGAGAATATGTTCCACAACACTAAAAAGAAGGACATAACAATTGCAGCAATTTGGTGATTTGGTGTCAGCGCCACAGTCATCATTCCGTAAAGTGTGAAGTAGATGAAGGACATGCATATGAAGTAGTAGAACCAGAAGAACTTGTCAACTTGCCAGAGGAACCCAATCATTGAGTAAAGGATAAGACTAAAGGCCAATGTTTGGATTGCAACATAAATACATTCTATTGCTACCTGCAAGGCAATGCTTGTAGATTCCATAAATTTGCTCAATCACTGGGAATTAAATTGTCAATAGATTTTGCCTTGTTTTAAGTGAAAGGATCAGCTGCATTTACCTGAGCTAATGCATAAGGGAGAGCTGAGTACATTCCAGCCGCTTTTTCACGGTAGTAGACCATTCTTTCTATTGCAACTACCGGTTGAACAGAGTTAGTGTTGAGGGATCCAACAAAGAAAATAGCAGTATACATAGCTCCCATTAGATTCATAAGTTCTTGTTCCGTTTGTCTGCAGAGAAAAATTTGTCCTCATCTAGGTCACGTACATGAGTGTGAAAGTAGACCTTTCTTTTTTCTTTTTGAGTATGTTGATAAATACATTGTTGGTGTCTTTTTAACCAAAATGAAAAACGGATAAACAAGAGTTCCTTTAGATGGTTATGCAGTTTTATGATGACTGTTGCTTAAATAAACTATTTGACAAGTATTGATGATTCCTACCAATATTTCAACTTTACCTTGCGACCAGAAGATCACGGTTCGAGCATACAAAACAGTCTCTTTGCAAAAGTGAAAGGGTAAGGCTACATACAATCGATTCTCGCCCTTACTCTCGCAAATTAGGAAGCCTTGTGCACTAGGTTTTGCCCCCTTTTTTTAACTTATTTTCTCTTTCTTTTTAAAATTTCAATAAAAAGTATCATCCAATATGAATAAAACTGTAAGTTGTTCCATTACTGTCCAACCAGGAACCTATGGTACCCTTTATCATACTTGATTCATGCGCTTTCCAATCAAAAGTTAAAAGTTACCAACTGTTTCTGTTTTTTAAAGTACAAAACTAACAAGGAGAACATGTGGACTTACATTTTATCTCCTTTTTTCCAGAAAATGAGTCCAAAAATAACGCCTGCAGATATTGATAAGAAGAAACGGATGGCATTATACTGTGGGTTCTTCCAGTAGGATGATCGCTGTTTCCAGAAGCAAGCTTTACATTGAGTAATGAAGGACTGGGAGTATTGAGTAGCGAAATTAAGGTCCTTGGTTCCCTGTAATGGTGTGCTTAGCTCTTTAATAAGTTCTTGATTCCTCCTGAAAAGAGTTGATGTAAAAAATGAAAAAGAGAAGGCCATGTATAATTTCAGATTAAAAAAAGGGAACAGTAGCAGTACTGTGGGAATGCAACTCCAAGTAATACTTAACTGGTACAATTCTGACTTAGTGTACAATTCTGCAAAGTCTACACTAAGCTGAGACTCAACTGCTGGAGAACTGATCTCCAACATCCATGTGGCAGGATTATATCCATCTTTGATTCTCGGAACTCCTGGAATAGCCTGCAAAAAGTTGCACATAGTTTGCAAGATTACAGAATTTGAGAATTTTTTTGTGTTTTGCAATGCAGAAGTCATACCTCAAAGTACTCTATAAGCTTCTGAGAATGTTGACCAAGGGGACCACTATATATGATTTGTCCTCCTCTCTTCATCAAAAGCAACTGAAGGAAAGATGAAATTGAGAAAGCATTGTGTCTTCATAACTATCATAAAAATAAACGTTTCATCTTCCAAATCTTGGGAATTCATACCTCATCAAAAGATTCAAATATGTCAATGCTTGGTTGATGAATTGTGCAGACTACAGTTCTCCCTGTATCCACTGTATTTCTGACAGTACGCATAACAACTGCTGCAGCTCTAGCATCAAGGCCTGAGGTCGGCTCGTCCATAAAGATGATAGAAGGATTGGCAACCAATTCTACAGCAATGGTGAGTCTTTTCCTTTGTTCAGTTGATAAACCATCTATGCCAGGAAGGCCTACTAGAAAATTTCTCACTGGATGTAGTTCAACAAGTTTCATAACTTCCTCAATGAACATCTGTAACACAGAGAGGCTGTTTAAGAATAATTCTGTTCATAACAGTTACATTGACAGAGATGATTTAGCTGCATCTTTATTATAAAGTAAAGCACGGTGCTAGAGTTGAGTGATTAGTGATGTAGTGTGAATGTGTGATTGAGCATATGCTCCAGTTGCTTTAACCTGTCACATTAGTTTTATGTAGCTCTACCCCAAATGAATATTATATGATCTCTTTCGTTTTCAAATAAGAACGTAAGATTCTTACGGATCAGAACCAGCTCCTAGCATTTCACAACTAAATCAAAGGACAACTCTTACGGAATAACTCCCATTTACTCCTAAACAACTGAAATCTCTGCGTAAGTGGTTGCTTCAACTTCAAAGAAGTGAATGGATTTCCATTTAATGATTTCTTAGAGACACCTGGACTAAGCTCAGGTAGTTGGAATGGCCAAGGTAGGATTAGGGTAAGTACTTAGGTACAAGTAGGGGGTGTAAATGAGTCACGGCCGTTCGGCATACGTTTATTTAGTAAAATAGAACAAATTCAAGTCTTAAAAAAAGTCCGTTTAGAAAATAGGTCTCAAGCCTACTTTTACAAGGCTTAGCCTACAAGCCTACAAGGTCAGTTTATATCAAATTATTTATTTTTATTAAAAGAAAGTAATTATTTAAATAATTTTAATTGATACATAATAATTATGGGTTAGCATCATTTTACACAAGTGTAAGTTACACTCTCAATCTTGACCGTCAATTTCACTTCTATTTAATGGCTCTAATTTTTTAGTTACGTGAGCCATTGGATATAAGTGAATCAATGGCCAAGATTGAGTGTAAGACTTTTTATTCTTACATCGGTATAAGAATAATCTGCCCCATTATTTTATTTTATTTCTAATTCTTGATAGGTACTGAAGGCTTAATAGGCTTAAATAACTAACTGGATCGAATAAAATAAGGAAAAGAGGGGAAATAGAGGAATTTGGCCCAAAATACTCTGAATTTTCTGTATTGATAATAGAAAACTGATTACACCTATGTAAAAAGGGAAATTGCTGATGATCTATTATAGTAAAAGGAGCAAATGCAGAACAGAAAAATAGCTACAAATTGTGTAAGAAAAGAAGAACAATGAACAACTAAAGATGCAACACTTTCGAGAGGTGTGCTCTCTCCCAAGCCCAATTCCAAATCTAGCCTGCCTCTACGTAAGCCTTACCCCTAATATACAACAAACTCCCCTAATAGAATTTACCCCTTCCTCAGACATTGTTCCCACTTGGTCAACGTCAGCACCCTCTCTCTAACTTCTAACAGAATTGTCATCTAGAATATTCTTTGCAATAGGTGAGTCAGCAAGGGTTGTATCAGGCTCAAACAAGGCCTTTTGATTTTCTAATATAGGCCAGACCAGACCTATAATTTAGCTTACACCAGACTACTAGGTCAGGTCAGGCTCAAAACATTTTACAAAGGTCCAGCCTATTTAGACCAAAGTCTAGTTTGACCCAACCCATTTAGTGCCTTACAACTGTTAATATGAATCTAGCAATGTCATGCACCTCTTGGGAAATTTGCTTTAAAAAGAATATATGAATCTTACTACCTGACATCAAGGAGCACTAGCCTGTATATGTCAACTCTGATACAACATGAACCCCCCCCCCCCCCCCCCCGCGCGGAAATTAGCACATGCTCATGCTGGTGGAACTTGGACCATGGTTTGACCCTATCCATGATCTTAAAGGATGAGAAGTTCATAAAAAGCAAAGGTCACTTTCATGTCTCTGATTATGGAGATTGGCAAATACATTGTTTTGTATAAATAGAAAAGAGCCCATGAGAAAAAGAAACTGGGGTTGGAGGGTGGAGTTCAATACGAGAGGTAATAGAATAGTGCACACCTTCTGTCTTTCTCTCTTGACCTCCTTACCAAGACGCAGCCAAGCAGAAAACACAATAGATTCATAGACTGTCACATTTGGAGAATGGATATCATTTTGTTCACAATATCCACTAATCCTAGCAAAAGTTTCTTGTTTCTTTGGGAAACCAGATAAGCTGATGCTGCCTTCAATATAACCACCAGTTTTTCTTCCAGCAAGAACATCCATCAAGGTGGTTTTTCCAGCACCTGTTACACCTACTAATGCTGTAAGTACTCCAGGCCTGAAAGCACCACTGACATCTCTTAGTAATTGGAGGCGACTCTCTTCAACTCCTTGTTTCTTCATTTCCTGGTATGAAAACACTGTTAATGACATCGTAAAGATATCAGGGGATTAATATAAATCAGAAAGTAGTTAACAAACAAAGATATTTATCACAGGTAGGAGAATAGAGCAGTGAAAAACAAATGCTGAGGTGAATAATAATTGGAGATGATTAAGATGAGACTAGAGAATGCAGAATTTACAGTTGGCATGTTGATGTAGTAATTCACGTGATCAAAAGCAAGTGATAGGGGCCTAAAGGGTAACACCATTCCGCTCTTGGTGGTTGTAGTGTCTGCTTTGGGAATTGAACTCTCTGAGGTGTTTCTTTCTGCCATATCAAAGACTGTATCTAACCGTTAGTTTGCAATTGAAAAGGAAATATATTATAGCTCGAAGTTATTTGGTGTGATTTTCAACCTTTAAGCAAGACACAAATGTTGAAAACATGACAAAATCCTAGGAGAACACCAATAGAAAAAACATTTCAAACCGTGCAGGACAAAGAAACATTCTGATGAAACCAAACTATACTTGATAAAAGATTGAAGCGAGTATTTTTCTGACAGCTTGCTATGATATATACTATTAAGTTAACATGTTTGTATGTTACCAGCAAGAAAGTTTAGTTACTGAGAAGAGGAATCTTTTTACAGTATATTGACAAGAAAGAAAAAGGTAAGATTTAGTACGTTCAAATGATTTAGCAGTTGAAGTAGAACTCTCTTCTGTAGCTTCCGTTTTCTTGTTTTCCTCCTCCACAACAATAGATTTAGAATCTCCAAATGCTGCAATTCAACTTTAAGACCTTGTTAGAGACAATCTTATAGTAGTAACAGAAACAAGCAGTGTGGGAACTTACGATTCAGAAATGTCAGAGCAACAATAAAACAAATGTTGAAAAACAGAGAAAATCCTAGGAGAGCACCAATACAAATCCAGTACCAATAGTCTTCTGTAAACATGCCTCTAGCCCTGAGAAGAGCCTTCCCAACTGTGGGCTCAGGAATTCTTGGGTCCATATTGGGCTGCAAAAGAAGATAAATGCATGAAGTTTTGCAAGAAAATGAAATAAAAGAAATTCTTTCCTCATGTTAAAGATCTTACAGCACTCCATCTCTTGTCAAGGAATTCATTGATGACAATTGCATTCTGACCATACATCATAGGAGAAGCATAATAGCCCCATATCATCCACGGTTCAATGTCATCTGTAAAGGAGATTATTAAAGTTGCCTGAACCGTTCTTCTCGATACAGTTACTTGAATTAATGGAACCTTGTATTCTGTCATGCATTTCATTTTACCAATGTAGTAGAAGGAAAAGAATAACCGAGGCTCACCTCTGGCGATAACGAACCCTCCAAGTATAAAAACAAGTAGCAGTATAAAGGTACCAATTGTACTTGCCACAATCACTGTTCTTCCAAGACCAGCAATGAATCGGAATAGAGTCAGCCCCATTTGATGAACGCAGAAGAATGCTAATAACTGACGAAAAAATCTGTAACAATTGTTTATATTCATTATTGAATATAGCTTATTGCTTGCTCCTTGCAAGTTCATAAAACTAAAGAACTATAGAAGTGTATCAATTAATTCAACTTTCAAAAAATTACTTCCTAAACAACTGTTAATAAAAATTATGCCTAAGCATGCACCTAATTGTACAGGGAAATTTCATGGGGTTTGTTGAAATATATAGTCCCACATTGGTTGTATGTGCAACTAATGTGGAGTTTATAAGGCCTTGAGCACTCCCACCCTCTGAGCTAGCTTTTGGGGTGATGTATCTCAAGGTTCTTTACATGGTATCAGAGCCTTATCTTCTTCCCCTCACTTTCTTTCTAGTGGAATTTCTGTGCAAACTAATGTGGAGTTTATAAGGGCACTCTCACCTTTTGAGCTAGTTTTTGGGGCGGTGTATCCCAAAGTTCTTTACATGGTATCAGAGCTCTCCTGTGAGGGGGGGTGTTGAGATATATAGTCCCACATTGGTTGTATGTGCAACTAATGTGGAGTTTATAAGGCTTTGGGCACTCCCAACCTTTGAGCTAGCTTTTGGGGTGGTGTATCCAAAAGTTCTTTACATGGTATCAGAGCCTCGTGTCCCGGGTTCGATCCTCGCCGGCCCCCACTTTCTTTCAAGTGAAATTTCTTTGTTCGCATTGATGACACTTAAATTTTTTACAAAATACACACACATGAATCACAAACCATAAACATGCTAGGATTTACTTTCTAATTTCCACTCAAAGAATAAAAACAATTTATAGGTCTACATGTAGCAACATAAACTTCTGGAATGGTTGATTCCTTGATATAAACAAATTGATGAACTTTCATACCTACTTGCAGCTGGAGCAAACCCTACAGTGTAATAAGTAAGGACAACCCATAATCCTGACTCCAACAAAGAGAGAGGGATTCGAAAGATCCATATGGGAAGTGCAAAAGCCCATGCCGGATAAAATAATAGGTCTCTCTGCTTGAAGAAAACAGGAAGTCTAAAAACAGTCATTGCAAGCTCAGCCATTCCATTGAACATTACATTGATGAGACTGAAGAATAGTGCACCATAAAATTTTCTCCCATCCTCAAGTTGGCCATGTTTCATTTCTGTCCTAAGAAACACTGTCATAGTAATCAAAGACATTATTATAATCTGAGTAGTCTTAAATATATATATAAAAGCGCTGCGCTTCATCAGTAGCCACTCTCTTGCAAAGCATGCCTTGAAGAGTTCTAGTTTTGAAATTCCATATTTATCTTTAACCAATGCAGCAGGATGAGTTTTAGTACGGTCAAAAGGAACCTGAAGCTCTTCACAAAGTTGTTGGCCAATGTCATAGTTATTGAAGTGGGCTACAAACTCAGGCACACTGATATAATGGTAAGGTTTGTCCCTTGTTAACCAGTACTGCTCTTGGTCCTTTCTGGAAGTAACCTCCTGTAGAAAGTCTGCAACTCCTTTCCTTTCTGGGCATTTGAACCCCACACTCTCAAAAAAATTGAGAACATTCTCACGTGGACCTTGGTACACAATCTGACCTTCTGAAAGTAAGATTATGTCATCAAAAAGTTCAAATGTTTCTGGAGCAGGTTGTAATAGAGAGATTATCATTGTAACATCCATGATATGAACTAGCTGCCTCAAGAACCTAACAATTTGGAAGGTTGTGGAACTATCCAAACCAGTTGAAATCTCATCCATTAAGAAAACTTTTGCAGGTCCTACCAACATCTCACCTGCATCCATGATATGATATGAAAGTCACTGCTTGAGAATTGGACAAATAAGCAATTGAAGCATACTAACCTTTTCTCTTTAGTAACATAAAACTTTCTTTAAACTATGTTTCCATACCAATGGTTAACCGCTTTTTTTCTCCACCAGATATTCCCCTTCTCATCTCATCTCCTACCAAAGTATCAGCACATATTTCCAATCCAAGAATCTGAGTCCATTTTATTTGATATGTTAGACAGCAAGGAACCTAGAATACTGGCTGAAGGGACAGTATTAAATAGAAATAAAGGCATCGAACCTTGAGAACATAATCTGTAATGAGACTTGTTTCTTGATCTTCCATTGCAGTGGCTTTCATGAAAGCATCTATCTCTGGATCTGGTTTGGTTCCTTCTTGCTTTTCTCGCCTTGTCAATTCCACTAGTAGGTCATGCCTTGTTCCAACTCCCAAGCAACGTCCAGAAAAGTCCAGTGTCTCTCTGACTGACATCTCTCCATGATGAAGATTATGCTGACTAATATAAGCACATGTTCTTTGAGGAACAAACTCTGATAACTCATGACCACAGTAAGTGACTCTTCCTGATACCTATTCATATACAAATTTAGGTGAAGCAGAATCAAAACTAGGAAACTTGGATTCTAGATAAGTCAATTGACTGGAGTTGTTGTCTATGATCCTTAGGTGAGAGGTACAATCTGTTATTGCAAATACTGGAAGGTCAATCATATTCCCCGATTTAACATATTCATTAACATAATCATGATTGAGTTGAGTCAATACATAAAGAAGTAAGTACTTGACAGCATTAGCATATGACAGAAATGAAAGGAGATTATACTGTCTGACATGATAAATTTGTGCAACTGTTTCTTAAATTCGTTAACAAGTGAAATACCACTATTCTGCATGATACTGATGCTGACTTAAACACCAAAATGGTGGAAAATACTGGTCTTTTTCATTTACTTTTTTTTTGGTTAGTTGAAAACTAAATCCTCAATCATACTCGAGTTTCATTTAAATTCATTAATCATAAAATGAAAAAATTATAGGAAAATGTCATTGCATAGATTGTTAAAATGGAGCAAGAGGATGGCAAACCCTTAAATCCCTGTCCAGTTTCCCAGCAAGTGCCTGCAGCAGTGTAGTTTTTCCTGATCCCGGAGGCCCCAAAAGTAAGGTCATTCTGGAGAGTGTTTGAGAAAGATAGATAGAAGATGAAGAAAAAGAATATTAGCAACACACACAAAATAATTATATTGATGCATTTCTGAAAAAGCATATTTCACAAGAAAATATTTGTGCAAAGTTCAACAAGGGTCAAGAACTGACATTCTGTAATTGAACTTTTTATGGTATTTATATAACCTTTATTTTATTTTTATTTTTTCTGTTATGAAGTAAGGTTATTAACAAGTCAGTTTTCGTGACAATTGGGACTAGTCCCTCCCCAAGTAATCTTAAGGGGACATTCCCAATTCATCCTCACTTTTTAAGAAATGCAATATGTAACACCAATTTAATAAAAGATAACTGACTCCATTAAAGTACCTTGATGGCTTGACGATTCCACTAACATCTTGAAGTATGTTGACAACACTTTTCTTTGAGGGGAGAAGTTTGATTGATCCAAGAACTCTCTGTCACAAACCAAGAAGAAGAAAATATCATTAAACATTGCTTATGGAAAATGTAGAACTACTATGTTGTTGTAAGGCACTTTCAAGGAGAATTCTACATGTTAAGATTGATTGCTTCACACTACACTTGGTCAAATGCACTGAATTAGGACTTAAATTAATCTCTGTTACATGATTCGATTTCCAACTGCTAATGGATAATAGTCGAGAGGAAAAAGTAAATAAAAAGTTGTAATTTTCATCTAGTAAGCATACCGCGCATTGTTGGGTATTTTAAATGGGCTTGTCTACTTTTATCCGGTAGAAAACAACATATCTTATACTAAGATACAAAGTGGTGGGGCCACCACACAGAAAAAAAAGGAAAAAAAAAGAAAATGGCAGCACAATTATCAAAATATCTATGACATAAGATAGTAGTCTCTTACACTATGATATTATTATATCCGTTCTTAGATACAGGTGAAGTATAAAAAATATAAATTAAAAAATATTTTAAGGAAAGATTAGTTTGATTGATAGAATATAATTTCACTTGTGATTTCTTAATATCTCATTACGTCTAGTGTTTATTAAAGAAATTTGAGCATTGATTAAAAATGTTAGAATATATTAAATATGATTAGAAATGATTAGTCTGTAATTATTATGATTAGATATGATTAGTCTGTAATTAATTCTGATTGTATTAGGTTTGTATTAGGTCTGGGCCTTTCACTTAAGCTCATTAGAGTCTCTATATATTGTAACCCTCTAAATTAGATCAATATACAACATATTATTTTACATTTAAGTTGGTACCAGAGCTCTTTCGTTCTTGGGACCCTCGCTTCCGCTTAGAAACCTTGTTTTTGCTTTAAAACCTAAGCCCACTGCTTAGGAGTCCTCTTTCTTGCCGTGCGTCCTTCCGGCAAGCCTTCTAGGGCTGTAAACAGCCTCTGAGTGATTTTTCCAAACGCGTCAGCACCTCCGACGGCCATCAGAACCACCACCGGCCGTCAGAATCATTGTTCAGGCCACCGGAGACTTTTTCCGGCGACTTTTCCGACCAAACTTCACACGATCAGGACCCTCTCTTCCCGGCGACCAGGTCTGTGGTGGTCCGGTCAGCAACGCATCTCCCACGCGCCGTCACGCGTCACCTGTCTTCTCTGCGCGTGGGCTTCACGCGCCACCTTCTGCCGGCGCGTGAGCACTATTCCGGCGGCTTTTTCCGGCCGGTCTTGGACAGAGAAGCTCGCCTTCTCCTCCCTTTTCTGGATCTATGATTGTTTCTCTGTGGGTCTGACCTTAGATGCGTGGTTCTCCTTGATTGGATATCGTTTGCCTTCGTTTACGGCTTTTATATTTTATCTTTAAATGGCAGCAGCATCTCTTGATCTCTCGGAGGTTAACTCTCCTTCTATTGTTGCAAATATAGCTCAGTCAGACAATGCATCATTTGGTTCAGGTTCGGACTATGCTGCACTCCAAACCCCTCTCAGGAAGGCTTCTCCTCAGTCTCAGCCTTATACTGGTAATCCCGTTGCTTGTGTTTCTCATTCTACATCACTTGGCACTTGGATATTTGACTCCGGTGCTACCGATCATCTCTGTGGTAATAAGAAACTCTTTACATCTCTTACTTATTCTGATCATTTACCACACTCCCTCACTTGCACCATTACTTTCTCTAACCATTCTGTTTCTGTGCAGGATCCGGGTACGGGGAAAATGATCGGAGTGGGTCGTGAGTCACGGGGGCTTTATTATCTGGATGTGCCTCGTCCTTCAGTAGCATGCTCTCTCACAGAATCTCCACAACTTATCCACAGTCGCCTTGGTCATCCAAGTCTTTCAAAGTTGCAGAAAATGGTTCCTCTTTTGTCCGGTCTTCAGTCTTTAGATTGTGTGTCATGTCAACAAGGGAAGCATACACGCTCCTCTTTTGCCAGTCGAGTCAATAAACGAGCTGATGCCCCTTTCTCTCTTGTTCATTCAGATATCTGGGGTCCAAGTCGTACCTTGTCTGTCTTAGGTTTTCGGTATTTCGTTACCTTTATTGATGATTTTTCCCGTTGCACTTGGACCTATTTAATGAAAAATCGTTCTGAGTTATTTTCCATTTATAAAAAGTTTTCTACTGAGATCCATCCTCAATTTGGTGTTTCTATTCGTATTCTACGTAGTGATAATGCTAAGGACTATGTTTCTATTGATTTTTCTAATTTCTTGGCCACACAAGGTACTTTACATCAAACTACTTGTCCTCACACTCCACAACAAAATGGAGTGGCTAAACGTAAAAACAGACATCTCATTGAAACTGCCCGTACCCTTCTTATTCATATGCAGGTTCCCCTTCACTTCTGGGCAGATGCTGTACTCATCTCTTGTTTTCTCATCAATCGCATGCCTTCATCTGTGCTTCACAATGACATTCCTCATAATCTATTGCTTCCAGATGTTCCTCTTTATCCTCTAACTCCACATGTCTTTGGTTGTACTTGTTTTGTTCATAATCTCACTCTTGGTAAGGACAAGTTAACATCCAAAGCCTTTCAGTGTATCTTTCTTGGTTATTCTCGTCTTCAAAAGGGTTATCGTTGTTATTCTCCCGACCTTAAGCGTTACTTAGTTTCCGCTGATGTCACTTTTCTTGATCAACAACCCTTTAATTCTATCCCATCTCAGATGTCACAGGTTGATCATGTACTTCCTGTCCCTTTTCTTGACTTGTCTTTGCCAGCTGCAGGTGCTTCTATTCCAGATGAGCAACCTATTGCTTCTATACATGAGGACCGTCCACTTCTCACCTATCAGCGTCGCAAAACTGTGCCTCCTGTCGACTCGACTCTTGCTGACTCATCGCCCACTGCTGTTGCTTCTTCCCCTCGGGATCCTTCATCAGAGACTCTTCCCATTGCTCAAAGAAAAGGTACACGTACTACTCGTAACCCTTATCTTCTTTATACCTTTTTGAGTTATGACCGTCTTTCTTCACCTCATTTCACCTTTGTTTCTAGTCTTTCTTCTATTTCTATTCCTAAGACCACAGGTGAAGCACTTTCCCATCCAGGGTGGCGCCAAGCAAGGCTTGATGAGATGACTGTTCTTCATTCCAATGGCACTTTTCTTTGAGCAAAGAGGATAAGGGTTACGAGTAGTACGTGTACCTTTTCTTTGAGCAATGGGAAGAGTCTCTGATGACTGCTTTCGTCAACTCCTCTGATCAACTAGCGGATGTCTTCACTAAAGCTCTTAGAGGTCCTCGGGTTTAATATATTTGTAACAAGCTTGGTGCTCACAATATATACGCACCAGCTTGAGGGGGAGTGTTAGAATATATTAAATATGATTAGATATGATTAGTTTGTAATTATTATGATTAGATATGATTAGTCTGTAATTAACTCTGATTGTATTATGTTTGTATTAGGTCTGGGCCTTTCACTTAAGCCCATTAGAGTCTCTATATATTGTAACCCTCTAAATTAGATCAATATACAACATATTATTTTACATTTAAGTAAAAAAATTAAAGAAAGTAAAAAATTTCTTTAAATGAATATAATCAAAGATAATAAAAAAAATTAATTTGATATGAACATCTTGTGTTCAAGAAGCATCTAAAACACATCAATATCTAACACAAGTATACCAAATATTATAAACAATATGTGGATTAAGAATGAAAATATTTTCAAGATATTGAATGAACAAATAAGAAAACAACAATACTCCTCTTTTTGGAAAAAAAGAAAGAGAAAGAAGTTGGCATTTCTCTCTTTTTTTCTCTCCCTATTTTTTCAGAAGAAAAGGTATAATAGGAAAAGTGTATGAATAACATTATTGATTAAGAAATAAAAAAATATGTATCACATGACACATGAGGAAGCAGGTGGTCCTAAACATGAAGCTCTTGAATACGAATGAAAAAAAAAAAAAAAACAAGCCAGATATAGTTCCATGTACACAACCCAGGTTCAGGGTCCAGAAAAATTAGTATTAAGTAATTGCTTTTATATAAAGCTCAGACTTAAAAAAAAAAATTTACCTCTCTTTAGTATTTAAATTAATGGCACGCTTTTTATTAACCAAAAAGAAAGAGAAATTTGAAATGGTAGAAAGTAACCTCTATGGCATTCATGGTGGAATTCACTAGTGTTGGCAGTGCTCTGGTTCCAATATATGCATCCCCTTCAACATACAAATGTTCAAATCGTACTTCAACCTTTGGAATCTCTACAGCCACCCTAATCAACAAAAAACTTGATAATCAAAAGGTCTTGTAATAGAATCAAATATAATTAAAATATGAATTGGTAGTCTAACCATTCAGAACCAGAACTCTCATATCAAAACCAATAATACATAATAATAGTAATAATAATAATATATTGTTTTTGTTTTTCTATTGGTGGCATGGCATGAACAAAAATAACCTATCAATCCTCTCCCTCATCTTAGTGAGGAACTTCTCATTGTCTTCTTCAACAGTCCTTAGTACACCATCAAGGAGTTTCTTCTTTTCTAGCATACCAAGCTTGGATATGTCAATCTCCTCATAGTTGAATCTTCCACTCTCTAAAACTTGTTTGACTATGGTTTTCCTCAGCCTTTCAAAAGTGGGAAGCCTCTGTATAGCAGCCCACTTGAGGTGTTCCTCATCATCTTCCCTATTGCTCCTCTCAAATACATCATCACCATGTCCACTCCACAAACTCCTTCTGCTTGAAGATCCATTGTTCATCCTCATGCTGCTCATCACTGACCTCACTACATCATCTGCATCCAACTCTTCCTCCATACCTATATATATGTTTATATATAAAAAATAATAATGGTATGAATGCAAATTCTTAGGTGGGTAGTGGTAAGAAATATTCAGGATAACCCAAATGATTTGTGGGTGAAAGTTTGGAGATTTGAGTGTGTTTATTGGCTCTTAACTCACATACACCAAAGTCTTGCATTTAAAGGGAGCAATATGAAATGATGTGTTGTTTTAGCTTCTTCAACACAGAAGAGACCATTAAGTTCACCATGTAAAACTAGTCTAAGAGTACATATGAACATATACGAAAACGATAGTGTTGGGTCCATTTCAGTCTATTCATTACGAATTAGTTATATTTTTGTGAGAACTTTTTGCAATTACACTAATGTAATGTAAGATCGGTTGTATGATTAATATAGGATCGGTCTTGTATAGTGTAGTGTGTAAGAGTTTGTAAACAAACAGGTTTGTAAATATAACTTGCCTTTATTTTTGTTAGAAAAAATATAAATAAGATTAGCGCTTTAAGTTTTTAGGTGAAATAATTATTTTATCAATATTAGCTTAAATAAGTGGTTAGTTTATGGCCTGTTTGGATGAGTTTTTTTTCAGTTAAAAACTACTTTTTTTCTCCAAAAAAAAGCACTTTTATTTTAAAGTGTGTTTGGATATTGCTTCTAAAAAAAGCAAAAGTTATAAAAAAAAGTCAAAATCTTACTTTTTTCAGAAGCTAAAAATTTTAGCTTCTCAAAAAAGCAAAAGTCAAAAGCTAATTTTTTTTACAAAAAATAAATATTTTTTTAAAAATCTAAATAGTTTTAATTTTAATAAAAAGCACTTTTAAAATAAGTAGGACATAAAAATAACTTTTTTTTAAAGGCAATCCAAACGCACTCTTAAAGATGTGAACTAAATTAATTGTTATTATAAATTAGGGAAAAGTTCATCAATGCCCATGTGCTTTGCTTCAGAATCATTTATGTCCCTGTGATTTTTTTCCTATTACATATGTCTCTGTGCTTTGTAAAAAATAAGAAACATATGTGATAAAAAATATATCCTTTTACAAATCACAGAGGCATAAATGATAAGAAAAAAATTACAGGAACATAAGTGATTCTGAAGTATGTAGATGAATTATGGTTGAACTTTTAAACAGAGTCAATAAAATAAGCATCTGTTCGAATCTGTCCGGTGAAATTTTACTTTATTTTGACACTGAAAATTTGAAACACCTAACCCTAGCATTCACTCATTCATCTGACTCACTGAATTGGAGCTCAAGTGACAGCGATGAAAAGCGTATGAATACAGAAATGCAGGCGCATTCAATATAGAAGAGCGATCAAAAGCGTATCAACGTACATGACTCAGACTCAGTACTGAAGCTCAAGTGAAGTGACTCATTCATCTGTCTCAGTACTACAGCTAGCGCATCACAGCTTCATTCAAATAATGACAATTGACAAGAAAATGCACAGAACATAATTCATGATGATGATGGGGGTCCGTGACTTGAGTCTCTTATCATAGCGTTGGAACATGTTTCAAAATCATAAATAGCGTTGAAATTGAAGCGCAAACAACATTCAAAGGAAAACTCAACACATAGTGGGTTTGCCGGGGATCAAGGCAAGTTGATATTCACAATCCATTTTAAAAAACGAGGCGAGGTAAATTAACTTATTTTTCGATAAATTGATAGCGAGACGGGTTATCAACTTTGTCACCTCGGTCATGTAAAGACAATAGTGCTCAAATTGAATTAATTGGGTTTTCAATCAATCAATTTGTTGGGAATTTAAAAAAAAACAACTATAGTTAACTTAAGTGCTTAGTTTTATGATTTTTTACATCAAGACTCAAATGATTAACTTAATCAACTTTTTTATTATTAAACTTTTAAAAATTATGTTTTCAAATTTTAATAATTAAATTTCTCTTCTTAAATTTTATTCTATAATTAAAATTAAATATGAAAAATATAATATGAATCTTTAAAATTAATTTGATTATTATCTCGTAATTTTAATAAATAAGGAACAAATATTGTAATTTAGAATTAGTAAAAAAAAATTAAAATTATATTAGAAATAACAAGTAAAGATAAAAAAAATTAAAATAATATAGTAATTTGTATTTTTATTTTAATCAAATTGTTCGAATTAAACATGTTCAACTACTGAAACGGGTATGATTGGTTATAGAATTGTTCGAATTTGTATTTTTATTATAATCGATTTGAATTGATTTAGATTAATTATTTTTAAAAATAAATAAAAATCAATTCAAAATAATCAAATTAAGTTAACCCATGCACAGCCCTAAATATATGAGTACTACTGAAACGGGTATGATTGGTTATAGTAATTGGGTTGGAAGATATTTCAAGGAAGCTTCCTTTCCTTGTCCACACTAATCTAAAACATATGGTTCAGAATTATTGTACGTGACTAAGTCCCTTTTTATCTATTTTTATAGAAAACATAAAATTAAAAAACATTTAATTTTTTATAATAATTAAATAACTTTGTTTTGAAAAAACACAAACTTAAAAATAATAATCTTAACATTTTTCTTATAAACTAAAAGGGAAAAAAGTATCTAATGTTACTTTAGATAACTTTGTCTAATGTTCATTGAGAAAGATGTTATTTTGGGGTTGAAAAATTAAAAAATTAGAATGGTAAAGACTATTATAACTCTGAAATAAATTAAAATTACAAAAATACCATAATTTCTGCCCCAAAATAACGTCGTTTCGATGAACATTAGACAAAGTTATTTAAAATAATTTTAGAAAAAACAAACCCAAACTAAAAATAGTATCTTCAAAAAACTATAGCATAGTGTTTTTAATTTATTCAAACATATCTTAAATAAATTTGATGGAGCTGAAATTTTTTAAAGATGAAACTGTTGAAGGGCTAATCCATTCAGCATATGTGGTTACAAAAGAAAGATCCAACAGACCATCAAAGCAATTTTTTTCTGTAAAGAAGAAAAAGGAAATTTAATTAGTATATCCTACCAAAATTAGAAGAAGAAAAAATTATCTGATTATATTTATTTTACCGACATTTACCTACTCTTTTATGATTAATGTTATATTAATTAAATTATTTTTACTTTTAATTCGCGACTAGTACGTGAAGTTTTACACGTAAGGTAAACCTGTGACTTCAAGTGACACCTTTAATGGGAACAGTGATCAAAATGTCGTTGTTTACCAATTTTTTTACTTAAATGTCATGCGAACAATGTTATTTTCCAATCTGCCACGGGAGCAAGTTCGCTACCTGGTGTAGCGAACTCAGTTTGCTGACGTGTCACGTTTCTAGTGGACATCGAGTTCACTACACGGGGAAGCGAACTTGTTTTTAACTAAGTTCGCTAGGCATGTAGGCGAACTTCATTTGTTTTTTTTTTTTTTTAATTTGATACTTGTTATCCACTAAAAATGTGACACGTCAGTAAATCGAGTTCGCTACACCGGGTAGCGAACTTGCCCTCATGGCAGATTGGAAAATAACATTATTCGTGTGACATTTAGATAAAAAAGTTGGTGAACAGTGATATTTTGGTCAGTGTTCCCTTTTAATGCATATATCCACAACAGTGACAAATTAAATGAGGAGTTAACACAACTACACAAGTGCATGCAGCTGTCTCTAATTTGAGTGAAAGGAATAAGTATTACAAAGATTTCCGAAAATACATCGAGATATTAAGCATTTGTTAAGTCCAAGATGACTGCTCAATTATCATAAAGGACAGAAAGCATACATCAAAGCAAACCTATGGGTAAAATTGGATGCGACTCAATCAGAGTCGCTTTTGGCTTCTTCTGTTTCTAGGAACATGTAAATTGTTCAAATGAATAATATAAAAATAAAATAAAATTGAAACCCGGTATTTCAGGCAAAAAAATTTAAATAATACTTTTTAATTAAATAATTATGTATTTATTACAATTTTGGAAATAATTACATATTTATTGCACAATGTGACGTCCCTTTTAGACGTCACATATGACGCTCCATTGAGGCGTCTCACCCTAAAGGAAGACGCCCCAATGGGGCGTCACATGTGACGCCCAAAAGGAGCGTCTCATGTGTGCCTTATATATACCTTTTTTTTACCATTTCACTTCTCACTCTCTAACCTCTCTCTAACCACGGTTTGTGCTCCCGACCGAACGCGAAGATTTTCGTAGCGAAGTTCTGCCAACTTAGGTAAGTTCGTAATACCTGCTATGTATACGTTTAAATTACAGTGCTACCTTGCGAACATGTTAGGATTTATCGTATATTAGAGACTTAGAACATTATGATAGTCACTTAAAATTTTTGTACCAAGCTATTATTTTGTGATAGTGACTTCGTAAATTTTGTATGATGTTATTAATGCGAGATGTATTGATAATTTTGTAGTCAGTTAGGTGTGATGATTAGTACATATTTACGAAGTTATTAGTGACTTAGGGTTAAGTATTATGTCAGTATGATTTAATTTGTGTCCGATGTTTTATTATAATTTAATTGCAAATAAATGACTGTACTACTTATTAATAATATTTCATTAATGTCAATTCTAGTAAAAATGTAGGGTTTATGCTTAATTTTGTTGATAATAAATTAGGGCATTGCTTAATTAATTTGTACATAAAATGTGTTGTTACATGTGATTAATTTCATTGTTGTTTTATATTATGGTGAGTTTAGGGTCATGGCTGATTCATCATCATCTTCGGGTTCTGCATCGGATGCAGAGCCTACCGATCCTAGCATGTACATCATACCTGGGCCTTATAGATGGGACGTCCTTCGTAAGAGGACGCAACGTACCCATATTTCACAACGAGTGTGGAATACGGAGCATGTGAGGAGACTGAAGACCAAGCGTGGGAAACCACAGGGGGGCCACCTACCGAGGCTATTCCAGAGGTGGTCACAGACTACCTCACACAAGTTGGATTTATCCATGTTGCCCGGATGTGACATATCCAGGTATGCGATTTACGACGTTTTGTGTTTATGTAATTATTCAATACCATTCGTTAACACATGATAATTGTATAACTTATTTCAGATCGATGCCCCATTAATCAGTGCTCTGGTCGAGAGGTGGAGACCAGAGACACATACATTCCACATGACGTAAGGTGAGATGACTATCACCTTACAAGATGTGGCCGGCATATTGGGATTGCCCACTGACGGTATTGTCGTTACCGGATCTACAAATGAGGATTGGCCCGCTGTTTGTGTTGTTGTTTTTGGCGCGGTTCCACAGGCCAATGAGTTCCATCATTCAGGTGACCACCGCATCTCATTCTTAGATCAGTTATATACCCGGTGGACTGATCATGCTGGGGATCATGATCGCGAGATATATTTCACAAAGGCGCACATTGCCCGCATGCCGGGGTGTTGGTTGCTGGCGGACAAGTCTGGAGGTAGCAATATCGGTTGTCGGCTAGTCCTGTTGCTTGGGGGAGGATTTGATGAGATTGGTCGTTTCAGCTGGGGATCTGCGGTTCTGGCACACTTGTTCAGGAATTTGTTCGAGTGTACAGATGTCGGTCGATCTGACATGGGTGGTTGCCATATTCTTCTTCAGATTTGGGCATGGATACGATTCTCACCCATTGCTCCACCCCTTCCTCCTCATCCAGAGCCGGGCACGCATTATGGATACCGGTATGCTTTATTAAACTCATTCGATTTCGCTAATGAGTTATCATGTATACTAACTGTATAATTGCTTGAACCAAGATTGATCATTTTTGTTTCTGATGACAGGTTTAATACGGTGGCAAAGTTTAAACCTCATGAGGTTGTCCATTATCGGGCAACCATGGATACACTATGTAGAGATGAGGTAAGGTTGTGGATACTTAGTATGTTGTTATTTAATCATGCGTGTTTTTTTTTGTAACACCATATATTATTTTTCACTTTGTGTGTAGGTGGTGTGGCAACCATATATCGATTATCAGTGGCCGGACGTGACTCCACACCAGCAGTACCTTTGGCTTGCTGTGACACCTCTTATTTACTTCCACATCATAGAGGCATGTCAACCGGATAGGTGCATGCGGCAGTTTGGTTTGGATCAACCCATCCTGGATGTGAGCAGGAAGTTGAGAGGGATCCATGATCATACTCTGCAGGGGAAGGTTGACGAGAACTGGAGGCGTAAGCTTCGTCCTTGGATTGAAAGATGGCAGGTCAGGGAGCAACATATCGTTGTGCCCCCTCCATTACTAGGGTTGATGTCACCTAACCATGCGTACATGGAGTGGTACCGAGCGAAGGGAAAGAGATACATTTCTCTGAGGGCTACAAAGATTGGACGAATGGTGAGTTTATGACAAATTTTAGCAAACATACATATTTTACATTTGTTTGACAATGCTAACACATTTTTATATATAGATTGACGGTCTAGAGATGCTGTATCATGTAACAACTACGGAGGAGTTTCCTTGCTTCGGCTTAGACTATATCCATGAGGAGATTGGCAGGATTATTGGCATGTTTCGTGAGAATTCACGAGTAGATGAGCCTGGGCCTGAGGCACCCCCAGTCCAGACACAGCCTGATCCGCAGTTGTCGTTGAAGGTTCCCCGTAATAGACAGGAGGGGCGCGGATTAGGACATACCCGTGAGCGAGTTACAGCTGTACCTGTTCCTATTATGGCACCGAGACCAATGGTGGAGACTCAGGGATGGTTCAGACCTCCAGTCATTGGGACTACTTACGGGTCACAACCGATGTATCATAACAGGTCGCAGGATGCAGGTGGACCTAGCCAGCCGGAGTCTGACCACCTATACATGGATTCACAGGAGCCAGTTTTCTAGGCCAGTCCCATGGCTATGGCGAGGGCCGATCATGCATACTCACAGCCTTCCTCACAGACGTTTTCACAAGGACTTGATGCTGATGTGTCGGGTTGGTCTGCAAAGGATACCTTCCATATGTGGTCAGAACTAGGCCTAATCCCAGATAGCCATGACAGTGAGCAGACTCTAGCCACGGACACCCATAGTCAGGGTTTCACGCCATCCCACATGCAGGGCAGTACTTCAGGGCATGCATATTCACATTATCCAGGCCAGTCTTCGGATATTGGATGGACCGCACCGGCAGATGATTTCATGCGTGCGGCGATGGATGATTTCCAGACTCCACCACCACCGACACATCAGGGCGACCCAGCATCGGACAGACGTATTCAGCCAGATAAGGATTCACGTCATAGGCCATGGCCTCCGTGGTCGTAGTTTCATTGCCATATTGGGTTTTTTTGTATTAGTTATGACTTTATCATTTGTTATATTTTGGACTGTACATTATTATGTTATTCGGTCATTACTTGTCTTTAGTATTTCTGTTGTGAACGTCAACTTAATGCATGTATGATACGGGAACTAATCAAGATGAATACTACTATTAAAAAAAAAACATACATAAGGGAAAGAGTCCAACATTGCAAAGTCCACACCTAGACATACATAACTACTAAAGGAAACATAAAGAAATAGTCCAACATACATAAAGTAAACATACATAACTAATAAGTATCTCAGTCGTTTCTCCCACGATTTGGACATGCTCGCCGATTATGGCTGCGTTCCTTGCAAAGTCCACACCTGATACGGCTTTGACTTGTCTCGACTTCATCCATCTCGTTGCGTATGCGAGTTGACTTTGGACGACCTTTTGCACGCAACATAGTGTTATCGGGAATAATCTTTGGACCTGTACTTGGCGGTATTGCTTCCTCATTTCTGATTGGCTCCCACGGAAAAGAATAAGCCTCGACCAAGTTAGTTGTCAAGAAGACATCGTCTATGTACGTGAAAGGACTCTGCCTAACACTTAAAGCAGCAGCAGCGGCGTGACTACACGGGTACTTAAAGGCCTTAAACTTTCCATATTGACAAAATCTCTGTGGGAGATTGACAGAATATGAACGTTCTCAACCTGCGTCAACCTCGAAGACAGTATGATCCACGTTGTATGCACGAACATGGTGGCCTGTTGCATGTACATGATTCTTCTTGACCAGTTCAACAACATTTTTGCAATGACAATGAGATGATTGAAGTTGCGCAACGGCAGATGTACCTCTCTTAACAAAATAATGAACCAATCTGCTATATGTGTGCTTAACCAATGCAGTTATCGGCATATTTCTGGCCCCCTTCAAAACCCTGTTGACAGATTCTGCCAAATTTGTTGTCATATGCCCGTACCTTCGTCCTTCAAGATCGTAGGCACGCGACCACTTTTCCTTAGGGACGACATCAATCCACTCAGCAATTTGAGGACTACTTTCACGGAAGCTCGCAAGATTTCTTTCAAAATCAAACATGGCCGGAGTATAGCTTGCACAAATTGGACATCATCGAATTAATCATAAAATGAGACATATAATGGAAATAAATAAATAAGGATATGTGAATGAGTTTACCTAAGTTCTTCAACATCCGTTTCAAACCCTCATTTCGAAACTTTTGATTGAAGTTGCTTGCAATATGACGAATACAAAAGACGTGATATGCATTTGGTGGCAGCCAATTAGGGTTATTCTCCACAGCAGATATTATGCTACGATAACGATCGGAGATCAGGCATATGTTTGACATGTCAGTAACATGAGCACGAATATTAACAAGGAAATAGTCACATGCTTCCAAGGTTTCACCTTCAACGATGGCAAAAGTGATCGGTAAACATTCATCATTTTTTGGGCTGTGGCCACCAACAATTTGCCTTTGTACTTCCCATACAAATGCGTTCCATCAATCTGGATGACTGGTTTGGCAAATTTGAACGCCTCACAACACTGTCTAAACGTCCAAAACATGCGAAGAAACACATTTTTTCCAGTAACTAACCCATGCTCCGCATAAAAATCATTTGTTTGAATATGATAAAATGAACCTGGAGAAAAGCGAAGCATGTATTCGCACCACCTTGGCAAAAAAGCATACGATTCCTCCCAATCACTGTACATAATTGCCATCGCTTTCTGCTTCGCATACCATGCCTTTATGTAGAAAACTTTAAAGCCATATTTAGAGGTTATCCTTTCTTGAACCAAAGAAATTGAGTCAAATGGTTCTTCCCTTATCATCCCTGCATTGAAAAGGTCACAGACTCGATAACATAGAACGAATTTAATGGAACAGCAGTATGTAAACGTTGACATGTCATTGAAAATAAATACGTACCTATAACGAGATCCGCAATAACGTCCGCGTCGAGCTGTCTATGTCCCTGGGAAATGTGCTCATTCAAACAATTGTGATCTCCATCCCATTTCGTAATCTTCCAATTTTCACCAAGCACTGGTTTGATCACCCTAACGCGCCACAGACAACCTTTATCATACGCACAACATTTCATGGTTAACTTTGCAGGCGTGCTCTCAATTACAATTGCTGCTTGATGCTCCCTAATCAGGTTGTGCTTAAGTGCTATTTGGACATCTTTTTTTGTTGCAAATTCTTGATTCACAAATAACTTGTCACCCAGTTGCCACGGACCTTGTATTGAACCCGATCCTGAAACCGTACCATCAGTGCATGATTCTTGTTCACTGCGATAACTCCAATCAATGTACGAATAATGCGGAATTCCTTGCCAAAAAGGAATAACAGTTTCGTCACCTACATCTGATAATTAAAAGTTTTTAATACAAATTTCCTAAATCAGATATTAAATCAGGTATATACAAATTACATCAATTACCTTGATGATTACATAATGGGGCAGACACAACGTCATGCAATTGCGGCATTTGCGCGACCACTGGTTCATGGTAGACTGGGATTTGAGACGCACCCATCTCACCACCTTCATCTCCATCTGAAGCACTAGCATCCTCCGCCAGAAGACGTTCTTCCATTGCGATGTTTTCATCATCGTCGTCGTGCATTTCCCAAGTTGGATCATTTTCATCTCCCTCAGAAATGTTACCAACTAGAGACGCATGAGCGGCAGACGTTGATGGAAGACGGGGATAATTTAAATCAACTGACCTCACCGGTAATGGAACATTCTCCGTTGCGGCGATGTCGACATACAACTCCAGAAAATCTGTCATTGACTAGTTGAAAAATTCTTCCATTGTCATCTCAACGTCTTCATCGTCAACCACTTGCAAACTAATGTATTTATCACATTGGCATAACCTTGTCGTGATCTGAGTGATACATTGGTTGCCTTGAAGACTTAACTTCTGCCGAATTCTCTGGTGCATTTCGCCAATGGTTGCGTTGCGTTGGATACGTGTCGGCCTTTTTCACCTTCAAACATGACACCTCGTCGACCTTCTACCTTCCTTCCATTGTAATATAACACAACACGAATAGAATTAGGATTTGAACTCATTCTTAAATAGAATAAGAAATAAAATTCAAATACTAAATTAACGATGAAGGATTATGTATGTATGATGTTAGAAATTTTGGTAGAGAAGAGATATAAGATGAGAGAAGAGGTGTGAAGAGTTGTAAGAGTGGAAGGGGAATATATAGGGTGCACAATGTGACGCCCCTTTTGGGTGTCACATGTGACGCCCCATTGTGCAGTATATCCGTAATTATTTTTAAAACTGTAATAAATACGTAATTATTTTATAAAAAATATTAAATTAATTTTTTTGTCCGGTATTCCATTGAAATTGGTTATGGTTAGGAGCGCTAGCTTAGTGGTGAGGAGGAATGAGTAATGGGTAATAGGTGTTGTGTTTGATAACTAATGTATTAAAAAAAAAATGAGATTAAAAAAAAAACATCTCCACTGGAGTTTATATTTTAGAAGAAGAAAAAAATTGTAATCACCTTTAATATTCATTTTTATCTTTCATTATTATCAAGTTTCTTCACTCTCAATTTCTCTCTAATCTGTAGAATTCTCTTGAAATTTCTCTGGACTTTTCTCTCCTTGATTTATCTAAATTTTGAAGCAATGTCTAACGACTCATTAATCTCTATTTATTGAAAAAAATATTATCATGTCAATGGTAAAATAATATGATAATAGTAAAATATTATTTACCTAATAATTTATGATTGGACTATGATTTTTAAAGTATTGTTTATGTTTGAATTATAATTTTTGGAGTGTTGTTTGTAATTGAATTATAACTTTTGAAGTGTTGTTTTTAACAATTTATCGTTGAATTATTATTATTATAATAATAATAACTATTATTAAAAGTGAGGAGATAAAATACGCACACATTTCATATGTTTGTATATTATATAGAGTAAAGTTATATTAACAAATTTTTTTTTACACATTTATAAATTATATTATGTCTGACCACTAATACTCTACTCAATAATATATTATCGGATATAGCGTAGTTTGTAAGAGTTTATAAACAAAAAGTTTATAAATATAATCTTTCTCTATTATATATTATAACTAAGGAGAAAATGTGTATAATTTTGAAGGACACAAAGCTGTGTTATTTTAAGTGAGAGAAAAAGATAAATCATATGAGAGAGAACAAGTGAAAAAAGTTTTAAATGTATGAATCTCATCTCTTTGTGAGAGTAAAAGGATAAAAGGTATGTATTTTAAAATGACACACCTTTTTTTCTATAATTAATTAAAATTATAGGTTAAGGAGAACAGGTTATAAAAAAAAAAAAAAAAAAAAACAGAAAGAGAACAGATTGAATTTTAATTTCAACAACCTTTACTCGGAGTAGTTCTCGGGGCTGCAACTGCAACCGAACCGACAACAGTGAACCAAACAAATGAACAGGCTACTTCATAGGTATCAGATATGGTTTTAAAACTCAAATATATATATTTTTGGGCATAATACTTGAATATATTTATTATCACCATTCAGTTGTGGCATTATTATATAGCTACGTTAAAACTCATAAATTGTGGCTTCGAGAACACTCTTACCGTCTTAAGTACGTACACACACCTTTGATTTGATTGACATGTATGTGTCTTCTTTACAAAAGTGATGGTACTACATAAAAACGAATTTATTGTCACTGATGGAGATGGGCTAATCAATGAATTGCAAGTTCCCCTTTGAATGAAATATCATTTCATTTGTCAGTTCGTGGATCTGTAGGGTTTTAATTTATAAATCTTTAGTAATGAGTATTAAGTTTGTGTATTGATTAAATTACACATTGCTATTGCTTAGCTAAAAAAAATAAATTGAGTTTTGGATAAAAGTTGTTCTCAAGTTAAGTTTGTGCATGTGTGGTTAAAGCCCCACACTCAAGAGTTCATGAACTCTAACAAGTTGTTGATCCACCTATTATTGTTTTTAACAGCTAAAAATATAATGTTATAATAAGGGAAAGGGGCCATCTTGATTAAAAAAAGAAAAGAAAATTTTATCGATGTTTCTGTGATTTGTTTCAGAATCACTTATATTCTTGTGGTTTTTTTATCACATATGCTCCTGTGGTTTGTAAAAGGATATGCTTTTTTATCACATATATCCTTGTGATTTTTTATTTTTTACAAAGCACAGGAGCATATGTGATAAAAAAAAACCACAGAAAAATAGTTGATTCTGAAACAAATCACATAAGCATTGGTGAACTTTTCCCAAAAAAAGAAAGAAAAGAAAACGCTAACGTGAGGTGTATACGTGACATGTTACATGCATAGACGTTTTAACTTGTTAAATTTATTTATTTATTTATTTATTTATCCACCTCTAAAAAAGTACAACCTAAAAACCTCAACCAAAAATATTATATCGTATTCACACTTTTTTAATTTGTAAAAAAAAAAAAAATTGTTTTTTTATTTAATTGGTGAAATATATAATAGTATGATAACAATGATGTAAAAATAAAATTTTAAATAACAACAAATTCTTAGTTTTGAACAATATTAACGGCATGCACCCATTAATTTTTTTTTTTTTTTACATTTATTTATTAATTCATCAATTATTTGATTAATTTGATTTGGCTTTTATTAAATTCATATGAGAAAGATAAACTAATATTTTAAAACCCGGACCTATCATCTATTCTGTCGAGGTATTGGGTCATTGGTCAATAATTCAAATTGAATTTTAAAATAATATGTAATAAATATTAAATTATGAAAATTATGTCCAATAAATAAAAGTGATCTAGTGGTAAGCCTTCTGATCCTCAAACAAGGGAATTCAAGTTTGAATCTCGTTGCTTGCAAAATGCATATATTTTACACTTTTTTTTTTTTGATAAACTATATTTTACACAATTTAACATAAAATCAGTTGAGCTCAATTTTCGGTTTGAAGCCAGATTTTAAAACACCGTGAAAAATAGTTCACTCAAAACTATTATTTTTAGGGAAAATTTAAACTCAAAAGCTCTTATTAAAGAAAAATAATGATAAGTAGAAATTTAATCATTTTGTGCCAGCCTTAAATGCGTTAAACCTTTTATTATGGTATTGGCTATCACTCTCTTCCAAAATGATCGGTTGGTATACGTCTCCCATACATAATGGGCTGTTGCTACCCTTGACAGCATAAGTAGGGCTCGGGTAAGGAATGTGACGCATATCTAAATCAAATTATTTAACATTTCATAACTATTTTTTAACAAGTTTCTAAAATATTAATTAGGGATTCTAAAATGACGGTAGTTCAGTCGATTAAATGAAAAGAAAAGGGCCTCAATTCGATACTCACATATCATCTATGAGAGAGGTTTAAATATCTATATCCTTGACCTGCCCCGCACTTTAAATTAATCTCATAGCAGCTCAAGGAATCAAAATTTGTGAGGATAACAGAGAGAGTCAACTCCTGTTGAGATATATAGTCTCACATTGATTGTGTGGGCAACTAATGTAGCCTTTATAAGGCATTGAACACTCTCACCCTTTGAGCTAGCTTTTGAAGTAGTGTATCCCAAGGTTCTTTACAAGTTATGAGAGCGTAAATCCTCATCGCCTCCCACTTTAAAGTGAAATTAAAAATAATAAGCACAAAAAGGTAAACCAAAGATTGGGCCTGTGCATAATCCACGCTTCAAGCCCAATGAGCTCTCGTGTGAGGGGGCGTGTTAAGATATATAATCTCACATTGATTGTGTGGACAACTAATGTGGCCTTTATAAGGCCTTGAGTACTCTTACCCTTTGAGCTAGCTTTTGGGGTAGTGTATCCCAAGATTCTTTACAACTCCCCTCAAAGAGTTAATTAGAGTTGAGTTAACTCAAAAAAAAAAATAGAGATTCCTAAAATAAGAAAATAAATTATGAAAGATTTCAATTACTTACTAATAGATTAAAAGTCGGTCTTTAAAATGATTATTTTTCCTTATGTATATTGAGTTTTGTCAATAATATCATGACAATTAATAATGAGTGAGATTTTTTATATGACATTATCATGTATAAAAGGATTCATTTTCATTAAATCATGACAAAATTCAGTTATTTATTGACAGATCAAAAGTCAGGTATTAAAATGATCATTTTATCCTTTTCTATTTTACTAGTTTTGTGATAAAAAACCGTTAATGTTTAAATAATGAATGATGAAAAATCATATTGAAAAACATGAATGGATCCATTCCCATATATATATATATCACATTGTTCACTATTTATGACATTTAATGTAGTGTCTTATTAAATAATGTGATTAATAATTAAACACCGCACTATAAAATAATTTATAATGATAATACATTAAAATTAAGATCTAAGAATTTCTCCTCTCAGTATACCTTTTCATAATTAATTGGTCAATCATTTTTGTTGAAAATTATAGGAAAATATATAAACCTACGGTAGTCGGTAAGGTCTAGGCATGAGTGGGAGTGTGGGACATTAATTGCATACACTCTCTAACTTAATTGGAAAAATATTCGTGTATATTTTATTTTTTCTAATATAAAATAATAAAATATTTATTGTTAATTGGTTTCATTTTCATCTACCTAATTCTGGCCACGTTGATAGTGAAGAGTATAGCAATTAATGTTGAGAAATCAGTTGTTTGATTTTCAGTAATACAAACACCTAACAACACAGACTTTAGAGTTAATGTGCACAAATGGTTGAAATTTATGGACAACAGTGTACTCAAAATAATAATAATGATGATGGACAATAAACGATTTGTCAGTTCTTTGGTGAACTAGGTAGCCCAAGTCTACAAGGATAATAAAAAGAATATTTTGGTCGCCCAAAGCAATAAAGAAGACGATCAAGAAACAACTGAATTAAAGTTCAAGGTTGGTAGAAATGAAATAGGAATTTTGGGCTCTGATGATAAAACTCACAACTACAACGAACCCAAAATCCAGGACATTTACATGTAATATTCTCTGAGTTTGTTAAACATCGAATTATAATTAGCAAAAAGAAAATAAAATTGGGAAAAACTTATATTAAATATTTAGGATTAAAATTAGGAGAAGGTACTATAAAACTACAACCTCATATTTCTCAAAAAATTATATAATTTCCTGAAGATTTAAATGATTTAAAAACATTACAAAGATTCTTAGGATTATGTAACTATGCTAGAAATTTTACGTATGTTATGCACATGACAAGATCCTAATTCAGAACAGATTAAGATACAGTATGAAGCAGTAAAAGCATTAGAACAAATGACTATAAAAAATTGACAAGTGATTATTTGAATCTCAAGATCGAAAATTTGATAAGCATCTTTAGTGAGTTGAGTTGAAATTGTAAAGGTAATATATATATATATATATATATATATATATATATATATATGTGTGTGTGTGTGGCAAAATGATTTCTGTAGCCGCTGCACCTACAGCAAGTCAGGATACGGAACCGAATCCTAAGATACGGCACCGGATCCTGAAAGATGAAATCAATATTACTTTAGTCAAAAAAATACTAAAGTGCACAAGTTCGTGAAAGTATGATAAAAAATATTGTTCGCGTGACATATAAGTAACATTTTTGCCAAAAAATAACACTTAGTCGGTTTCTCTGAAAGATTACTGTACCCAAAAAAAACCCTGAAAGATTTGCATAGTTCTCGTTTCACACCCTCCAAGCATAGAAAATCTCAAAATTAAGAGCACGTGCACAAGTTCACTAAGCAATAAAATGCTGACTTTTAGTAGGGACTGAAACACACTGTTATAAGAAAATATCACAACTTATTCTAGGAAATTCGAAATCGAATAGGATTGTAAACTTTTTAAAATTTAAACTAGTGCCTATGAGCTGAATCTGGGCTTGGATTGGTCATCGAAACAGCCGAGAAAAATTGGGCTCCAATCAGATAGTTACTCCAAAAAACAAATATGATGCTCAACTTGGGCCAAATCATGCTGTAGCTCTTGAACATTTGTTGAGATGACCCTGGCATCAATTGTAGATGTTAAACAATTCATGCGAAAAGCTAAAGTTCCTATTTTTTTAAACCAAAAAACGAAATCTGTATTTTTCTTTTTGGACAGTCATACATACTTTTTTGGAGAAAATAGATTGAAATCAATAGTATCTCTATCTTAAACTTACTTTAATTGGAATGGGCAGTTGATGAACTCAAGCAACAAGAAAAAAATTATACCAAGATATAATAAATTATTTCCTCTGAATAAAACTAATCGCGAAGCGTCGAACCAATTCAAATATTTTAAAAATAATATTAAAAAAAGAAGTAAAAACTTAAAAATTTGGTTTTTTTTTTTTTCAGAAAAAGAAAAGTAATTTACAATTCTTTGTCGAGGAAAATTGCGATATTATGATCTTTTGGGTTGAGTCCAACAAGTAAGCACAGAAGCACTACATAAATTTATAAATTAACGCATCGTCAAATCAATTGTAGTCTAGATTATAATATCTATAACACTGTTCACTTTTATTTTCCATATTTTTAATCAAATGTTTCTAGTTTTTTTGGCCTAAAAAATTAGAACTGAATCAAATTAAGGAGGAGACTAAAGCCTAAATAAAATATAAAGAGACCATAGCCCAATAACGAGGTGCACAACCATCCATAGCCGAATTTAAGAAACTACAAGTCACACAAGCTCGATATCAGCTCAGTTTATTCAGAGGCACAGGAACAAGGCTTAAAATTAAATATCCATTTTTTTTCTTTCATTTCTTAATATACTCTCCTCCGAGTTAAACAACTAATCTACTTGTACAAGAAATTGATGTGAGGTCATTATTTTAAGGCAAGATGTACATACAAATAAAAGATATATATACAAAATTACAATTAAAAAGAAAAGAGAGAGAGAGAGAGCGGCAACTATAACCCTTTCTGTAATAAAAATTAGGTGTTATAATTATAATTAGCATAAGGAATTTCTCTACCAATCTCAATCAAGAAAATGTCCTGCCAAGGCATCTACCGATTCTCCAGCCTGAGCTGCTTCGGCCATTCTAACTAACATTGTGGCCTTATAGATTGCCAAATCTGCATTCTCCATAAGAAACTGAGCTCTTTTGCGTTTTTGAATTGCAAATTCTTTGGATTCATCCGCAGATGCTTTAGCTGCTTCAATCTTAAGCACGGAATTCTTCTCCTCCAAAGCATCTTGTTTAGCTGCAATTGCTGTAAATAAATATATCAGACAAAGTTGAATGCTCTCTCATAAACAGTGTTATTAAACTAAAACAGGTCTTAGGTTCAATTCCCAAGATCATAAAGTCCCGTGACTTTGATAAAAGATTAATGTCAACCCCCTTTTTTGCATCACCTCACAAAAACTAAACAAAATATAAAGGGGAAGACAAGAGAAAGAGATTCCAGAAACATGAAGTAACTTTTTAGTTAATCTGAAAATATACAATACGACATGAGTAAAACAGATGCATTTACAAAATATATTATATGAAGCATCACCGGCAAAACATAGGCTATGCTCTATAGCATAAGACATGAGTAAAACAGAAAGACATCAGAACTATATCATTAAAAAAAAGAACAACAAAACAAGATCTGCAGTCCAAGTCCAACATGTCAAGTTCTAGTATTTGTGTTGCATAAGGTGGGTCAAAAGAATGACAATTGTTTAATTATCAGCATAGATGCCCTAAAAAGGTCAGGAATAAATAACTACATCAAAACTCAACACCAACAGGTTTAAGTACTTAAAACAAAAGCATCAAACTCACAATATTTTGCTAGAAATAGAGCAAACGTCATTCTATGTTCCTATTGAAGACATGAAATCATAACCTTACCTTGCAAAACATTTGGATGTTTGCCTCGACCAAAATGACTAGGCTGTCTCTTAAATGACCTCTTCTTTCGCAGCAAAGGCTTAGGAATAAGTGGAGCTCTCTTTGATTGATGACTCTGTCACAAGAAATTAAATCAATCATGTTAGTCACGTAATGAGGTTGCAGTGCAGTTTACAACAATACACCCAACTTGGTTTATTACCCAAACTTAAATTCAAATATAAAAGGGGGAAAATAAGATTTTAGGAATTAAAAATCTACATAGGTTGATCAAGGTAACAACTAACAGGTATGGACATTCACAAACCCACTACCCCGCAGTTGCAAAACAATATCCCTTAATAGTGAATAAGAAATATCCTAGAGCTCTTCTAAACTTTCAAGACTACTACTTAATATACATCACCTAAACAGTTCACAAAATAAACTAATAGCTTATAGCCCGAATTGGAAAAGAAATCAAAATTCTAATAACAAAATATTTCCTTCTTGATTTTTTAAGGGGGAAAACTGCATAACAAAAAGCATTGAAATATTCCATATAAAACACGCCAAGGATTAAACATTGGGGCCACTTAACATCAACATCAATTAAAAACGATTCCCAAAACAAAATAGCCATCATTATCTATAAAAAAAAAATTGTTGTACACATCAACTGAATAAATATTTTTTTTTACTAATATAAGTTAGAAAGAGCAAATCTTCATGAAATTGTCACATCTTAAATGGTTAACAATCCATATAAATGAAAGTTAACTCAAAATAGGAAGCTAGGGTCATAGGGTCAGCATCTGCAACTAATACAGACAGAAGAAGCAATATGAACACGAGATATTTAATATAATCATAGAATAAAACTTGGGAACCCTGCTTTACCACGAGTCCTAAATATTTTCCATTTTCTGACCTATAAGATGAGAAGACAGCTCAAATCATCATATTATGCAACAAAGATAACTTTTACAAGGTGATAGAAAAGTTACCTGGAAAACCCTAAGCAGGGATGAACGCTTTTGTTTCCGTTTTCTCATCCAATAACTATATACAGCTTCTACAACTTCTTTGCTACCAAGATCCTGACACCAATTAGACACAGATTTTTCATCATAACAGTCATCAGGATTACAATAATAAGCCTTCTCCAAAGCATCAACTATCAACTCAAAATTATCCTCTGAAACATATTCTTGAAACTCCTTATTAAACGTGCTCAGCCATTCTTCATCTTCAGAATCCAAGTCATAATTTGCAGTCTTCCTTGTCATTGCTCTAGATAACTCATTACCATTTGCAGATATATAAGCATCTGGTCTGTGGAAGGGAACATCATAACTGTCTGCATAACCAGAGACATCACGGACACCTGGTACAGGGATAACTTTAGCAACAGGTGCTGGGACATTACGATCAGAGCACTCTTTATAAAGGTCTTTAAAGACAATCCAGTCCTGATAACTAGCAAACTCTAGCTTCAACCCATTGTCCAATGAGAAGATTCTCCCATGGGTGTACCGATTGGAAGAATGGGGTCTCATCACTTTTTCTGCCTTGAGAGTGCATCTTGTCAATCCGTCTTTCTTTGCTACCAGAAGCCACCCTCTTGAGGCAGGCATTTCTTCTAAAGTGATAACTGCTCCTTCTACTCTATAACATCTGTCTGACTCTGTAATCAATATATTTGTAGAACAGTGAGATGAATGCAGCCCTTCTGTTGAATCTACCATGGTAGATTTTGCTTCTGAAAGGCTTACGGTGGTGCAACTGTTAGCCAAACTTCTAAGTTTCATATTAGATGCAACACCAACAATACTTTTTTTCCGTCCATTCTTTAAATCAGAAGCTAATACTCCATTACTTCTGTCCATCATTGAAGGATTTCGAGCTTTCCTTTTCCTGAGTGAAGTCCTCCTCCTCCGAATGCATTTAGAGTTCACGTTTCTATATTGGCCATATCGACTAGCCAACCTAGAACACTTGACAGATGCACGTAAAGATAAACCATCATTGATTTCAATAACATCAGGGGTGTTGACTCCACTCTCAGAAGCTTCTCGCGTGAAGGAATTGCATGAAATCTGAGTGTCCATTTGGAATTCTGGGAAATCAATTTCCTCCTCAACATCACTAGACACATTCAACGGATTGTATACCAGTAAAAATGACTTCAACATAGATTTTAAAAGTATCTCAGAATGCAGACACTTAAAACAAAGAGGAACAGCAGAAAAATCCACACAGAACAACGGCATGAACCGTGTGATCCCAGAGAACTGGCAAATCCCAATGTTGGAAGTAAGAGAACCCTGAAAGAAGATTAAACTTAAATGTTATGTAAGATCACGGCGTAAAATAAAAACAGTTAAAACTTAAATCAACCAGCAGATGGCTACTGATTTTTTTTTTGGTAGGAGATGTATCTTGATTCTAGGGATGGTACAATCTACCAACCTCAGCAAATCGAAGATTAAACTGAAAATGTTACGTATGATCATGGGGTAAAATAAAACAATGAATTCAACCAGCAGATGACTATTGAGATTTCTACTTTTACTTATTTTTAGGTAAGGAGAAGTCTCTTCATTCAAAATTTGGGACAAACTACCAACCTATGAACTATGAAGCACCGATACTCCCCGAAATTTTTTTTTCCAACATATCCGATACACATATCGGAAACGTATTTTATAGTATCAACGTATCGATATCCCATATCGAGTACATATTGGGAACGTATCAAAAACGCCGTGTCGGAACCGGTGCTTCATAGCTACCAACCTCAGCAAATTATAGATCGTCTACCAACAAGAGACTGGGTTCAAACCCAAATTATATGTAATTGTCATAAGTGGAAGGTTGACCGGGTTGACCAACCCGTTGGCAGACAAAGAAAAAGCATCAATTCTTTGAATTTTATACCAAACTTAAATAAAACATCACAATTGTATGCTACTATGCAGCTTCCATCCATTCATTAGTACCATTTATGGACAAACTAAGACATGAGCAGATCACAAAGCAACAACCTATATAACCATTTACCTGCAAGAACTGTATCCCCCGTGATGCGTAAGCTCCACATATCGGCTCAGATAGAAAGAATGCAGAGAGCTCCTTCAGTGTGAGCCTGAACCTTGTAACGTGCCTCAACACCAGAAACAAGAAAGAGGAAAACAAATCACTGTCCCTACGAGAGTGTTTCACGACAATTGAAAGCACAGATCGATTCTTCCTCCATTGTCGCCGAGTAAACTGCAACCCAAACATCTTATTATCATCAGTTGCAAGTTCAGAACTTGCAGCACTCATTCTCTTCCTCTTTCTGCTATACACAATACCAAAAAATCTATCAGGGACATTCACTTTACACGAGGAGTGAGCCTTTTGGGGACCCTGCTTCTCCAACTCCATAACACCAGCATAATCTTCATTAGCATCATCATCCACCACAACAATCTCATGCTTCGTTTTCGCATTCGCATTCTTCTCTGGCTTCTTCACCCACTCGTCTCCTTCGTTCACTCTCCTCATCTTTCCCTCGCCGGAATCCGGCCACAACCGCCGCCCCGACCGCAACACGCGGGCGGAGTCGGCGCCCTTCACCACCCCGAACACCCTCGTCGTCCGCCTCATCCCAACCGACGGCATTGCCGTTCGGTCGCCAAACGACACTACCCGAGAACCGATCTTCCCAACCAACTCACTGAGTCACCGTCTTAAAACTCCGAGTTTTGAGTCAACTCGGCAACGAGTCAAAATTACCAAAAAACTTGGACCCGAGAAAAAAGAAGAAGAAAACCAAGACGCTGAATCTTTAGCACCCAAATGTCTCATAAATCAACTGAAAATGACCAAAAATGAACCCCAAAAAACGAGAATAAAAAAAAAATTCAGAGAGACAAACAGAATAATAACAACAACAACCTTAACATCAACCTGGTTATTCCAGAAGTTTGACAACCTCAAAGCCAGAACAGAATAACCGCAAAATTACAACGGAAGAGAAAGCCAAAGACCAAGAAAATTGGTACAAAAAAAAAAATTGGAAACAACAATCGCGCCTGATATATAAAAAACAACAACGTTACAGATACCGATAAAGGGTAAAAAAGGGAGAAAAAGAAAAAGAAAAAGAACGTCAAAGAAAGCGAAGGCGAAGAATCACGACATAGATGGGATTAAAATCAAGAAATGAATCCCGATGAGCGAGATCTGCGAAGAGAGAGAGAGAGAGAAACGGATCGAAGTAGAGAGAGAAAGAGAGAGCGGGAAAGAGCGCGCGCTGAGAGGGGAGAGAGAGAGAGTTTTGGCTAGGGTTTATGGTTAAAACCACAGTGGGGAAAGGAGAAATGAGTTAACCATTAAAGACCAAAAAAATATGAGTTGGCCATTAACCTTGGGGGAGTGATGTGAGCCGTTGGATAGTGAAATAGAGGGTGGATATTAGTTGAGGAGAGTAGTGAGTTCGATGGCCCCAAAGAGCGTTTCTGGTTTATCAGGTCCAAAAAACAGAGGAGAGAGAGAGAGAAGGATATTTTGTGACACGTAAGAGTGAGCTGAGAATGTCAAAAGACGGATTAGTCCTTAAAAGATGCTACGTGTGAATGAGAGAAACGATCCTAGTGTTGGGATTTGGAGGGTTAGAAAGGAATAAAAGGGGATGAGTCACGGGGTTCGAGTGATATTCGTGTTTGAATGTTTAAAAATTACGGTAGAAATGGAACGGATTGTTAAATTTAGGCTAAGACCGTGGACTTCAGAGGTCTTGCATTTTAACCCCCCTTTGTTTTTCCTTGGAATTTACCTCACTGTATCTTTGTGGTCACAATACGTTATGGTGCGTAAAGATTATGTCAGAAAATATACGTTCGGTCTTGCATTGACAGTATTACTACGTCGTGAGGTACGTGCTCAGAAATAGTATATATTAATTGTATAATTTTATAGTTGAAGTCTCAATTACTGTGCACAAGCAATAGGCTTATGGTCAAGGGTAGGTGTGTGCACAGTGTGGACAATATTACTAAATAGGTTGAAAGTCTGTACTTGGAGTTCTTAAGCTCTTATTTATAAAGATTATATTTCTAGACTTGGGTCTTTTGAGCTCTCCATGTTGCATTAGAGTTCAGCTCCCTTACTGATGGGATGTGATCCTTATCTTTTGCCCTTTGACTGTTTAATGTTGTTGAGATATTCATGAATCTACTTCTTAGTAGATTCTTAAATGAGTAATTGGGATATGATATTCATATCCATAACAATATATATATAAAGAATTTCATGTTAAGAAGTATATCTGTGCAAAATTGACCTTTTTCAACGTTTAAGAAGTTAAAAGCATTTAGAAAATTAATCTTACCACATTGATTGAATAGAAACAAAGTTGTAAACTACATTATTTGAATAGAAAAAGCCTTCACGTTTTTGCTCGTTAATAGTTTTTTTTTTTTTTTTTACCTCGCACCGTGTAATGGAATTAAGAAAGTTCCTATATGTAGGAGATTTTATTTGCCGAAATGATATATCAATAGAAACATTATAAGAAGAAAATAGAAAAGGAATTAGATTTGTTATGGCAGAATGTGCTAACGGAACGGTTTGGTAGTATATATATGGAAATCAGTTTTTTTGTTGCTGGAAAAAAGTATCTCATATAAAAAAAAAATAACGATGTACTATGGGTAATACATAATTATAATATTAAAATTATTTTATTTTTCTCTCTCCTCAAACATTGTCGGCTGACGTGGTGGAGAGAAAAAAATAATTTTATCATTATAATTATATACTACTCGTATTACGTAGTTTTTTTTTTTTTTTTTGCATGAGATAATTTTTTTCAATACCTTGAGAAAAAGATAGAGAGAAATAGAAAGGATTCTTTTTTAATATTATTTTGCAAATTACGCTATGTACTTCCAAAAATACATTATTTCTGGGAGTACATAGTGTAGTTTATAAAAATTTATAAACAAAAAATTTATATGGGCTTATCGTTTCTCAAGCTGCTGGAGATAATTTTATCATAACCGAACAAAAATAGATCAATGGTGATAAAGGAAGAGAGAGAAAAAGAGAATCATTATCATTCAAAGGTGAATCAGTTAATAAAAAAAAAAAACGACGTAATTTTGGAGTAGCCGGAAATAAACTTATCTCAAAAAATGTTTTTCCATATATATATATATATATATAAGTTGGTGCGCTCTTCTAAATTTCTTATAAAGATATGAGTATTCTATTGGATAGATTGATAAACAAAAAATTGAAATTATATCCAATGAAGGAGAATCAAAGCTCCACCAAAGTAAATGAATAAGTTCCCAAGTTACAAGAAGAAGATATATCGGAATGGATTATTTGATTTGTGATTTAACATGATTAAGGCAAGTGAAATGATTTTAATTATTTATGGATAAATATAGAGTATTATAGAGTTATTAAAAAATAAATATTGATTCATCTTTTAAGTAGTTTGAATTATCTCCCATAACATAATTGTTAAATAATATATGAGCATGTTAATTAATATACGAGTAGATGCATTCTTAACAAACCCGCGACTGAGAGTGTAAATGGGCTAGACTGCCCTGGCCTAACCTACAGCCCGGCCTACGTTGAGACTGACCTAGCCCGACCTACGTTGAAAAGTATAGTAGGTTTAGGCTTATAAGAAAGCTCTTTTAATAAGTAAGCCATAGGCCAATTTTGTCAAGCCTGGCCTAAAGCCTTGTAGGCTGGCTTATTTAATTTTTTAAAATAAAATAATATATTTTATTTTGGGGTATATGATATACATTATAGAGCTACGGTATTATGTTGACTCTTTCTTATTTGTCATTTTTTATGAATTACGAGAAGTACTAGTGCATGCATGAATAAAATTTTGCTCAGTATATTTTTATAGTTATTTTTTTTACCATTGTTAAAATTTTTAATTCTCACTAATGAAATTTATATCTTGTGTAAAAAAATGCAGCAATTTATGAATACGTTAATGACTTGTAATGTGAAGCGAATATCTTAAAAATTGTTAAAAATATTTCACTAAGGAGGCCTACAAAGCCTGTAAACCATATAAGACTCTCTATTTTTAAAAATAGGTCAGGCTTGGCTTGACTTATAAATAAAGTCTTTAATAGGCCAATAAATCAGATAGACTGAATATTTTTTTATGTAGATTTAAGTCAAGAAGGCGAAACTCCTGACCTATTTACGCGACCAATGTTACTCCTTATATAAGTTATAACACTACTGTAGTCAGCTTGAAAGCACAGGGCTAGTATGCTCAGCATTTCGTATTGGAGATTTGGAGTCAGTGAGATATGCCTCATCCTCCTTTGGATCTTAGCGAAAAAGGTAACAGACGATACACAATAACTACTCAATTTTTTATTTTTTATTTTAACTTATCTTCTTCTCATAAATCTTGTTTAATTTACTTCCAAAATATAATATAAAAAAAGGAAAATTCGAAGCATACGGGCCCATTGACCCAGCAAAAGCATCCACATGGCCCATTTAGAAACTGCCGGCCCATTCATTGATTTCCATTTAAAATCTCCTCATGTCACCACCGTTCTTCCGTTTCACTTTCACCCACAATTTCCACAACAACACACAACAAACTCAAACCCCATTATTCATTCGCTTCCAACAACCGCCACGCGCGAATGCACTCCGACCTTTATTGGGACGCCATACAGCGCGTCGGCATCATAGGACTCGGCGACCTCCGCTTCATCCACCGCCTCGGAAGCGGCGACACCGGCAGCGTGTACCTGGTGGAGCTCAAGGGCTCCGACGGGTGCGTCTTCGCTGCCAAGGTCATGGACAAGAACGATATTGTTGCTAAGAACAAACAGACAAGGGCATTCATTGAGAGAGAGGTTTTGCAAGTGCTTGACCACCCTTTTCTTCCCACGCTTTATGCAACAATCGACTCTCCAAGGTGGTCCTGCCTCCTCACCGAGTTTTGCCCCGGCGGCGACCTCCACGTCCTCCGCCAGCACCAACCGGATAAACGTTTCAGTGAGTCTGCGGTAAGGTACGTGATTCCTTTTTCTCTTTTTTGTGCTCAAACTAGTTTAACTTTATATGCATGTGAAGTTGTGAACATTTGTTCCACTATGGCTTATGGTTATGCTATTGGGACACGGACAGTTGGAGAAAAAAAGACATAATGTGTGTGTGATAGAAGTTTATCCTCTCATATTAAAAAACAAAAATCACATTGTCACGTAGGACAATTATAATATGTAAGACAATTATAATCATGAATCAATAGTTATGATTTAATAAATATTTTTTTTCTTTTTTTTATTATTATCGATTCATTTTATAATTGTCCATAATTATATCATGTATTTTTTAACGTGAGAAGATTCACTCCTGATTCTGGTGATCATGTAAGACTCACTTCATTTTGTTTGTCTGGTTTATAACTATTTGGGATTGTGTATCAAATGAATATGCATGCAGAATAATCAATATTTGTAACTCAATTGGTATTTCCTGTAATAACCACTAATGTAATTACCGAAAGGGAAATGATTAATATTCTAGAGATAGAATTAGAGACAGAGCATGTTTATTTGGCTTCTCTCACTGCGTGATGCAGTTTCACGATGGGAAAGTTCAATGTGTGGGCCATCTGTTTCAATTAATGTTTTTTTTTTTTAACTCTTCATAATTATTTTTTTGAGAGGATTAAGTTCCTGTGATATCCTTATAAACTGTGGCTCTTTGAACTGACTGTAAAATTAATTTCAAATATGAAATAAATCAAGAATTAAGATTTTATATAAAATAAATCAAGAATTAAAATTTTATATCTCTTCCCAAGTGAGCTTGCAACCGAGATTTTTCTCACCCAGGGTAATTAATGTCTCCTCTGGCTGCGTTTGATTGTGAGCCCAAGAAGGTTCTTGGTGTAACCGTCGTGCTTCAAATAATAATTCAACTCCACCCCCACTTAACCAAGAAGAATTATTAAAAAGCCAAAATAATATTATTAATAATAAGAAGAAGAATAAGCTTTTGAACATTTCTATATTGGCTTTCCGAATTTTGTAGAGCTTTCAATGTTTTTCGAAGAGGCGTTTCAATATTGACAAAATCTGCATTGGGAAACGAGTTCATGATACTATATATTACTACATAAAATAACGATTTGCTTGTGCCCGTTTTTAAACTACTTATGTAAAAAAGATATGCATAATTAAAAAAAGACATGCACAGTTAATTCTGGTAGATTTTAAAAAAATTAATGAAAAGAAAAAATATTAAAATTATTAAAAAGATGCGCATGAGTCATGACCAATTTAAAAGAATAAAAAATAAAAAACTGCTTTTATTATAGGGTTCGTTTTTTCTGCAATTACTTGTCTGCAGTAAGTCCAATACTAGGTCGTTTTGAAACAGAAATCATGATGTTTTTGTAATTTTAATTTATTTCAGGGTTATAATAGTCTTTATATTTATAATTTTTTAATATTTCAATACCAAAACGATGTCGTTTTGAAAAAATGCAGATAACTTATATGCAGTAACTGCATAAATATTTTTTCCTTTATTATATGAGTTTTAATTTTATCATATAATAGGAGATTTTGTTGTTGTTATAAACACATATTATGTGGGCTCCCATTTATTAAAAAATAAAAATATAAAAAGAAAATATTACACGAAAATTGAAATATTATGACAGGAAAAAACAATTCTTCTGCAACATGAGAAAATATTTTCTTTTATTATATCTATAGCTTTTTCTAGATTTTTTTTTCTTCAAAACCTACTTTTTTAAACTTCTAAAGAAACCACTAAATTATTTTTATTTTTCTTTTATAAAAACCCATCTAGTTATCATAATTTGTTTTCATAGACATGATTTTTAATTAAAAAATACTTTTGTTCTCTTAAAAAAGCTTAAACAAACGAGTCTCACACACTTTGAAGAAAATTACTTTGATTTCATAATATTGAAATGACAGGTTTGCGTTCTTAGTTGGAATTGCCATGTACGGTGCAATTTTAAAAACTTTTAGTCAATTGTATCAATTCCTTTCTTGTCCATATTTAGGGACACCGTTTTATTTTTTTATTTTTTTATTTAAAAAAAAATCTTTTAAGACTTTCCCCTCGGTCAAAATAAAATTATTCAGAAGTGGATCCTACATGGTTAATTATTGGAGAAATTGATGGTAATAAAATTATGGTGCTGATATATGTACCAAAAATAATATGATGTTGATAATGATAATTCTACTATTTTGTTTACTTTATGGTGCTACAACTACAAACGTGACTTTAGTTCGATTGCTATCTTTTGTAGTAATATTTGACTGTCTTTGATGTTATAGGTTCTATGCATCTGAAGTGGTGGTTGCCTTGGAGTACCTCCACATGATGGGGATAATATACCGTGATTTGAAGCCCGAAAATGTGCTCATCAGATCCGACGGTCATATAATGCTCACAGATTTTGATCTCTCACTAAAAGGTGACGACACGTCATCAACGGCTCAGATTGTCCTTGATCAAAATCCCCCCACCAATTACACTTATTCTAAAGAACATTCCAAGAACCAATGCGCATCCGCCATGTCATCATGCATCTTGCCCAATTGTATCGTGCCGTCTGTCTCATGCTTCCACACAAAACGCAGTCGTATAAAAAGATCATCTCGTTGTGGGTCCCTTGAGATCATAGCCGCCAATTAAAATCCGATCAATGTCGTTTGTTGGGACCCACGAGTACTTAGCACCAGAGGTAATTTCAGGTGAAGGCCACGGTAACGCCGTTGATTGGTGGACATTAGGTGTGCTCATGTTCGAACTGTTCTATGGGATCACACCCTTTAAAGGGCTTAACCATGAGCTAACACTGACCAACATAATGGCCCGTGCACTTGAGTTCCCTAAGGAGCCCATGGTCCCTGGACCAGCCAGGGATTTGATCACACAACTTTTGTTGAAGGACTCAACAATAAGACTAGGGTCTACAATGGGTGCTGTGGCAATAAAGCACCATCCATTTTTCAATGGGGTTAATTGGGCACTGTTGAGGTGTGCCACTCCACCGTACACCCCATCATCAAACATGTGCAAGGAGTTGGTAAGTGTCTCTAATTGCACAAACAATGCAATTGACTTCTATTAGAAGGATCATCATCACCATTACAATTGAATACGACTGGCACGGTTTTTATACGAGTTCAATTGAAACAAGTTTAATGACATTGCTAAAATTTAAATGGATTAAGTGTTTATTATTTTGAAGGATATGTAAAGTTGTGTCATTTTTTTTTTTTTGGTAATTAAAGTTGTGTCATTTGAAGTGAGACAAAGAAATAGATAAAAGAGGAGATAGAGTGGATAAAAAAATATAAAGGTGTGGGTCCCACCTTTTTGTGAAAGTGAAAGAATATAAGTTGTGTCATTTAAAAGGACAAACACTTTTTCAATTTTAATATAGTCATCTTTGTTGTTTTTTGTGATCGTCATTAATTTTGTGTCAGATACATCTGTCCGCTTAAAAAAGCAAAGAAAATGGTACATATACCGTAGGTACATATGGTATGCCGAAGAGGGAAATATTTAATATAGTCCAGGATCACTGAATTGTTTGGTGCTCCTTCTCACAACATTAATTTTTTCTTTTCTTTTTAATCCCTATTATTTTCCCTCTTTTTCAATTTTATTCTTCTATTTACACTAAGGGACCACCTAAAAAATAATGGTCCCGGTTCATCCTAAATAATCTCGCCAAAGAGGTGATTTTCGGGTAAATTTCTTTATTAATTTATTTTAGGAGGGGGAGCAAAAACAATTTTCTTCCTCACAAAGCATATATATATGAGAGATTTTTCTAACGTTCAGAAGCACAATACTATTTCATGGTCCTTTATTAAAAAAAGGAATTTTTCTTTCATTTATACCTTTTTTTTTTTTTAAATTTCATCTCACTCCATTTTTTTCCCTATTTTTAAAACGGGAGTAGAAGCTCCCAAAGCATGTTCAACTAGCTCATACATGAGATATATTTTTCTCCCTGCACACTTATAAAAAGTTCCTCCTGTTGCTTTTTAATTTTAATCCGATGGACTTTTTTGCTTCTACATAAATATTATAAGTTTCTCATGTATTAACAACGAGAAACTTATAACTAGATATATATATATATATATATATATATATATATATATATATATATATATATATATATACTATTCTGTCTATTTCTTTTTTATGTTTATTTTACTTATTATTCTCCAATTCTGTTATATCAGAATCTTACCAGAAATTTTTTTTTATAAAAATTAGTTGAGATTCTGATCTAATAGTATTGAAGAATAGTAAATATTAAAAAAATATAGATAGAGTAACTCATTATATATATATATATATATATATATATATTATATAGGCTTAACATCTCTCCAATAAGTATATTTCTCATATATATATATATATAAATATAGATAGAGTAACAGTAACAGGAGAAGTATATTTCTCATATATATATATATATATCGGTTTTATACCTCTCCAGTAACGTGAGAGGTTTCGAGATTCCGGAGAGAGAACAATTGGTTATATGTATAAAGAAACTAGAGTGTCGTGCCAGTTTGAGTATAGAGTGTCATGCCAGTTTGAGTATAATCTGCAACAAGAGGTTGAATAGCCACCTCAATCTGCTTAAACCAGTAAGAAAAATATAGGAAATTGAAATCAGAAAGTTGCAAGCAAATTAAATCAGCATGATCTGTATTCGCACGTTGTAGTCGTTTAGGGTATCTATCAACATATTCCAGCAGCTGAATGGTGCAGTAACAATGAAATCAAATGCAGCTAATAAACCTCAGAACTTCTTCATACAAGTGGTAATGAATATTTGTTTGTGCGAAAGACGGATGGGGATGCAATATGCTTTGACATAAATGAAACAAAATAAAGACAGAAATGACTCTTTATTTTATATATATATATAAACAGAAGAATATAGAAACACTATTCATTCTGAAGTTAAACATCCATAATAGAAGAAGACTACAATTATACCCTACTTTAAATGAAAGAATTTTTTTTCCAAGTCTCGTCAGTTGAAATCCTTAAGTCGCTTTTTGAGTGTGTCCATTGATTTCTTTTTAGAACTTTGCTTTGCATTTTTATTTCCAAGGCTTCCAAAGATCCCATCCGGAGAATCCTTGAATTTATCGCAAATAGTAGCCACCTTCTTATAATCCAATGCGTAGTAATTTTTCTCCCTTATAACAGGATTCATGAAGTTCTCGGGTTGACTACTTGACAAAAGATTAATTAATTGCCGTGCTTCTACCAAGCAGCTCTTAAAACTACCTTCCTTGTAAATTTCACCCAAGCCAGAAGAATAGAACCTCTCATTTGCAAAATTCTCTAACATTATAAGGTCATTGTTGATATTCATAACTGCATTTGCATTAAACCTTTTGACGCTATCACTAAGGAAAGCACCCACAATTGTATTGGAAATATGTTCAAGTGCACCAGTCCCAACTTTGTACATAGCATCCAAGGGTAAAATTTGTTGTGCCGTGGACATAAGAGAATCAAGGTAAAAGATCACTTCATTTATGTAGTCATTTCCATTCGGCTTTGCCTCCTCTGAAGTCCAAATAACACCTTCTGTAAGAGTCATATACTCATTTAATTTTGCGTTTACTAAACTCAGCAGAGTAATATAAACTGCATCCCTTGAAGTCTTGAGTAACACCTTTGCAGTTAAAGTAGCTTGATGCTTCTCAACTGTTCGGGCCGCGTTGCCACATTGTTGGGCTGCAAGTCGAAGGAAAAAATCACAAGCTCTTTCGAAAACAGATATGTTGGCAGCAATCTGCATGGCTTGAGACACGCTGATACTCCCACTATTGATCATATCAAGTAATGTTTCATTTAATACTTCAATCAGGAACTTGTCCAAATACTTCCTCACAACATCAAAGAAACTGGTACGTCCACCATAAGACAAGTAATCAACAGAGCCTTTGATGAAGGATCTCACAATGTGACAAGCATCGGGTACCATGGAGGAGAATGAAGCAACATACGGAAAAGCGGGCATAATATCTGTAGTTTGAAGATTAAATGACAGAACATTATTCTCATAATCAGTCTCCCTTTTTATCACCATCTGCTCATATGAGTCGTTGGCAAGAACATCGACAGTTTGTTTCCGACATTCTTCCAAAAGAAGCAGATGGTATTTGTCACGGTTGTTATCAAGCACATCAAGAAGTGGACCTATGTCATATCCATATTGTCTAAGAGTAGTACCGAGAAGAGTGACATAATCCTTAACCAAGAGAAGATGGGTGGCAGAGTTCATGTGAGAGAATTGCATGTCCAGCATTGATGTCATTTTAGCTAAAGCAGTCTCCCACATAGTTTCAACCTGATCAGGTACCAGGAGCCCCCCACAAGTCCTCAGGACCCTATCCTCCACTATGAAGTATCCAGCAATCTGAGCCAAAAATGTCTGATGTGTTTCAACAAAAGATTGAGCTGAAGACATCTCCAAGTCTGAATTCAGTTGTAACAATCTATTCTTATAGTAATATTCATGAAACTGCTCTAGGATCCCCATACAACTGTGAATATGACAAGCACGATAAAGAGGTGTGAGATCAAACTTCATGCTAGAATCTTCATCAGCATCTTCAACATCCAAATTATAAGCTCGATGCTCTGCTCCTGAACCATTTATCTCCTCAGCCTTTCTCTGCCTTTCTAGCATTTCCTCATCCCTCTGACGAACTGATGCAGCACGACTAATTGCTGTTTGCCCGATTTTTTTACAAGAACTCCGTATGTGGACCATCCATTCATTAACTTGACTGCATACTTTCTTCTGAATGTGCGATTTTATGGAAGGAATTCTTTTCTCTATCACCAATTTGAGAGCTCTAGCAGGAATATTCTGGATGTAGTTCTTCTCAAGTAAGTCCACAGTTTTCAATGCAGGATAAAACTCTCCTTCAGAAATGTGATTGTTGCACTTAACACAAAGCTCCAACACCTGTATACAGTTCTTTGACATTTTAATAGCTTCGGTCACATTCTTCTTGACAGAATAAGATTCAAGAAGCTCCTCAAGCTTGACAAGAAGGGTGCTTCCAACCTGCTGCAACTTAAAATTGTCACTTTGGAGCTCACTCTTGAGCTCTTCAGCATCAACTAACACCCCACGAAGTTCATCAACTGCGAGAATGAATTCCTCATAGTGTGTCTTGCACATCTCCTCAATTTCAGCTTCTTTTTTCTTCACCACATAATTCAGCTGGCGAAGGAGCCCCTCGGGGCGTTTCATTTCAAAGGCATGCCTGACAAGAGGACTAATATCATCACCATTAGCAACCAAAGTTGCTAGAACTAAGTCTTCTCCTTCATCACCATTCTCTACATCATCTCTCCTTTTCGTTTTAACATCCATTGTTACATGAATCCCTGGAATCTGGAAACATATTTCTTGTTACAAACCAAATACTAAACCAAGCATACCACAAATTGATTACTCTATAGATTAACAACCACAGTCCATAAAGTGCTATTACATTTTTATAACTCACTATTCAAAATTAACCCAATTCTTTAACATGACAAAAAAAATTAACAACAGTGGAATATCCCAAATGGACAATGAACAAAACCAAACAATACAATGATCGAAACATAGTAGCTAATCATAATTGACCACAAAAAAAAAAAAAAAAGAGCATGACAATAACATATTGAGGAAAAAAAATGCAAGAGAAAAGCTAAGAACAATCATCTTCTGTTTCATCATTGCTGTTAAAAGTGAAATTCTAATGACAGTCATGCACCTGACATATATATAATGCAAATGTTGACATAAACAAAAGGAACTAGCCATGTGGATTCACACTTAAAGACTGTAAATACAAATTGAAAGCTAAGCCTACAAACTTTAAAAGAAAAACCAAATAAAAGCTTTTAAGACAAGTGAATTGCAACAATTTATTTTGATCATCCCACAGATTCTCCGTACCACGTAAAATCTTCCACAAACTTTGATAGCACAATTGACAGAAACGAAGAATCTAAAAATTCTTAACAAACAAGGAAGGACCGGTCATCGTTAGTATTAGATATGAACTTCTACAAACAATAGCAGAGATTCGGAAGCATATCAAGAAAATTGTATCCTTCAATTGTCAGAGCACATCATCAGGAATAAAAGGTACAAAAGAGAGGTAGATAAGCCTAATAAACAACCATGGGAGCCGAACAATACAAAATTATGTAATAGTTGATAGAGAAGCCAATGGTTGATGAAAACCAAATGCATGCACACACACGCAGCTAGAAACACTTTGATTTACAAAACATTAGAACTGATAGAACCCTTTTCTATAACTTTCTACAAGTTCAAATTTCGTCTCCAAATTTCTCCTAAACATGCATTTCCTCTAGTTTTAAGGAATCGGATTCCTAATTTTCCAAAATCAAAATTTCCTGGGAATCATAGTTCACAAAACAACATCAATAATAAATCCAGATATTTTAAATCAGGAATTCAAATATTATTGCACAAACATCTAGAACAACGAATAAGAAAAATGAAAAAAAAAAATGGAAAATAATTGTGAATTAAAGAAAACAAAAGAGGACAGAACAGAACAGAACACAAGAAAAAACATAAAAAAAGGAAAGAAAAGTAAATGATGGGATAGAGGTGCACCTGAGACATGGTTATGGATAGATAATTTTGGTTAAAAACAAAACGAAGGTAGGGTTTGTAATTGTAACAGAACAGGTTCCAGCAGAGGGACATGATTTTTAACATGCAACCAATTTTACATTACACATCTGAAGCAAGAAGAAGCATATTTCTCAGTAAAGGGATGTTAATTTGATGTATACCATTAATTCCATCTTTACTGTTGAATGCTCGTCCTATTGAACAAAGATTTTTAACACATTTAATTTACCTTCAAGTGATATTTCTTCTGAAAGGATATATCCAAAGATCACCAGTGATAATGCCACATGGAATCCACCATAAATACCATAAACCCCAACAAAAAATTATAGATTGGAATTGCAGCTACAGTTGCTATCGCCACAAAAAGAAATGACTACACCTTCAACAAAAATGGCATGACAGATGCATGGTCCAGTCCAATGAGTATCTTCCCTCACGTTTTCTACGTTGCGCCCAAATAAAGAAAACAATAAAATGATGCCAAAAATTGGAGCTTTTTGTCGCTGATCACAAGGGTTTTTCGTATTCGTTCGTAAGGATAGATTTTTGGTACAAATTTTCTGTTGGTGATAATTCAGCGTAGGACGAAATTTCCGAACTAGAGATTGCTATTCCCACGGTTTTGGCGCAAAAAAATGAACTAAGAGCAAAGTGGGCCTATTCCGTTATAGTGAGTTGAGGTTTTATTATTATTTAATTATGTTACATTATTAAATAGGTTTAAGTATGATAACATAATTATTATTTATTTTTTTTGGTAAAAAATAACATAATTATTTAAAATGTGAAATTTATCACAATAACATATAATTAAATGGTAACATAATTTTTTTTTTACACCACTTGATCTAAATTGAATTTTTCTACTTTTAGTTATTTAAAAAAAAATTATGAAGTTTAACACTAAAATGAAAAGGAGTGCAATGACAAAAGAATAATTTTTTTCACCATTGCGTTTGTTTTAGAGTTTAATAATAAATAAATGTTTAATTTTTTTTAGTTAATTTAACTTCTGCTCATCATAGTGAGGAATGTACACACAGTAATATATTACTCTTGCATCATTTCTTTTATAAATGATTTTTCATTTTCCTTGTTTCTTTGTAAGATCTGAAAAATGTTATATTTACAAATTTTTTGTTTACAAATTTTTACAAACTACACTATGTCTGACCGGTCATACTTCAATCAAGAGTGTATGATCGGTCAAATTTAGTATAATTTGTAAAAAAAAATTTGTAGACGAATCATTCCCATGATTATTTGTCTTTATAGGGTACCGTAAATTATAATAGCTAAATTGTCGCCAATATAACTGTTAATGTGATATTTATCAAAGGTTCAATCTTTAGCAAGTTACTTTTCCTGTTTCCCTATCTGAATATTTGCACCTCAACTAACTTTGAAAAGATACAAAGCCTAGCAGTTAGCCTAATGAATAAGGAGATAAGCTCACATCTTAACTACCTTGGTTCAAACTTTGGTCAAGAGACTTATCTCGAAATGCATTAAGCAAATGTAGGAGGTGTGCCCTTAAACATTTGAACGAAAAATCTAGTTTTAGTTGACACAAAAACTAGCCCGTGAATATTTTTAATCAGCGTTTTACTGGCCCATATGAATATACAATTTCGAGTATAAAATTTAGTAGAGAGAGAAGGTGGATAACAAGTTAGAGAGAAGGAAGAAAATGAGTGGGAACAAGGACAAATTTATTAATAAAAGCACATTAATACAGAATCACAACTGTTAAAGATAGTAAGTAATACACGGCAGACTTCAGTGTAGCTTAGTTGCCAATTATACAATACTAAATACATCATATGACGTTCTATAGTTATTGCAAATTTATCAAATAGTATTTGAATCACAGAGCTACTTCTCCCACATAGAAATAGAGCCAAATGTTTTAGGCAACAGTGAATGTGCTTTAGTCTCAGCTGGACCCTTCAGCTTCCCAGAAAGTAGTCTTCTTCCCAGTTTTGGAAACAGTCTGCAGAACTGTGTCTGGCTGGACATTTCCTTTCACTACCACCTTCTGTTCCTTCAAATCAATGTCATATGATTCCACACCTGTAAATCACATATCTATTTATCATTCTACAATATTGCAAGAGGAACTTCGGTTGGTTGGTATACTGCCACTGCAGTGAGTTCAATCAATATTAAGATTCTGTCTCTCAGCGTGTTTACTTCTGTTATATTCTTTTACCAAGGGAACCCAAACCATAGAAAGAAACTTGGATTATTTCTTTATATATAGTAAGAGGAAAAATTCATACTACAATTGAAGATATAAGAAGGGAAGAAGGGGCAATTGGAGCTTTCCTTTTGATAGAAGAAACACAGTATATGCTTTGGTTAACTATACTCAAACATTGGACAAGAGAAGCTCCCATCCCAATCGGTGGCAGATTAATATCATCATGATTGGAAAGGGAGGATATCAGAACTAAATCAGTAAAGGTCAGACTATATGCTAGAGAAAGTGTTGGTTTAGCATATTTAAATGACCTTCTCATTAATACCAAAAAAAAAAGAAATGACCTTCTAATCGCTTTGTGGCATGTTCAAACATTTTCAAAAATTAATAAAAGGATTAATGAAGATAAGAAACGTAACACATACAGAAATGTACATGCTATGAAGAGAAATGAATACAAAGTGGAGAATTAAGAGAGAAAAGCATTAACAAGAACTTTGAGCTATATAACATTAAAATGACCTCAAAATGTTCCACTAACTTAACTGATGTAAGGGCATATGTCACAGAAGACACAGCTTTAAAGCAGATTACAAAGGAAAGGGAAGGAAATAACGTTTGGGAAGGAGGCTTCAGAATTAAAGAAACAGTTGACACCCATTGGAAACCAAATTTTTTTGAGAATTAGGATGTCAAGCTGAGAACGTATCTTGATTGATTGAAATTGACAAAAAGAATAGAACTGCAAACTAAAGTGGCTAGTGTAAGATAACAACCATATTCTTGTTGATATTGGATAGCAGAGAAAGTTTGCATTAGTAAGTTAATTTTAAAATGATGCTGAATACAATATAATGGCAACTTAAATCCAAGAGACTAAATATACCATCCAATTTTCCCAGAACTCTCTTCACTGCTCCAACACATCCTTCACAAGACATACCAACTTTGAGGACAACAGTCTGCAATCATAATGCAAAAATTTCAGATTAAAGGGGAGAAAAAAGAAAAAAAATATCATAAGAATAAATATCATCTTTCAGATTAATCCCCAAGACTGAAATTTTTAATCTGGAATTTAAGAAATACTGGAATCAGTTTAAAAAGAGAAAGAGGAGGAAAATCAGGAGGATGAGAGCAAAGCAGGGAATCAGACAAACATATAATAAATAGACTATCATTTCAATGAGTACGGCAAAAGAACAATCATCTTCTGTTTCATCATTGCTGTTAAAAGTGACAGTCATGCATCTGACATATATATAAAATGCAAATGTTGACATAAACAAAAGGAACTAGCCATGTGGATTCACACTTAAAGACTGTAAATACAAATTGAAAGCTAAGCCTACAAACTTTAAAAGAAAAACCAAATAAAAGCTTTTAAAACAAGTGAATTGCAACAATTTATTTTGATCATCCCACAGATTCTCCGTACCACGTAAAATCTTCCACAAACTTTGATAGCACAATTGACAGAAACGAAGAATCTAAAAATTCTTAACAAACAAGGAAGGACAGGTCATCGTTAGTATTCGATATGAACTTCTACAAACAATAGCAGAGATTCGAAAGCATATAAAGAAAATTATATCGTTCAATTGTCAGAGCACATCATCAGGAATAAAAGGTACAAAAGAGAGGTAGATATGCCTAATAAACAACCATGGGAGCTGAACAATACAAAATTCTGTAATAGTTGATAGAGAAGCCAATGGTTGATGAAAATCAAATGCATGCACAACACACACGCAGCTAGAAACACTTTGATTTACAAAACATTAGAACTGATAGAACCCTTTTCTATAACTTTTCTACAAGTTCAAATTTCGTCTCCAAATTTCTCCTAAACATGTATTTCCTCTAGTTTTAAGGAATCGGATTCCTAATTTTCCAAAATCAAAATTTCCTGGGAATCATAGTTCACAAAACAACATCAATAATAAATCCAGATATTTTAACTCAGGAATTCGAATATTATAGCACAAACATCTAGAACAACGAATAAGAAAAATGAAAAAAAAATGGAAAATAATTGTGAATTAAAGAAAACAAAAGAGGACAGAACAGAACACAAGAAAAAACCTAAAAGAAGAAAGAAAAGTAAATGATGGGATAGAGGTGCACCTGAGACATGGTTATGGATAGATAGATGAGAAATGAAGAAACAAAGTCAACAACAAAGGAATGGGCGCAGAAATGATATATGATGGAGATTACGTTTGAGGAAGGTGTCGTCTTTATAGGCAAAAAATAAGTTAAAAGGTGAAAAGTCGAAAAACGACAACGTTGGGTGGCCAAGGTTGACCATAGCCAGCGTGAAAACAACGCGCTCCTATGCAATTACGTCTTCCTTTTTCGGTTGACGAACAACCTACTGATAACCGTATGATAACAGAAATTAGGTAAATTAGCTTCGATTACTGATTGTTGATCCTCTGTAACAATTGGTGTACTTTTTTTTTTTTATCTTTTCTTAATAATTTTATTTTTAAATTTGAATCGTTCACATTTTAAAAAGAATTATTGAAAAAATGTCATTATATATTATTTAAATAGGGAATATATTTATAAATTTTTTTGTTTACAAACTATACTATCTTCTACTGGGAGAACACTATGTCACACTATCTTCTTTCGGGATACATAGTATAATTTGCAAAAATTTGTAAACAGATTCATTCCCATTTAAATAACAATTGAAATAATATTATTTGATATTGACATTTTCAAAACGCCTTAATTAAAGTAATTGAGTTTATTAATGTTTATCTGGCTAAAAGAAAATCAAAATTTAATACCTAAGTTGATGGAAATCCGAGTTTTCTTCAGGTTAAATAAATCTTCCCAACTTTCATATATTCATAAGATGTGTAGAACCAAAAAAAGAAAGAGAGAGAGCAAACACTAAACAATGCATATTATATATAACATTTAAGTTAAAAATTAACGCGAATAATTTCATTTTTTTAAAAGATACCATGAATTATCTTTATTTAAATGTTTTTGTTGATTAATTAATTCTCACTTTAATATTTTTAAAAACTATATTTATACAAATTGTGGAAACTAAATTAATAATTATCACCACATTATCATTTCAAATATAAAATAAGGGTGTGATGTTTGTCATTTTAAATGACATAATGTCATTTTAGGAGAGAGATAAACACAATGAATGAAAATCATGGGAGACAGAAAGTAGGTGATTTTTTTTAATTTAAATTTTAAATAAAAAAATTATTTTGTATCTATCTCTCTTAAAATGACATAACTTTATGTCATTTAAAATGACTAACACTTTTCCCATAAAATAATGATACAAAAAATAGAAATAATTATCGATAAAGTTGCTTATATTTTCCATCTATTATTATAATTTTTTTATCATTGGGTTAATTTTAAATCAATATGCTTCGGTTGCGGCTGATTGAATGATATTAATTTAACTTTGTGAAGAAATGGTAATGAGAGACATTAAGTATAACGGGTGGTAAATATAATCGACCTCAAAATAATGTATATTATTTATTAGTTTAATCTATCTAGTTTGTATAAATTAAATATAAACATAAATAAATTTCAACTCTATTGTGTAACGCATTTGGGCATTGATTGCGTCTCCATACATTATTTACTTCTTTAACAACTCCTTTGTTTTATTCTTTTGTTCGATTGGATACTAAACAAGTCAGAGAAAGAGAAAATTAATCCTTTCATTATCAGAGGATATCACAAATTTTACGGAATTCTAATAATGTAAAGATTTTTCAATAAAAACATACTATAAACATAAATCAAATTCAATTTACCAAAAAAAACAACAACATAAATCAATAGTAAAAACTGTTTCGATGTATTTGAATGTGTTTTTTTTAAAAAAAAAAAAAAAAACTGTTTTGATGATAAATTTTGAAGACTGATTTTGAGAGTAAAAAAATAATAAAACTTGTTTGAATTATTGTAAAGTTTTCTCTCATTAACCTTTTATTATAGTTTATAATTTGAACCAATTTACTTCATCAATTAATTGTTCGCTTTTGATTTTTTTTTCTTGCCCCGAAAAAAATTTGTACTTCGCTCGTCCTGTGTATGTTATAGTAGATATAAATTATTTACTTAACCGTAACTTGCTAAAATTATGGTTATATGTTTTTAAATTAATGTAAAAATATTATTTAGTGCTTTAATTTGGTCAATCTAATATTTTACTTTTATCGAGCCTAATATATTATTTGTATAGACAAATTTAAAATTTTATTATTTTATTATATAATTCATTTTGTTTGAAAGCCTTATGGACTAGTTTTTAAAAAATGTTTCGTTTACCAAAAAAAATGAAATAAAAATGTTTCATTGTTTTTATAAGTAGGATCGATCCTATTAAAAAAGGAACTTTGTCAAAGTTGTAGTATTTTGTTTAAAGAAAAATTATTACATATTTTATGTTTTTAAGACCCTACTTGACTATTCTGAGTTATTGTAACAAGCTATAGATGGCTTTTATTTTTAAAAATCATGTTTTATATTCGTTTTGCAAGTTAACAAATATTTTCAAACTCTTTAGATATTTGGAGGATAGTAATTAAGAGGTTTCGAGGCTTACATGTTTTGGGTGGGCCTATAGGCCTGTTAAACGACCAAGATTGGGCATACATCAAGATGAACAATTACACAGCAACCTTTTAAAATCAACAGAGAGTCATTCTATGGAACAAAATCGGACGAGAAAATTTTGTTTATGTCTATACATTACTGATGTTGCTCTCGATTTTTTTTTTTTTTAAATATATTAAAAAATAAAAGAATATAAACAATAAGAGAAAAGAAAACTATTCACGTATATCAAGCTTTGTTTCAAGCTATTTCACGTGAAATTTAATCTCTTAGAAAAAAAATGACTCGTGGTCTCCCTGAAATTCAAAATAGACCTATGTTATTCTTTTTGAGCGATTAACATGAGTCTTATTTGAATTTTTGATGATCACCATTTCGACTAATTGTGTCTATTTTAAATTTAAGAGGACACAAGTCGACTTTTTTTTTTCTTCTAAAGAATTAAAATGGGCCTTGTGACTTTTATTGAGAAACTCTTCAAACTATTTGAAACAAAATTTTTGTGTGTCCACAATTGTACACATAGGCAACCATGTAGGTCTGCCAATGAACAAAGTAGACATAATCAGAAGATTTTATATATAGATTATATTACTCTCATGCAATAATGAGATATGTTGTCTCATGTTATAGATACAATCAGTTGATGAGTTCCATTATTTATTAAAAAATAAAAAAGAAAGACACAAGAATCAATAAGTCTATAAAAAGTTTTATTACTCTCATGTAGTATAACAAGGTTGGAGAGAGAAGATTGGGGAGAGAAATATAACAAGAGTAATAGAACCCTTTAATTTATATATCTATAAGTTTGGGGAGAGAAGATTGCAACATCTTGTAGACTTCATTCCAACCATTTTGAGAAGGGTGAACTGAGTCCCAAAAGAATGAAAGCTCCGGTTTCTCACATAGAGTATATTTCTTTTCTCCTTTCTCATCCACACTCCCACAATGAAATCCCTCACTCACTCCCACACAACAAGGTTGCAACGGATTCGTCACTGTTGAGTTTTCTGCATAATATGCACAAAATGAAAGTCGTCATCAATAGACTTACTTTTTTATTATTATAAAAATATCATTTTATACATATAATAATAAAAAAATTAAAATTAAAATTCCTCGAATGAGGATTCACCCTACATTATTTGGATCACTACTAATGCTATTATGATGATTAGAAATGAAGATACATATAAAATTAGACATGATGTAGTTCAAAATTACAAAAAACTCGCACACAAATATTGTTGAAATTAAATTTCGTATCGTTTTGTTGAAAACCCCTTTGGAAAAATAAACATATTTAGTTATGCTTTGGTCTTCAACAATTTTACCAATGAAATGAAAGTATAGTTAGTGATTAGTGAAAGAAGAAAGAGAAGTAAATTACCAGCACGCTTTTTCTGCATTGTTGCAATTGTGGAGAGGAAAGAGTTGTAAAGGTCCAGTGTCACGAAAACCGGTTTTCTCATTTTGTTGTTCAGATCTTGCACGGTTTGGAGCAGCAATTGGCTGTGATTTTGGGAGACCAAGTTGAAATTCTCAATGCACTTGTCATACGAAGATGTCGCAGTTAACATAGGCATACACCCTACAGGTTCTAATAACCCAACTGCTATTTTATTTACTCCAAAGCTGTGGATGCGTTTCAGATTTAGGGACATCTGCTTGATAAGCGATGCACTGAAAGCTGGGATATCCTGCCAATAATTAACAACAACCAAAAAGTTATTGACATTTGTGTTACTATTTTATTGCCAATAAGGATAGTTAATTACATTTTGTAGATTATTATGCACTTAATTTTATCGACTAAATAGTTTTATTTTTGAAACACTATTTATTATCTTTTCTTAAGTTTGTCTCAGTTGCCAATTTTAAGTATAAGAACAAGATTGATACACTACTTGTCAATTGACTTTAGTTCAACAATTTCGTTACTAAATAAGTTCAATTTTTTTTTTTTGGTCTCAAAATCAGTTGTGTCTTTGTAATTGAGCTAAGCTTCTTTTTTTATCAGTGAAAAAACTTATTTATTTTTTTAATATATCCACCAGATTATCGATTACAAGGCTAATACAGTTCAAATACTGTCACATCAATTATAAGAGATGGCTCTTCCAAGATCATTTTTTTTCATTTCCAAAATAACACTTAAACTCGAGACCTCTAATTAAGGGAAATAAACTCATTACTACTTAAACTAATGATTATCGATAAAAAAAACTCACTTTTTTAATTATAAGAATTTTGAAAAAAAAAACTTTAAGATATCTTTTTAAAAGCAGTAACATAAAAAAAAACAGACCTGTTGTTTTTTTAAACTAAAAAAAGTAATTCCTTAAAAGAAATTTCAAAAAATAAACTATATCAAGAATTTTTTTTAAAATTTTAATATAAAACTTATCTAATCTCATACATATCTCATTAACTGAAGGATTTAGAAGGAGCAAGCAAGCCTATGTAGAGTTAGGAATTGCTGGACTTAACTTTAAGAGGCATATAACGAAGGTTTCTCTTTTGGTGGATTTGAAAGAATAGGGGCTTTGAGAAATTCGGACAAGTAATAAAATATTCTTTTTCTAACATAGTCGGAATCAGACAACTAACTAGTGCAAAGGATCACCAAACCATGAAAAAACATAAACATAATTAGTTTAACTACTCACCTGCGTGCTCCCATTTTTAAGTATAAATGTACCATAGTCGTTACCAGCTGCGTTCACAAGAGCAATTGATGATTCAAGGTCGTGTTTGGTGTAGACTTTTTGTTCGATTAGCTTCTCAAATAAGTCGATTTGGACAGTCATGTTTGGTCCATCAATCAAAGTATCGAAAATACCTGTCCCTCCATAAGCAAAGTTCATACCGTATTTTACTTCCGACGAATTTCGAAATGCATATGGTGTGGGAGATTCAATTTTCAGAAAGGAAGCTGCATGTAGCACCATATCAGTCAAAATAAGCTATTAATAAATTAAAATTAAATGCATTTTTCTTCTGGAGTATACTATTGGGCCCATTCAGGTCCAATGTGCATACTGCAAAACTATCACAAATATATATGTTCACAAATATATATATATATATATATATATATATATATATATATATATAAATAAAGCGATTTATTCTTCTTATGTTATATAAGAAAAAATTTATTTCCTACTCGTACAAATTTAATATGGGTTTCACTTTTTTTTCCCTCTTCCCCTTAAAGTAGATCCTATCTATATAAATGAATCTGTAAGAGATAATAGTTATCTCCTACTACATGAGAAAACTATTACCTATATATAAAATAAGGAGCATCTAATCTCATGTTGTAGGACTCATGTCATAGACCCAACACATGGTGAGTCCCAACATGTGTTAAAAAATAAATAAATAAAAAGCTTAACGATGTATCTATAATATAAGATAACTCTCTCCTATTAAATGAGAGAATAATTTCCTTTTAAAATATAAAAGTATGTAAGTCTCATGTTACCTTATATACTAGGAGATAAAATATTACCTTATATACTAGGAGATAAAATAAAAAAATTTAATCCCTTCTGACTAATATTCTCTTATCTCTCTATCCTGGTTTTTTTTTTTTTGGTAACAACTATCCTGGTTTTTATTTCCACTTGTATTTGAGTGCTTTAAATTCAAAAAAATTTAGTCATATAAGTGATCGGATACAAGTAATGGCGAAGTCAAGAATTTTTATAATAGGGGAGACAAAAATAAAATTATAAATATTATTAAGATTAATAAAAGATATTAATTATTATAAATATTTTTTAAGAATAGACTAACTATTAGTATTAACAGTTTATTATTTTTAAAAAAAATTATTTTACACATAAAATAATATAAAAAATAAAATTTAGGAAGGGGTAGTCGCCGATGCTAGCCCCTCCCTTGGTTCACCTCTCAAAACAAATGAATCAATAATTAAGAATAAAGATATATGTATTAAAAAAAAGAATAAAGATAAAACTTCTTACTCTTATTCATAAAAATTAAGGTAAAAATATTTGTGTAGTTATTGCAAATAAGTTATCTGTATTTATTTCCAAAACGACGTCGTTTTGGTATTAAAATCTTAAAAAATTATAAATATAAAGACTATTATAACCCTGAAATAAATTAAAATTATAAAAACACTATGAATTCCGTCCCAAAACGACGTCGTATTGAGTAATAAATTAAAATTATAAAAACACTATGATTTTCGTCCTAAAATGACGTGGTATTAGGTTTATTACAGATAACTTATCTACGGTAACTCCAGAAAAAAGCAACTCAAAAATCTATTCCCACTTTTTCGTGTTCATTAAAAATGTATTCCCCTAAACAATACTAATCCAAGTAATTTGATTAAATTTATGTCACGGCAAAAATGGATAACCAAACAACGTTAATACTGTTTAAACCCAACAGAGGCACGCTGTCGGAAAAAAGGATAAGTGTTATTTAGAATTGTAAAAAAAAAAGAGTTTAAGAAAATTACCAACGTAATCGGTGAGAACACGACCGTCGGAGAACCTTCCAGCAGGTTTACCAGGAAAAGTGATTCCACAGGGAGGCTTATACGATTCTGAGTTCACGAGATTCCCGGTGTCAACGTACGAATCCCCAAACACAAACAGTTTCACAGAGTTGTTGCTCTTATTATATACCCCATATGACTTATTTGCCCCTTCCACTTCTGCTTCAACATTTGCATATATAACTATATATTTATATACCAACCAATAAAATGAAAACCAAAGGCATTTAATTTAATTGTGATGTTAGCTCAGAACGTGTACGTACCTGTTAAAACGAAGAGGAGAAGAATCAAAGGGAGAAGAGTGATTGCGAATGGAGTTTGCTTCACCATTGATGCTGTCAAAGAATTTTAGATAATTAACCTTCCGAATATGTTGGGGTGATGACAATGGCATAGTAAGTATAAATACTATAAGAAAGGTAACACAGTTGGCATACCTGTGCATGTATCTAGAAAAGCATGAGGGCCCAAACACCAATCAGATTACGCCAACTCTCTATTTTTGGTTGGTGCGGAAGAAACGACCAAGGCACTTTTGTTTTATTTAATAAACTATGGATATTTTTTACAGAAATATTTGTTATGGTCCAGAACCACCCAATGATCTGGTGCTCTCTCTCACATCATCAATTTTTCTTTCCCTTTTTATCCCTACTATTTTTTTTCTTTTTCAATTTTACCCTTCCATTTACACTAAGGGACCACCTAAAAAATGGTGGTCCCGGACCACAATAAATAATCTCATCTTTTACAGAGAAGGTAATCCTCTTCGGGATAGGTCCCGAATTAATACCATATCTGCTCATCCATATCTAGAATTAAAGATGATACTATATAGGATCGAACAATCGGGATAGGTATATAATTAATACCATACCAACTCATCCATATTCAGAATTAAAGATGATACTATATAAGATCGAACAATTGGGATAAGTATATAATTAATACCATACTTGCTTATTCATATTCAGAATTAAAGATGATACTATATAGGATCGAACAATCGGGATAAGTAAAGAATTAATATTATACCTGCTTATCCATATTCAAAATTAAAGATGATACTATATAGGATCGAACAATCAGGGTAGGTATAGAATTAATACCATACCTGCTCATCCATATCCAGAATTAAAGATGATACTATATAGGATCGATCAAATACTCTCATCCATACATGTTCAGCTCTCATTCACTAACTGAACTATTATACCCATAAGTCACTTTAAGTATACGTATTTATACCCATAATTCATCACATGCGTTACAATGGAGGGTCATTAATTTTGCGATTTAACGTGAGCGTTCAATCGATTTTAATAGAAATTGTATGAAATCCATTTGACCAAGTTATAAAATATTAATATATATTAATTTAAGGCACTGTAAGTCTATGTATTTATACCCATAAGTCAACACATGCGTTACAATGGAGGGTCATGAATTTTGCGATTTACTGTGAGCGGTCAATCGATTTTAATAGAAATTGTACGAAATCAATTTTGACCAAGTTATAAAAATAATAATATGCATTAATTTAAAATAAATTATTGTTATTTCCTTCCAAGTAATCAGTGTACAAATTGGTTGGCTAAATATGCCTTCTAATATTCAGATAGCTTCACCATCTTTTGTGAAGCTCCTTCAGAGCTTCGAGCTAAGTTCTTTTAGTTTCTGATTTTCCTAGGTCTTAGCTTTTATCTTTGTTCTTGTCATTGGCCGGGCTTCAGCCTTTTTATGTACTCAACAAAAATTATCTCATTAAATTTGTTATTGTATTTTTTTTCTTAAATATTTTCTTTCTTTCTTTTGTACGCCTCCAATAAAAATGACATGAAATATAAAATTTACTATTTAAAGTCAATACACAATAAATATATATATATATATATATATATATATGCATGTAAAAAAAATCATATAAGTCACTATTAAAAGTTTAATGAATAACTTAATATTTAAAAGATATAAATCACATAATTATATAAGACATAAGTCCAAAATACAAAAAGAGAAATTTGAGTTTAAAAAAATTCAAAACAGGTTTTAAAAATAAAAAATAAAAAATTGAGTTTAAGTAAAAACGTAAAAACTTGCGTTTCTGCCGTTTTTATGTTTCTACAAAGCGTTTTTACTAAGGATCATTTTTATTTGTTTTAACACATTTTTACACTGCATTTCCACCGTTTTTACGTTTTTACACTAGTTTTTGAAAACAACGACTATATAATCAAGTGAATTATTTTACTCTTCTTAGGAACTATTTGTTAATGTGTATTTTTTAGATACTAGTATCTTCATGAGTTATATTAAAATTTATTTGTTGTGAATTATCATTTATAAATTTCAAATTTTTATTGTGTGTGTAATGATTCCTACCTTTGAATTTTAGGGTATAATGATAATTCGCCCTTAGGAAGTTGCTATAGTGACTTTATATATATATATATATATATATATATATATATATATATATATATATATATATATATTTGGTTGAATTGATACCTTTGATGAATTGTATAGTATTTATTAGTTGTTAATTTTTATGATAAATATTTAATTTATACAAAATGAGAAACTCTTTAATCTTATTTTATATCATTAAATTTATATCATATTAAATATTAAAGATATTGTTACATCTCATTTTTTATATGTTATAACACAATAGTACATATTACCAGTGTTGTAAAAATTGGCGAATTGGACTGGTTTGAGTTAAGCATCAGACCAATAATGCATCGGATCCGGATAAATCCGGTGACTCGGTCGAGTCATGTATTTTTATAAAAAAAAGAAAAACCAAAAACCAAAATTGTTTCATCTTGTCAGAGAAAAATATAGAACTCGTTTTAGAATTTTTTATAATTTTCTAGTAGTATACTATTTTACAATGACCTCAAATTTCAGCTTCTAATATTGAAGAAATTTGCGGAACAATAAATTAAGAGAATATGATATATGTCATTTTTTTTTTTTTTTTGATAACAGATATGTGTCATTTTAATGTAGATAAATTTAAACAATATGAGTTCACAACATCTGGTCTTTTAAATGTCATCGAGAGAGGTATGATATAGAAATTTCGAGTTGCAATTTAAATTGACATAGTAATAACATACATTATCATTTATTTGTGTTTTATGAACTTGTAAAAATATGATTGGGTAATTTTTGAACTTATTTAGTGAACTTTGTTGAATTCATTTTAGATATGGATAATATAATTAAATATATATATATATATATATATATATATATATATATATATATATATATATATATATCCAACCAATAATCCACTTATCCTACCAATGATCCAACAATTCAATACCTCAACCCAATCGATCCGCGGGTCTAATAACACTGCATATTACACGCTATCAATGTCAACTTTGAATAGCTTTCGGCATTTATTGATCAAGGAATCCATTATCAACGTTGTTTTAATCAATTTGTCTAGATTCAGTGCTCTGGAAATTCTTTACAAAAGATTCAATGTATTATTGGTCATAGACAGGATATTCTATGTTTTAAAAAAAGAAAAAGAAATGGATGTATCAAAAAAAGAAAAAAAAAGAATGGATGTATCAAAAAAATAAAAAAAGAATAATAAAAAGAATGGAATGGATAGATTCTAATATTTCAAATGGGTTTGGGCAAGTTGGGTTTTATTCATGTCAACCAAGTTCAATTGCTAAAGATTGATGCAATTAATTCAAAAAGACTTCGGTTCAATTCTTGCTATCCACAATCTTCCTTTAGTCTTTGGAAATTATAAATAGCTTTTTTTGAATTGATTCATCGAAAATCCAACTAATCCAAAATCGAGTAATGCTCTCACGTCACTATTTTTTTCCATCGACCTTTAGTAAAGGGAAAAGGGTAAATTTGGAAATTACATCTGAATTCAGCTTTGGATGTGAATTAGCATTAAAGAGGATGCTATGATCTTTGCTTTTGATCTTCCCCTCAATAACTCAACCATATTGTTATTTAAGGTTTTACAAAACTGAGGATACTAAAATAACACAATTCCATAACGATCAGAAGTTTTTTCCCGTAAGTTGGCCGAGAGAAGATTGCAACAACATAGAGACTTCATCCCAACCATTTTGAGAAGGGTGAACATTGTCCCAAAAGAATGAAAGCTCTGGTTTCCCACACACACTATATTTCTTTTCTCCTTTGTCATCCACACTTCCACAAGAATATTTTAAACTGTCCCCATCGCAGCACTGTTTCAACGGATTCATCAGTGTTGAGTTTTCTGCATAACGGAGAAAAAAAGAGAGTTGTTATATATATAGACATTTTCTTTTAATAATGCAATCGGATTTTCATCGATATCTGCAACTATATTTAGTCATAGCTTCCCTTGTTTCCATTATTCTCTATATTCTGTTTTTTTTTTTTATAAGAAAAAGAAGGTATTGCTTGATAAGATCAACTAATTCCCTCTTATATAAGATGATTGGTAAATAAATGTAAATGCGTGGTTGCAAAGAGATTTTAAAATTAAACAAGATGGAGTTCAAAATAACAAATACTCGTATGCATATATATAGTTGAAATTTAGCATCAAAAAAGGAAAAAATTGACCCTTTCAATGGGCCTTAAAGGCTGACTGAATGAGTGGGCCTATGTGCCAGTCCATTACAAATGAAAATACCTCTGGAAAATAAATATTTGGCGCAGAATATACTTGCTACCAAGAAATTTTATCACCTTTGTAACCAACTTAATCACTGTTGATTTCCGTCAATCTAAATGTTATAATTTAGTGAAAATTAATAATTAATTAATAAATGCGATCCAATAATTTTCAATGAATTATAATCGTTAGATTGACGGAAATCAACGATGATTAAATTAATTGCTATACAAGTGATAAACTTTTTTGGTGGTAAGTATATCCTCTGCCTGAATATTTATATGCTTTCATTTTCAACAATTATAGCCATGAGAGCATAGTAAATAGTGAAAGCAGAAAGAGAACTTACCAGCGCGCTTCTTCTTCATTGTTGCAATTGTGGAGAGGAAAGAGTTGTAGAGGTCTAATGTTACGAAAACCGATTTTCCCATTTGGTGGTTGAGTTGAAGCACATTTTGGAGGAGCATTTGGTTGTGAGTTTGGGAGACTAAGTTTAAAATGTCAAGGCACGTCTCATGGAAAGATATCACAGTTAACGCAGGCAAACACCCAATAGGCTGTAATAACCCAACTGCTACTTTATTTATTCCCAAGCTGTGGATGCGTTTCAGATTTATAGATGTTTGCTCGATAAGGGATTCTGTGAAGGCTTTTATATGCTGCCACAAAGAATAAAGTATAAGTTATTGACATCTGTATTAATTTAAGTAAAATGTTAAATATATATAAATTAAAAGAAAATATTTAAAATTATAAGAAATACATATAATTATAGTTAATTCAATTTGAATTAAAATATAAAAGAAATAGGAACAGGTCCACTAGTAAGCATACTCTTAAAGGAATAGGGGGCTTTGACAAATTTCAAAAAGCAATAAAATCTTCAGTTTTTCTAAATTAGTCGGAATCAGGCAACAGAATTAGAGGAAAGATGTAAACATATTTAGTAACGTTAATAACTCACCGTAATGTCCTTTTTTTTAAGAACAAAAGTAGTGTAATCGTTGCCAGCAGCGTTCACAAGAGCAACTGAGGATGCAAGGTCGAGTTTGGTATAGACATTTTGTTGGATTAGCTTCTCAAATGAGTCGATTTGAACGGTCATGTTTGGTCCATCAACCAAAGTATCGAAAATTCCTGTCCCTCCATAAGCAAAGTTCATACCATATTCTACTTCTGAGGAATTCCTTAACGCATATGGTGTGGGGGATTCAACTTTCAAAAATGAAGCTGCATGTAACGCCATATCAGTTAAAATAAGTAATGACTAAATTAAATTAAATACAGAACAAAATGGTTAGCCTGTTCCCCCAGTTGCCACTCCTCATTTCCTCTATTGACCTTTTAAACGTCCAAGTCATTTGTTATACAATCTATACACAGAGAGAAGAAAGTACATAAATTTACAAATCAATATTTTATATAAAATAATATTTTATTTAACAAATCGTTATATTTATTAACTTAATTATTTGTGCTAAATCTTATAAAATTTTAATGCGTATAAAAATATAATTAAATATTTCCTAATTTATATATTCCAAAAGTGTATGTTACGTTAATTTAATATATATAATTAAAGTGTTTAATGTTTCTCATGTTGTAAGAGATAATTTTATCTCTTACACACATAAAAGTGTGTGAGGATCATATTTTGTCTTTCTCTCTTTTCTTCTTGCATGGTCCATATGGGCCCTATACATTATTATGTGTGTGTAGAAAATAAAATTATCTCCTATATACAAATGAAAGTGTGTGAATTTTATTTTCTTTTTTGCTTTCTTTTCCTTACATCAATAGAGGATGTAAATGGGCTGAGTCGGGTGAGACTTTGACTCAAATAAGCCAGGCATGTGTGAAAATATTTTAGGCCCAACCTGGTCTATTAGCCTGGTGTAATCAAATTATAAGTTTGGTTTGGTCTAAGCCCCGTTAACCTGTTTAAGTCTATTAGACATTTAAGAATTAAAAAAAATAATTAAAATAATATTACTTTATTATTCAATAATATTTAAATAATAATTTTATTTAAAAATAAATAATATAATACAGGCAAGTTAATTTGTAGGCTTATAGTCTTATAGGTAGAGGTGGCAAAGTGAGCGCCCTACCTCGCCATAAGCCCACCAAAAATTGGGCTGACCCGCCCCCCGCCTTTGAAGATAGGCTAAAAATTTCAGTCTCTCTGTCCCGTTTGGGCAGGCAAGCTGCCTGCCGACCCGATGATATTTTACACTAAAAAAAGCAAAAATTCAACCTTAGATGGCTGGCGGGCTTGGCAAGCGACAGGTTTGAAAAACTCAGCCTACCCAATTTGGCAGATGGGGTGGGTCGAGCTTGTTTTGCTACCTCTACTTAAAGGTTAGGTCTTGTAAATGAAAGCCTACGACTTGCTTTCTAAATAGGTTCTATTTAAAAGATTGAGTCTGTTTTATTTTACTAAATATAATAGGCCAAGCTTGATCTTATGTAAGCTGGGTCATATGTCCCTGATAGATCACTTGATCTATTTACACTCCAGCTCATATAAGTTTCGCATAATTTTATATGTATTAGAGTAATTTATACTCGAATAAATTGATTCCTTATACAAAAAATGACATATATATATATATATATATATATATATATATATATGTATGTATGGGTGTAGAGACATAAAATCGTGTCAGCTTTTTTTTTCAAAGTGGTGGGACCCACAACATTTTTGTGCCTGCAGGAGGAGAATCAATTACCATTATATATATATGTATAGGAATTAATGTTTCTTATGTTGTATGAGATAATTTTATCTTCTATACTTACATAAAAGTGAGTTAAGCCCATGCAGGGCCATATGAAGAGAAGAGAGAGAGAGAGAGAATAGGTTCAACACATTTTTATATGTGTATAGGAGATAAAATTATCTCCTATAATATGAAAAATACTAATCCTATATATTACAAGTATGAGATTTTATTTTAAAAAGGAAATATGTTTGTTATGTTGCTTGAAATAATTTTATATCATGTACACAAAAAATGAGAGTTTCTTCTTAATGGATCTCATTTTTATTTTTATTTTATTTTTGTGTTGCATGAGATATAGAAACATATTTCCCATGTTATAAAGGTAATTTTAAGCCAACAAAGGTGGACACAGTTGGCTAAGGGTTTGGTCCATACCTCTCAAGGACGTGGGTTTAAACTCCGCTGGCCGATGTGAGGACTTTGTTGGTGGGTGATATGTAATCCCTCTCATAAATCTTCAAAGAGGTTGGAGGGTCTTCCCTGACCCTAGTGAGATACCGGTGTCTAACCCCACTTAAACTTTTTTGATATTCAAAAAAAGAAGAAGGTAATTTTAAAGTTAGAAAAGATAGGAAAATATAAATTATCATGACTAGTGTGTCATTTTCGCAAGAGATCTCTCGGTGGTGAAATTGCGAGAGCCTATGAAGGACCAATACGTAGAAAATTATTTTCCTAACATACCGAACACATGTTCGATATCGATACATTGGGGACACAGATATTGCCTCGTATTTGATGGGTCAACAAAATTCGATATGGTCAACATATGAGGAACCTTGATCGTTATGATTATGTTCTTGTCTTTATACGTTTGAGAAAGAGACAGGAAAGAAGAGAATACAGGTTACTGTGCGTGTGAGAGAAGGAGGAAGCAGTATGACGGTGGGCAAATGAGGAGGCGAAGGGAAAGGAAAGTTAGGTTTTTTACTTCATATTAATATAATCTGATTAAGGATCTTTCTTTAAGAATAAATTGGGTTTTAGCTAACAAAATTGGACTTGGACTAACATAATTCATATATTAATGGGGAAAATAAGTGTTATGTAATAAGAAAAAATTTTAGTTTGCTACAGACACTTCGAAATTCGTGTTATGTTTTGTTTTATTTTGTTAAAAATTAATGGTGGGCTCTACTAATTTCTGTATGACCTTGTTAATTTTGTGTGACATGACGTACTTAAAACCCTATATTAATAGAATTTTATGAGTATAATGTTGTAGGATATAAGAAAATTTTTCTACTCTCACAATAAAGAAGAGAGAGAGTGAAATGATGTAAGAGAAAAAAAAACATGTGGACCCCACCTCTTAATTGTGTGTGTAGAAAAGTTTTATTAAATTATGTAACATGATACTAATAAAACTCATATTAATATAGATTAAATTTAGATTCAAATTTTTTTTTATCTAATTATAAATAAGAAATATAAAGAATAAAAATAATATAAATAATTATATTAAAAATATTATTTAATACTAAAACATGTCATCAAAATAATAATATTTTTAAATAACATATTAACATACGTGTATGGAACATATTAAAAATGTCGTGTAGGACTATGCTTCGTAGATGAGAGCTAGTGCCCCTACCCTTACAGTGGCGGCTTCACCTTCATCAGGGGAATTCAGAGTGAACAGTCTCTGTCTCCTCAGATCCGCGAGAATCTCGACAGCGACAAAGCATTCTGTTTCACGAATCACCACTCACCAGCGAGACGAGCGTCGACGATGACACATTGACCACTGAAAACGAGAACTAGGATGTTCTGGGTTTTCTATATAATTTTTATTTAGATGGACCAATTCTTTTAACCTATTAATTTGGGTGGTGTGGTGACTGGTGGGGTTGGAATTGAATTAGTCAATTTCTTCGACTCACTAAACAAATTAGATTAGATTAAATTAAATTAACTCATTTGATCTCAACCAATAACAAACGAATCTTTGTTAATCCGTTAAGATTCCTTTACTCGCTCGCTAGTCACAAAAAGAGAGAAAGAGGAGAAAGTTACCAACGTAATCGGTGAGGACACGACCATCGGAGAACCTTCCAGCAGGTTTACCAGGAAATGTGATTCCACTCGGTGGCTTATACGATCCTCCCTTGACGAAATTTCCTGTGTCAACATACGAATCCCCAAACACAAACAGTTTCACAGAGTTGTTGCTCTTATTATATACCCCATATGACTTCTTTGCCCCTTCCACTTCTGTTATAATAATAAATTAATAATCATTAATTCATCAACCAATACAATGCAAAACCAATTAAATTAAATAAAAGCCATTTAATTTGATTGTGATTTGTGAGTGAATGTGTACAGTGTACCTGTTATTGTTAAAACGAAGAAGAGGAGAAGAATCAAAGGGAGAAGATTGACTACGGTTGGCGTTTGTTTCACCATTGATGTTTCAGTAGCAGATTGAGATTGGTGATGTCAGAGTTTTATGTCCGAATGTAGAAGCAACCTTTTCTTTATATATGTTGGGCTGGCTGAAACACAGGGACTGCTAAGTATAAATAGTGTGGACAGGTAACACAGTTCATCCCAGTGTTGACATGTCACATTCATGTGGGACTAACACATCTAACACCAACCACATTATGCCAACTCAATGTTTTTTCGGTGCCAAAAAACGACAATGGCCCATCTAGTCTATCCATCTACGTCCACGTCACAGCGAAAGATCATTGATGGCCATTTAATGTGAGTTTATTTTATTCTCTATTGTGGAATATGTACTATTTTTAGTTATAACAAAAAAAATTATATATTATCATATCTCATATTAGTTATAATTTAATATTCGATATGATAATATCTTAAATAATTAATATGATATAGGAATAAGATCCAAGAGTTTCTCATTTTATAGAACTTAAATATTTGTTATAAAAATTACAATTAATAAATACTATACAACTCATCGAAGCTATCAATTTTTTTTTAAAAAAGAAAGTCACTATAGCAACTTTCAAAGAGGCAATTGTTATCGTACCCTAAAATTTAAAGATACTTGTTGTTTGTCATTTTAAATGATATAAGTTATGTTATTTTAAAAGAGATAAACACAAGAAATGAAAATCATGGAGAGAAAGTGAGTGGTTTTTTTTTTAATTTAAATTTTAAATAATTTTTTTCTTGTTTCTATCTTTCTCTTAAATTGATATAACTTTATGTAATTTAAAATCACAAATACTTTTTCCATCATTAATTACATTCAAACAATAAATATTTGAAATTGACCGCCAAAAACGAAATATTTGAAATTTAAAAATATTAATTGACAACTAATAAATATTTAATACTTCTCATCAACATAATAATACCGTAAGAAAATACAAATAATCGAATATTTCTCTTGCTTAATGTTATAATAAGATAACTGTGTTTTCTAAGAGATCAGGTAAGTCAAATGTGTTTATTAAATCGAATCAATATGTGGCCCAACAGTAGCGGATCCGGAAGTTTTTATAATGGCGGATAAAAATTAAAGATTAAAGTTATAAGTATTATTTTAATTAATAGGGGGTGATTAATTATTACAAGTACTCTAGTCAGAGGAACAAACTATTATAATTAATAATTTATTATTATTGAAAATTATTATTTAGTATATAAATATCACTCCTATTTATAATGGCGGATAAAAATTAAAGATTAAAATTATAAGTATTATTTTAATAGGAGTGATTAATTATTACAAGTATTCTAACCAGAGGAACTAACTATTAGAATTAATAATTAATAATTATTGAAAATTATTATTTAATATATAAATATCACTCCTATTTATAATGGCGGATAAAAATTAAAAATTAAAATTAGAAGTATTATTTTAATTAATAGGAGTGATTAATTATTACAAGTACTCTAGTTAGAGGCAGTGTTTTAAAACTCACCCCGCCTCTCGGATTGACCCAGGTCAATCCAGACCCCTCCCCTCTGAGGGTTGGGATCACAAGTTGGACCATATATGCACATCAACTCCCAAAATTCAGCCGAATTTCAGTGACTCCCGGGTCAAAGGGGTCACTGCATGTTTTTTTTTTTAAATACATACATGTTCCAATTTTTTGTTAATTTATGCATACATTAATGTTTTATTCTCTTTTAGACAAATATATGTTTATATTTGTTGATGTTGAATATTGGAAAAAATAAGAATCAATTGAAGCACCAAAATTATGACCCAATTAATTTGGAAACAATGGATGATCATTCTACTAGTTGAGTTTTTGAAGCGTCACCACCATTATTAATCAATGAAGAGGCAAGATCTTTGAGGAATAATACCATCGAATCAATTATAGATAATATTGGTATGTTTCTTTATGATTATAATTCTATTGTTTAATTTGATGATTTGATCACGTTATATTAATTATTAACTTGCATATAATATGTTATTGTAGATGAATTGAATTTAGACGAGGATGATGTAGATGATGAACCTCATATGGCCATTGTACCCCAAAATAAAAGCAATATTCTTCAAGGTTTGGATGGCAATGGTGGAGAAGGACAAGGAGAGCCGAAATTTGATGATGTTACTTTTTATTAACTTCATTAGAATATGAGTTTTGTACTTTTGTATCTTGATACTTTAATTAGGTTATGTAAAATTGACTTGTGGTTGTAATTGGTAAATTACAGTGTTTTAAAACCCGGCCGGGTCGACCCGAGACTCGGTGACCCGGTGGGTTCCCCGGTCCGAGCGGGTAGTTGGACCGGTTATGCAGTCAGCCCGGATTGGACCGGTTGACCCGGCCGAAACCCGGTGACTCGGCGACCCGGTTGACTCGGGTTAAACCGGTTTTTCCTTCTTCTTTTTTTGGTAAAATTTTTTGTTGTTGATAAGAACTCTTGAATTAAATCATATTCATATTTTATGATGAATATGATTAAAAGTAAGGTGAAAATAATAAGGTATTTTAGATTAGTGTAGTTCGTTTATGTAATTTAGTTGCATCTTATAATGATCTCATGAAGTTAAGTGGTGATAAACACTGATGGTCTCATGATCTCATCTCAACGGTGGACACTTTTTTCTTATAGTGTATATTTCATGCATACTATTTGTTATCATAATTTAATTTATCCGTATCATGTCAAGCACAAAAAGTGCATTTAACTTATATTGTATGGTTTAATCCAATATTAGGATACAGTCTAGAGCTAGAAGCTTAGAAGTATATAATATTTGCTATCATTGAAAACCAATTTATTTCTTGAAGCTCATTGATAGTTTTTTTATATGATTTTTTATTAATATAAGTAATATTTTTATATTTTTAATATGTGAACAGTAAAACCGGTTGAACCCGGTTGAACCAGTGACCCAATGACCCAGTACCTCGATCGGTTCGATTACCGGTCCGAGTTTTAAAACACTGGTAAATTATGTTAAGTATATTTTGAATCTTTGGTGATTTATTTTTTAATATTTTCATATATATATATATATATATATATATATATTTAATATACAAAACTGGGTCAGCGTAGTAACCTCATGACCCTCCGGTTGAACCCGTGACCCGGTGACTCCTGACTTCGGTCGGGTCGATGGTCGGGTCGGGTTTTTAGACACCGGTTAGAGGAACTAACTGTTAGTATTAATAATTTATTATTATTGAAAATTATTATTTAATATATATAATAATAATAAATATCAAAATTTAGAAAGAGACAAAACCAAAAGCTCGCCTCTCCCTTGAATCCTCCGTTGTAGCCCAACACATGAACTTTTTTCTTGTGATGGGAATGACTTTGGTTCATCTAGGGAAAGTAAGAATAAAGAATATATATCAATAAAATTTGGCAGACTTGGTAGGTGATTGTGTTTCTTAAATATGTTGAGAGGGGGTTCGATACCTAATTGTATATATAGAAAATGTTTTGTTAATAGAGACAAAATTTACTTTAGTAATCTCTGATTTACATCTTGGAATGATTAATTTTGACTATCGATCAAGGGATACTTTAAAGAAACTAAAAAAAGAATAAAATATATATACGAGACAAAGTTGGCCCATAAGCAATTTATTGAAATTCTTCATATTGCGTGTCACGAGCAATTTGTTTCAAACGAATAATAAATGCAGATTACTTAGTGGAGTAGATTTGGCAGTACTCCGTTCCACATACATATGCAAACAAAATAGACTCCACAAGTCCACATACACCTATTCTAATTCTATGCTGCTTACTTTCGTCAAGCCAGAGTTTTTGCTCACATCGGAAATTTTTGAAACATGCATTTAATGTTAAGGTATTCATAGCACCAAAAATATTTTTATCTAAGGAGTGCTTTTTTTTTTTTATACAAATAGTCACACTGAAATTTGAATTTATAATCTCGTACAAACTATTTAAATCCCTCATAACTAGGTTAATCATAATGGCTTTTTATGGAGCAATTTTACATAAACATAGAGAATTACAACGGTTTAAGAAACTAAATCCTCTTTATGAGTAGTCCATTTAATGTTCTTATTACAATAATTTATGGAAATTAATTGTTGTGTACTTTTGTTTCCTTATGTGCTAATTGGTAGATTTTGCACAATAATCTCCAATAATACATAATTATTTTTAGGGGTTTAATTTTTTCATGTTGCATGAGAATTCAATTCTCATGTTGTGACTCAACTAGTTGTGGGCCCCACATTTATTTAAAAAAGAAAAAGAAAAGAAAAGCTTTCCACGCAAATCGAAGAGTCACAACATGATAAATAAAAGAAAAGCTTTGTGTCATTGGTTGGATTAAATTTATTAATTAATTAATAATTCATAATAAAACTCAATAAATTCCAATCATTGATTGACAAAAATCAACAGTTAGAATATAAAATGACACAAAATTAAATTCTTTAAAAGGACAATATTTTTCCCTTATTTTATTTATCTTCCATCCAAACAAATTTCTATAGAGAAAAACAGTGTATGGTTCGTGTGAAGATATATTATTATATTCACAAATGTCCATCATTATTATTGGAGCGTGAAAATGATAAATTTAGAATAAAAGTGTTCAAAATTTACTTGTAAGGGATAAAGTCTTATATTGGTTCAAAATATGATAACATACGTGGAAGAATTTATAATGCTTTTTTATTACCATTAACCGTTGATTTTCACGAGATGATGACAAGCATGAACTTTCTTTTTTCTCCAATTTTCAAACCACACATGACAATGTGTTATGTGTGTCAAGCATTAGAGCTACACAATCCATCTCTAAAACTAACTTTGAAATATGAAGACGCGTACCACCACTAAATTTATGAAATTGTTTAAATTTTATTAATTTTTCTTTACCGATTTATCAATTATTCGATTAATCCCTCTCGAAAGTTTTCCTTTTTAATTTTTAATACAATTACACACTTAGAACTCAAACCCAAAAGGCCAAAACCATTAATGAAACTAAAATAATTCTTTTTGAATTAATTCAAGTGCTTACTTTTCGTACATAAGCAAATAATCATAGTCAGGCGAAATCCCAATTTTTAGCCTTCTCCACTGCCACTCATCAAAGCGCACAATTTTGAACTCTACAAACTCCTCATGAAGAGAGGCATTGATCCGTGCTCGAAATCTCTCCAAAAATTCATAAGTTACTACAAAACAAGATCCTTCTCCTAAACCACTGTTTTATGTTCTAAACATGTACTTTAGAAAAGAGTAACCTTGTACGTGAAGGTATTTCTTTTTATTTTATTTTTTTACAACTTTAATTATTTCCTTTCTCTTGTTCATAAATTTATTTCGTAATCTTATTATTCTTTTCTTTCAAGTATTATTATTATAATATTATTTCAAATACTGGAGGCATTTCATGTCACACAATCAATTCATGATCACTGCATTCCACATATATATCCTCTCAAGGTGTAACAAAAAGCAATGAAGAATTTAAGTCTGCTTGCATTCATCAATGTATAGTTAATTACATGAATACATTTATTTGTTTTTTCACACACTTTAATATTTAAAGTAAGAAAGATAAAAAAAAAAACATATAACAACCCTTGACAGAAAATAAAATTATAGGCAACCTAACATGCATTAACACATACAGATGCTTGCCACCTTATTTAGTTGGGGAATGATCCGTTTACAAACTTTTTTTTACAAATTATACTAAGTATGGCCGGTCATATACTCTTGATTGAAGTATGACCGGTCATACTTAATGTAATTTGTAAGAGTTTATAAACAAAAAATTTGTAAATACAACCTTCTAGTGTACTATTTAGTTACTTAAATTAACAGGAACAACTCGAAGGGGTGTGGCCTTTTGTAAGGTAATTCCAAATTTTTCTTCCATGTCCATATCTTCTGGTTTCATGCCATCTTCAAGCTTCCAATCAAATGAGTTGATTAGTGAACCCAACATCAAGAGCAACATTCTAATAGCTAACATCATGCCAGGGCATATTCTTCTCCCAGCACCAAATGGTGCAAGCTCAAAATTATGACCTTTGATATCAATCTCTGACTCTAGGAACCTCTCTGGTGAGAACAAAGTTGAATTCTTCCATAAGGTTGGATCCCTAGCAATTGTCCACACATTAACTAGTACTTGTGCATCCTTTGGGATAGTGAAGCCACTTATGTCCACATCTTTTGCAGCTTTTCTAGGGAGTAAAAGAGGAACAGGAGGGTGCAAGCGAAAAGTCTCTTTTATGATTGCTTGCAAGTAAGGGAGTCTAGAAATATCTGATTCTTCAACTGGTTTACCTTTGCCTATCATTTCTTCAAGCTCTTTTTTCGCCTTTGACATGATCTCTGGGTTGAGTACTAATTCAGTCATTGCCCATTCAAGTGTTGAAGTTGTTGTATCAGTTCCCGCAACAAACAGATCCTGTAAATCATAATTCCAAAGTGAGTTAATTACATATAGCAGTGAAAATAACCAAAACCACTTTCCATTAAACCGCGGCCAATGAGAGTAAATGAGAGTAAGGACGAAGGCTCAGCAGCCTTATCCTTACATATTTGAAAGGAAATTGTTTCCGAATTCGAACTTGTGACTTTTCAATCACGAAGGATCAGTTTTACCACTATAGCACAGCAGTGATAATAACAAAATAAAAAATTTCATAGTACTCCATGAAATAAGAAGGGAGAGGAGGATACGTACATGTGCCAAATGTTCAATCATTGTTTTGTCCATCATCTCATTCTCTTTAGAAATGTTTAACAGGGCATCTAACATGTCATTGTGTGTGTCAGAGCCTGAGCTTTCCCTCAGCTTCAACCGTTGCCTAATTAAGTTGTCAAAGATGTCCAAAACCTCAGCAACATTCTTTGTTTGTTTTCTTTTAACACCCTGCGGGTCAATCTTCTTCAGCACAGGGAAAAAATCTGCTATGTTTGGTGATCCAACAAGTTTTGTGATGTTTGTCACCAAGTCCTTGAACTCTCCTGCTGTACCTGCAGACCGAACCAAATCCACAGAGAAAATGGTGTTTGATAACAAATTAATAGTGGTCTTGAATGCTTCTCTTCCAATATCTACTGCTTCACCAATTTGGCTGCTTTTTTGAACATCACCGAGGAGTTGTTGCACTTTCTTGCGTCTCACGTCTTGGCTTGCATCAAGAGTCTTGTGTGCAAATAGTTGACCGTTGCATATTTTCCTCAAGTCTCTCCAAAGAGGAGAAACGGGTATGAAGGCAAGGCTATAGTGTTCGTGGTTGAGAACTGACACAGATTGGGGAATGGTTCTGTTTGACAAGAATTGATCATGTGTTAGGAGCACTTCTCTGGCCATCTCAGCTGAGGAAATGACTACAGTGGTTATTTTACCTAGCTTGAGACTCATCACAGGACCATGAATCTCTGCAAGCTTGGCCAAAGACTGGTGTGGCATTTGCCCAAGTTCAAGGAGGTTTCCAATGATTGGAAGGCGTGAAGGCCCTGGTGGAAGCTTTGGTTTTGGTTTTCTTGTTCTAGCAAGAGCATGAATGGTTGCACATGTCAACAGGAGGAGTAATGCACATGTTACAAAATCCATCTTGGAACTTGGAAGTGATATTGGTAACAAATGGGGAGGGAAATTAAGGAGAGGATATAATTGGACTAGTAGTTGTTGTTGTTGTTGCATGGGGATACTTGGGAGCTCATCTTATATACACGTCTAATTGAACAAGACAAAATAAAATAATGCGAATTGTTATTCTATAGTCAAAATGCCATGTGGTAGAATGGTGATATCACATCAGCTTGATGGTTTTTTCCAATTTGTGAACTTTGAAAAGAAAGCCGTGTGGAGTATTATATTGTGTTTAGAATTATTAAAATATAGAGTTCATTTGTTTGATTAAATTTGATTTTAAAAAGTGATTTTTTTATTCATTTGAATTGATTCAGAAATTGAGTTTCATGCACGTTCGGAATGCCTTGAAAATGAGTTGAGCGGATATTTTAACATTCCTATTTTCTATATTTCTCTTGGTATTTATCAGGGACAGTAGATATGTGATAGGAGTTTGTTCTCCCAATTCCTATTTTCTATATTTCTTTTGGTCTAATAGGACCTCCCTACTAGATTTGGGAAGAAAAAAAAGAAAAAGAAAAGGATTATAAAATCAAGTCAAATTTTATTTTCTCCAGAAAAAAAAAAAATTGTGTATACTCATCATCATATAAATATAAATTGAGCCATTCAAAACCCAGACCTATTCAGATTAGCTAAAGAATCCGTGTAAGCATCTGTTATGGGATATTACTTAACGCATCTTTGGACCGAACGCGTGATTAATTGATTGCAAAATCCATTATCCTTATCCCCTTATTAGAATTATATTGCATGACAAAAGCTAAATGGGTTTTGCAACTGTTTGAAAACAATTAAAGCCATTAAAATAATAAAACAGAAAAAGCTATTCAATTCACAGGGATTCGTTTGACAATGAATAGAGTAATCCCGAGTATTTGACATAATTTTGGTGAATATCAATCGTTGACAAACTTGGGATGAAGATCCAAATACCAAGTCTTGTTACCTGGTCAAAACCCAAAATGGTGCTTAGAAATTGAGCATTGTGCATGTGACCTTTATGGCAATGTTGAAAGATTCAATGCACATGACTAGATGACCGAGTCTTGTTATCAGGACTTGACGAACCAAAAGATATAGACTCGTTTCTTAGAAATGCACCCTCTGACCTCAACATGAAAGTGGGGTGGAGACTTGGTCTCGTGCATTTGATGTGAAAGGATAGTGTGTAACACCATCTTCGTGAATCAAACTGAGGGGTTGTTCTAGTGGTCTCGAGTTAGAGTTCTTGACGGCCGTCTTAAAAATTTAATAGGGAGAATTTTAATGCTTTAGTGGTTCTGCTCGGCTCGAAACAGAACCAAACTAATCGGGTAATTGATCATCTGATAAAAAAAAAGTTGTGTACGATGGCAAAACACGTTATTGACTAATGATTTCTATCAACTTGGATCTATTCGGCTTCACAATAACTTTGCTTTGTGGATTTTCCAGTACTAGCCATACACAGCAGCTCAACACAATAAACAAAAATGAATTTGTTGATTTCTTAGTTCCGAGAAAATTGAGGTTCTGTTTTCAATTAATACTAGCCAATGACTAACTGAGGTTTAGTTTCATATATAGTAATATAATTATACTACTTAGTTTTCAGCCTGTCTTCCTCTTCAAAGTTCCATCCTAAGTTAAGATTCTGAAAGCAAATTAGCAGTTAAAATATTAGTTATTCCTAGCTAGTTAGTTAAGATGTTGAAAATTAAAACCAAAGGTCAAACAAAGTACTAGTACTAAAAGTTGCTTGTCTGCTTTTCTGTTAAGTAGTTGGTGTCTTTGCAATATAGATGGGTCCACTAAGTATAGTTTGAAGAGCATAAACTCATGGGACATGACTAGTATTTGGGCATGGTCAATGCTACTATATTTCACGGAGTTGGGAATGTTTCCTAAAATGTTTATAACCTTGCAACCAATATATATCTAGGAGCACATATGACATGACCCTCTGTTGGGAAATGGAATGAGGGAGCCCAAAACCCTTTGCAAAGGGTACATCCACCAATGGGCCAAATGACAAACCATAATAAGTGGGCCGACACCACATCTTAACCCAAAACCTTAAGGCTACAGGTTTATGGGTCTTTCACACTTATATGGTCATCACTCGGTCTATGTCTAGTCTATGTGGTACTTCTTTACAACTCATACTTGATTATTTTCAACATCCTCCCTCAAGTGTGAGACCCAATATCATTCTTACTCTAAGGTCAACTTCTGCGGAAGTCTTTTTTTCTCTTCAAATATTAGGGTCACACTAGCCTTCTGCAGAGGCCTTCCAAACACACTTGGCCCAGCCCAGATCATTGGCTCTGATACCACTGTTGGAGAAAAATTAAGATGCAGAAATATAACTCACAATGTTTGAAGAGGGAATACAAATTTCATAAACTGACTCAAACTTAATATAAACCAGAAACTAAAACTGAAAAACATAACATTAAGAGACACATTACACCCAAATAAACTCTAACTTAATGACTCATTATACTACCCAAAACTGACTCATTATGATACCGTTAAGACTCATCAAACAACTTTAGTGCAGCACATGGCCGTTACATCAAACTTAAAAGACCATTGAATTTTCTAACGGACAAAAAACAAAGAGACTCTAACATTCAATCCCTTAAACTGATGTTCTTGAAAAATTCAGTTTACTCCAAATCCTTTGACTTTCTCCATGGAACATATGCCAAGTAATCCCCTGAGCTTTTGAAACGCAACATATTTGAGAGGCTTTGTAAACAAATCAGCAACTTGATCCTCACTTCTACAAAAAATAAGATCAATTATACCAGCTTTGTAAGATCCCTTAAGAAATGATACTTCACATCTATATGCTTGCTTCTCCCATGTAAAATTGGATTCTTTGACAATTTAATTGCAGAATTATTGTCACAATAAATTAAAGTTGCTCCTTCTTGCTTGAAGTGAAGTTCTTCAAGAATTCTCCTTAGCCAAATGGCTTGGCATGCACAAGCTGTAGCAGCGACAAATTCAGCTTCTGTGCTTGACAAAGTGACAATTGGTTGCTTCTTCGATGCCCAAGAAATAGCACCTGTACCAATAATAAAAACATAACCTGATGTGCTCTTCCTGTCATCTTGATCTCCTGCATAATCACTGTCAGTAAATCCCACTAAATCAGATTTTACACCCTTCTTGTAAAATATCCCGAAAGTTCTTGTTCCTTGCAAGTAGCGAAGGATTCTCTTGGCAGCCAACAAATGTATTTCTGTAGGATTTTCCATATACCTGCTAATTAAACTCACAGAATACATTATGTCTGGTCTTGTTGCAGTGAGATACATCAAACTTCCCACAATTTGTTTGTAGAAGGTGCTGTCAACCTTCTTTCCTCTATGATCTTTATGTAACTTCAAGCCACATTCAACTGGAGTGTGCACAGGATTACAATCCTTCATCTGAAACCTGTCTAGAATATCTTCCACATATTTATTTTGAGAAATAAAAATTCCATCACTTGATTGTGCTACACTTATGCCAAGAAAGTAATGCATCATACCAAGATCAGTCATTTCAAACTCATTCATCATAGACTTTTTAAATTCTTCAAACATAACATCACAATTTCCAGTGAATATAAGATCATCTACATATAAGCAAACAATAAGCATTTTTCCTTCATCACCAATCTTAACAAAGAGTGTATGTTCATAAGGACACTTTATAAAACCAGCCTTAAGAAAATAAGACTCAATGCGACTATACCAAGCTCGAGGGGCTTGTTTTAGTCCATAAAGTGCCTTTTTCAATTTGTAAACTTTATGCTCATTTCCAACTTTCTCATAACCAGGGGGTTGTTCAATAAATATTTGTTCCTCTAAGTACCCATGCAAGAATGCTGATTTGACATCTAGCTGGTAAATAGGCCAAGAATTTTGTGCAGCCAATGCAACCACCAACCTGATTGTATCATGTCTCGCAACAGGAGAAAAAACTTCTGTATAATCAATCTCATATTGTTGCTTGTACCCCTTGACAACCAAGCGTGCTTTGTGCTTGTCAATTTCACCATTTTCCTTTAACTTTGTTTTAAACACCCACTTCACACCAATGATTTTGTGTCCATTTGGAAGATCAGTTAACTCCCAAGTATCATTCCTCTCAATTGCATCAATTTCAGCATCCATAACTCTGATACCAAATGTAACAGCCCCAAACCATGTAGCATGATATTGTCCGCTTTGCCCCGCGCACAAGCACCGTCGAGCTCACAGTTTTGTTTCTTGGGACACCCCACAAAAGGCCTCACACTAGAAAAGGTATCCACACCCTTATAAGGCATGCTTCGTTCCTCTCTCCAACCGATGTGGGACATTACATCCTCCCTCACTGGGAATACAGCGTCCCCGCTGTACACACCGGTCCAGGGCCAGGCTCTGATACCAATGTTGGGAAATGGAATGAGGGAGCCCAAAACCCTTTGCAAATGGTACATCCACCAATGGGCCAAATGACAAACCATAATAAGTGGGCCGACACCACATCTTAACCCAAAACCTTAAGGCTGCAGGTTTATGGGTCTTTCACACTTATATGGTCATCACTTGGTCTATGTCTAGTCTATGTGGTACTTCTTTACAACTCATACTTGATTATTTTCAACATCCTCCCTCAAGTGTGAGACCCAATATCATTCTTACTCTAAGGTCAACTTCTGCGGAAGTCTTTTTTTCTCTTCAAATATTAGGGTCACACTAGCCTTCTGCAGAGGCCTTCCAAACACACTTGGCCCAGCCCAGATCATTGGCTCTGATACCACTGTTGGGAAATGGAATGAGGGAGCCCAAAACCCTTTGCAAATGGTACATCCACCAATGGGCCAAATGACAAACCATAATAAGTGGGCCGACACCACATCTTAACCCAAAACCTTAAGGCTGCAGGTTTATGGGTCTTTCACACTTATATGGTCATCACTTGGTCTATGTCTAGTCTATGTGGTACTTCTTTACAACTCATACTTGATTATTTTCAACACCCTCATCAATAATTTTAACCAACACTTCTGATTTGGATGGTCATGACTGGCCAACACTGATTCACTAACTGCTATCTTAAAAACCAGTTTTTCAGACATAATGTAGATGGTAGTATAGGATTAAGAACGAGAGTGTCTTTCTTAATGTTCATTTCATTTTTAACTAAACCCAAAATCGCAACAATACTGTATTTCTCTGTACCTTAGTTCTCAGCAGTAACTAAACCAAAAAACACAAATCAACGTCAAGAGACTATTATAAGATTAGATTCAGCTACTGAGAAAAGCAATTAAAATTTTAAAAGGGGTTAGAGAATAATATAAACCATTAAAAAGGCTTTTACCCAACACCTTAAAATTTTGGGTTGAAGTGGTTCTTTACATGATATCAGAGTCTTCAGTGATCACAAGATCACGAGTTCAATCTTCACCCCCCCCCCCACTTGTGGAATTAAATAAGCATAAGGTAAACCAAAAATTGGGCCTATGCAATAATTCTCACTTCAAGCCCAAAGGGCTCTTGCGTGAGGGGATGTGTTAGAGAATAATATAAACCATTAAAAAGACCCTCACCTAACACTTTAAGATTTTGAGTTGAGGTGGTTCTTTACATGGTATCAAAGCTTCACTGAACACAAGGTCACGAGTTCGATCCTCACCGCCCCCTCACCTAACACCTTAAGGTTTTGGGTTGAAGTGGTTCTTTACAAAAGGCAAGGAAAGAAATGAATGAAAACGTAGGTTTTCTCAAGATTCCTCTATATTGGTGAAGTCATTAGAGCCTCAACATCCTATTTATCAACTTTGATGGAAAAACTCTATACGAATGCAATAAGAAAAAATCAAGCCCAGTGTTAAGCATTGTGTCCTTAAGACAATTTTGTCCGCTCCATACAAGATTTGTAGACAATTGTCTCCTAGAATAGAACGAATTACCTCTATTCTTATAGCAGCACTTCCACATAGAATAGACTCGTCGAACCCAACCTATGCGTGACCAATTGCACTAGAGTAAAAAAATACAAATGTAAAGAATACACAAATACCAATCGGGAAAAAACTCGTGTCTTAAAATTATAATCCCTATTTATATATAAAACACGCAATATAACAATTTAAATAACACCCATTCAAGGATGAAACAACATATTTGTTTAACGACGAAACAATACATCTTTTCAAATCAAACTTATTCATAAAAAATAAGAAAGAGATTATAATTACAACATATTTTCTCTTACAACCACTTTTTTACCATTTAGATCAAAATCAAATTAACGAATATAAAATAATATCAAGTAAGAGCTGTTAATTTGATTTTGATTAAATGGTAGAAAAAGTAGTTGTAAGAGGTTATAAGTATAACCTCCCTTTAAAAATAATTAATTTTAAAAAACTAATTCCAACAAAAACAACCCATGTGTGATGTAATTTTAAAAAAAAAAATTATTGAAATAATGCAATTTCAAAATTTATTATCAAAGTAAAGCAATAAGTCCCGATGGTGTGGGCATAGGATCGGTTCAGCACGAGGGAGGTGCAAGACTTACTAGATCAGTTCCGCACAGTATCGATTCCACACACTCCTTTAACAAACTTTGAGATTTTTTTTAATCAAGTTGATTTATTATATGGCATCATAAAATATTCAATAAAATATATAGCATCATATTCCATACCACCGTATTCCATTTCGCCCCTTATTATAAATTCAAACAAAGCATAATCTAACCAACATCATGCTTTACTATTATGTTTAAAAAAAAAAAATTAAGAGATTTACGTCCGCACTTGCGGACAGAGGTGCCCAAGCACATCCGCCATTGCTATAGATCAAAGGCCTTGTTCATGCCCATTGGAGCAAAAACTAAAGTTTTTAAAGACAACCTAAAATTGAAACATTGCCATAAAGTTCAAATAGGGAATGCCAAGACATCTTTCAACATATACTAAAAAATAAATAACCTCCTAGTTGAGATTGAAATTAACATATAAGTATATAATATAAAACCAAATGGATAATGTTTGAAGAAGGTTAAGTTAAAAGACAACAAACTGAAAACATTATAATTATCTTTGCATCTGTATTGACTAAAATTGTGGGGATGAAGCTAATATTCCGAACATATGTAGCATATAATTGCTAAAGCTATCTCTGAAGTTTGTAACACAATTCAAAACAAGTCCGGGTATAATTGAAACTATAAACTTTGGCTTGATGAATACGAACGACAGAGAAAAATATATGTTTTCCTCATATTTCTGTCTTATTGCTCTTTACCTAAGTACATTAAAATATACTTACAACACCAACAAAAAAGTACATTAAAATATTGAGATATAGTGGTGGCCATTGATACTTGTTAGGACTATGTATAATAAGAGAATGCAATCATGCCTTTTCTATGCAGAAGAAGACTTTACTCATTGAATTTTGTCAGTAGCATTAACGAATCTCTGCCTTTTCTAAGTGGAAGCAAGCTTCAACTACTAGCAGGAGCGTTAAAGAATAATCTGTCTTTCTTTTATAGACCCAACTTTACTTATCTTTTAATCCTTATTTTTTAGCTCCTTCCATATATTCCAAATGAATCACCAAATATTCTCTTCCAACAATGGGAATTAAGCTTTACTATTCTCATGTAAGCAATATTGAAATTTTGTCCAGATGGCTAAATGTTAGCTAAAGCCTCATTCCTTATTCAGAATATATGTTACAACTTCAACTGCCATTTTCTTTATAAACACCTATCTCAAGTTCTCAACCAATATTATGTTAAAATTTCAACTTGACTCTTTAATGTATAAGAACCCAGATCTCGAACTTCACCCATCTTTTCAGTTCATTAACACGAGGCCTGATTCCTGTAGAGGCTACAATCTTGCTAGTCAACTGCAGCATGCTTAGTCTCACACATCAATAGAAATCCTAGCCAACATGAGGTTTATATTTTCACTGCCCAGAGGAGCATTAGTAATAACTACCTAAAACATATCTGGAGAATATGATTGCATAGTTCGATACCTGGTTGCATACTGAAGACAAATCTGAAATCAAAATGGAGGCATTGGGGAAGGATATGCCATGAAGTAACAGAGAAGCAACTTATTCAGGTATGTTACAAATGCCCTCCATAATATCCCTCAGCCAAGTCTACTTGAACGAAGTATGCATTGCATTTAGCTCCCATATCTGAAAGTAATGAAAAGTTGCTATTATAACAACACTGGCATGAGTGAGCACCGGAAACAGAATGCATGGTGAACAGATGCACTGCAGATACGCTATATCTACAGCCAAGGAAATGCAGCATTTTCTGCAGTTTTCACCTGTGTCGTAAGGAGTCTGGAAAATAGACAATTATTCTACTGTCAAGAGAGCTCTCTTTGATAAATGACGAAAAAATGGAAAAAGAATTATGATGTTTGATGACAAGCTACAGATAAGAGATATTGAAAGCAAAAGAAGTGTCTTTCAATAAGTACATGAATTAGTGAATCATGTAAATAGAGATGATTGGAAAGTTTATAAAATGTGTATAATTAGAGATAAATCAGTGAATTCTATAATTCAGTTTAAGATATAGATAAAGTAATTTTTTTATTTGAATTATGCATAAAACTTAGTGAACTATTGAAATTATAGGGCTTTGATAGGGGAGGAGGAAAAGAAGGAAAGGAGGCTCTGAATAATATGAAATTGGATTCATTTGATGTGATGTAAAATACAAATAACTAATGCCTATGTATGCTAATAATTGGATTAAGTACTTGTGTCGTACTACTAATACAAGTCCAAGCCCACTAAAATAATAAGACTCTTTACCCTAATCAAATAAGGAAACAGATTGGAAAAGAAAATGAAATTAGGAGACAACTCCAAAGTTTGAGAACTAGTTGGTCCTGAAATATTTGCATGCTATTTTGATATTTTGTAGATATTCCAACATGAACAAGAGTCAAGTTTACACTGTCATGCCTAGTAATCAAAAAGTTCACCCATGTAAAGACTGTAGAACACAATCTTTTTAAGGGAACTGAATTCCTACTGTAGGGTTGGTAATAATCAATACCTTACAGACACAAACTTTGTTCTCTTGTCAAGCTGATGATCTGGCACGACCCCTGTTGTATCTTGGTGGGCTAGTCTTGGCAACATCTACCACTATCATCCAGCCATTGATAATCTGCAAGCAGAATAAAACCATCAAATACCGCCTAGCCTCTTTCTTTTCAAAATTATTCAACCCATGTTCTTTTTCTTTCTCTAGGACAATCGCGAAGCAGAACTGATGCAAAGCAAAATTACATTTTTCAAGCGGGAACAAAAGAAGAATCTACCTTGCCATTCATCTCTTTCAGTGCTGCACTTGCAGCCTCCTCTGTGGTGTATTCAACAAATGCATAACCCTTGGACCTTTTTGAAATTTTGTCCATAATAACTTTAACTGTCAAGCATAACCATTTATAAGTAAAAACTGGGACGAATTTGCTTCTGTCTTGAGACACTAAATATTGATGAACAAAGAAATAAGATACGAAGGTTCTACCTTCAACAAGCTCACCAAAGCCTTCAAATGCTGCACGTAAGGTTTTCTCAGATGTATAAAATGACAGCCCTGTTCAAGAGAAAAATAATTGTCAAGTAGTATAACAATGATTGATTTCTTCATAGAAATAATTGAAAAAAACTGGTTTTCTTTGACTACTTTTCCTTGTACCATGTCATAGTATTTTGAAAAGGAAGATACCTGCCAAATTACACGTATAACTTTTAGTTAAGTAGCCACCATACCACCATATGAACAGCCAGACGAACAGAGGATAAAACATGGTGTTATACCTGGAATCAATGTCAGGAGCATACCTGTTATAAAAAGTTTCTTTGTTTCCACAGAAGCTTCCTGACTTGCTTCAGAAGAGTTTGGAATTTTCAAACTATTTTCTAAGTTACTACCTGAACATATATAGTTAGTAGAAAATCAGAGAGAGAATTGCCCTGTAATAAGCGTAGGAGAATACAAAACCATGATTGTAATTGAACATCAGTGGAAATCAGATCCTCATTGAAAGAAAACTAGAATTTATCAATCATAACCTGAATTTAAGTTTTATGCCAATTTTTAACTCAGTGAGTTACCTAAGCATGCATGAAACCCGTCGATCTTATCATACATAAAACTGATCTACACCAATTTGAATTTTACATGTTATTTATCTCCCAAAAAAAAGGAAACTATTTTAAAGTATACAGACTCATCTACCCGTATGACCGGAAAGGTCACATGTTTGAGTTTAGAAAACAACTTATAAAAATGCAGGGGTAAGGATGCATACAATCAACGCTTACCATTACCCACGTAAAGTTGGAGAGCCTTGTGTATCAGGATTTGTCCTGATAGACTCATCTACCCTATGATACAATGCAGATAAAACATCTAATCTTTCCCATGCATTTATTGACAGAAAACATTTCAATACAAAAAACAACCAAGCTACATCCCACTAGGTAAGATCGGTCAAAATGACCTTTCCATATTTACCCAAAAAACCAACACAGAGACTAATGCTGATAAATTGCGATCTCTTTTCCCTCTAGATTCAATTAACTACATACATCCCCAGAATCAAATAAAACTATGATGGGTGGCCACCTATTACTAAAGTTTATACTAGGGGGTTAGGAAGGGATTAGGAGATAAGCAGGAGGGTACAGTGGGAAGTAACCCACTTGGGGGTGAACTGCACATGTAACTAACTGTCTATGTGATGCTGGAGAATGTAGGAATGCACGAGGTGCAAGGGTAGCATCTCTTGGGAGATGTAAACAATGAAGCAGAGTCACTCAGAGTGAGTTATGTTGTATATTTTGTAAAAGAGAGAATCTAGGTGGAAGCAGGACCCTCTAAGAGTCTGTTGAACTCTGTTTTTATTATTGTAATATAAATTTTCTCCTTCTGAATCAGTTTCTATCAAACTACCAGTGTCAATGGATTCAAAAATCACAACAAATGTAAAGAGTTCACCAATGAAATATAATATAAAAGGCCATTGTTCAAAAAATGCCAAATATTATCCAACAAACAAGGACCATAATCACACATACTCTGAGGATTTTTAGCGAGGCAAAATTATAATATTAGAAAGATGTTTCTAAGGGAAAAAGATTGTGGGGGAATTAATGAAATGGAAAACCTTCATAATCCTTATTTTCAGACTCAAAATTGCTATCTGGGTGAACTGATAAGACACCAGGTACACCTGCATCACAACAAGAGTTTCATTTAATGGGTAATTTATACATTGACACTGAGGTCAAGGTTCTACAAGGCTAACCAGCCAGCTCTTGTGCACAATCCTCATCAAGTTCACAACAAAACCCGAAGTTGTTTTTCCAGGAAACATGATATATACACATTTGTGCATCCTTCTCACTGCAAACATTATTGCCATGTAGTTTTAGGGAAATGAGAAATCTGATAAAGAAAGCGAAAGAAGTAGAGTTCATTGTCCTTACTTTCCCATGACTTTGGTCAAAATTTGAGCATAGTAATCGACAATCTGAGCCTTGGTAACCACCCCAACCCCAGGTTTATCCATTCTAACAAGCCAATATTTTGAATTTCCAGCAGGGAATAACATATTGCTTCTAGTTTGTGATCTTGACGGGTGGCCTGCCTGGTCACTTGATAAACTATAGTCCTTTTTCAAAGAGTTGATATCCGGATCAGGCCTAACCAATAAGACCCCAGGTAAACCTAGCAAATTGTATGCATAAGAATCAAATTCATTTAAAAAAAATAATATCAATGGCAACTTCAAACGTATATGTTTTCAGCAACTGAATATTATATTGGACAAAAACAAATGTGAAATTGTGAACAAATTATCTTATTCCGAACATCATCACATCATCAAGGAATTGGGTTAATCAGACAAGAAGATAAACAACAACTTACTGGCCAGCTGGGATGATATTTCTTCATCAATGTCACAACAAAAACCGTAGTGTGTATCCCAGGAAGCATCATATATACACATTTGAGCATCTTTCTCACTGTTGCAACCAAATTTATAGTATTTTTAAGCTAAACAAGAGACACACACAGAGAGAGAGAGAGAGAGAGAGAGTGAGAGTATGAAATAGGGGCAAAAGTAAACTCAATAGAAAAGTACCTGCCCAGAACTGTCTGTAGAGTCTTGACATAATAATCAATGACTTGTGGCTTGGAATTGACCCCATGAGGAGGGCTGTCCATGAGCACCATCCAATGGTGTTTCTGTGTTGTGGAAGTTGTGAAGGAAGGGTATGTTGTTGCTGCTTTCCTAGTAAACGACCAATTACATGAAATCGAAGAAGAAGAAAGATTGGAATGGTTCCTTTTGTTGGGTACTCTAGTGTTTATTGGAAGTTCCTGAATTTGGGTTCTCTTTGGTTTCATAAAGGAAAAGACTTGACATTTAGACACGGACACAACTTCCATGTTTGTGTCACAATCCTATGGTTTCACGGGAAAGTGAAACAAAGCTCAGTGATGAGAACAGTTATCTAATTCCAAACCTGCTCAGTGCTCAACTTGTAAACAAGGCTTCAGAGTTGAGAACCTTTTTTTCCTTCAAAACCCAATGCCTATGAGAAATATCTCCACTTCTATTATATACACACTCGCCATTTAACATTTTTACATTATTTAATAATTTAATATAAATTGATTTTTTATCTATCAACCGTTAAATTATAATTATATATTTTTAATCATTTATATCAAATATTATAAAAATTAAATAACAATAATAAAAATAATTAAACTATTATTATTTTCATATATTTCAAAAACAATATTGATTTAATGTAATATTTTATAAAAGGGAGGTTATATTTACAACTTCTTTTTGATTATAACATTCACAACTAAATCTTAATTGTTGATTTTCATCAATTTAACGGTTATAATTTATTGAATTATATTTATTAATTAATTATTAATTTCTAATAAATCATAATCGTCAAATTGACAAAAATCAATGCTTAAGATTTGATTATAAAATATTGTAAGCGAAAATAGGTTGTAAATATAATTTTTGTTTTATAAATATAATTTATATGATTTTAACTTTCATTCCAAATATGAATTTTAAGATAAAATCATCCTAAAAATTATTAAAAATATATAAGAATAACTTTAATTTGTATGAAGCGTTCCCTTTCTTATTTTTTTCATTTTAATATGACTACGTTATTAAGACTATTTATTTACCACGATATTAACTATGTTATATAAGAAGATTTTACTTAAGGGCATGTTTGGTAGGAGTTTTTTGTGTGTGTAGATATGCAGACAAATCAAATTGGTATTTTAAGTTGTCCATATTTAGTACAATTTTTAAAAAAATTCAAACAGAAAAGTGGTTTGCCCGGCATTGTTATTTGCGTAGTTATTAAACCCGGACCAACCAGGTCGGGTCGACTCGGGAACCGATAAATCGGTCATATAATCGGTCCGGTTAAAGCAACGAACCGGCCATGCATCAGAACCGGTGTGACCCGGTCCGACCCGGTCGATTTTCATAAAAACCGGTGACCGGCCCGGTCTAAAAAAAAATCCAAATTTTGTTTTTTTCAAAAAAAAAAATCATAATAGCCATATTTGAATATTTTTTTGCTTATTGACTTACATAACTTATGTACCTACAACACTAATATTATCTCAATTATGTACTATGCATAAAATTTTGAATTAATTTATAGTTAGAGTGTCGTTTTCGGAACCTAAAGCCCCGTATCACGATCATTATATTTTTGTTTGATTTTTTATTTGATAATAATATGTGATTTATTATTTTTTGTATTAAAATATTTGAAATTTTTATCATTTTTTTAGATATTTGAGTATGTTTATAATTTTTTAATATAAATTATAAAATTGCATATAATTACCGAGTCATGCGATTGAACCAGTGACCCATTGGTTGAACCAGTGACCCAGTGATCCGGTACCTCGATCGGGTCAATGACCGAGCTGATTTTAATAACATAGGTTATTTGTTTGAAAGATGTCATTAAAAACACTGTTTCAGAATACCACATCAAAGGTGGTATTTTCAGATTTGCGCATGCATTGGTATTTTGTCATTAAAAGCATTATAGGGTTACTTTCGTAATTTACACATATTTTTTCAGTAATACTTTACTTTCAATCAAACTTAGACTAGGAAACTTAAATCAATTTTTCCGGTAATATTTTGGCTTATCAAACAATTTTTTTTTAACTTTCTCACCGAACTTATTTTCCCACCATATTCTCAAGTAAAAAAATTATAATCAGATGTCAAAACACTTGACATAAGAATTTATCCAATCGAAGAATCATAACCATACAAAGGTGGATAAATGATAATAAAAGAAAAGAGAGAAATATAATATCAATTTTCGATCGATTACATAAGGAAAACAAATATCCAAAACGACATAGTTTTGAGTATTAAGACCAAGTGACATGACAAATAATTAATTCTGTAATTTGTTATGATAAATTCTCATCAACTTATAATAAAAAATGGTGGGGTTTTAAATGTACGAAAACAATAATTAATAACTAGAAATTTATCATTAAAACTAGCCCATTGGTTTGTTTTTAAAAGTTATAAATGATTAAGATCTTCTCATAACACATTAACATAAGAGATGAAATTATAAATGATTGTAGGTATTTATATTCCTCAAGATATTTCCTACATGTATATATAAAAGTGTGTGGGGAGTCATGTAAAGAGAAGAGAAAAAAAAAATATAGATCTCATATATTTTTATATACGTGTAAGAGATAAATTTATTTCCTACAGCATAAAAAACATTAAATATATATATAGGAAAATATGTTTCTCATGTTGAATAAGACAAATAATTTTTTTCATGCAACAAAAAAAAATTAATGGAACCCAAGTAGAGAAAAAAAAAAAAAGTGGGCCCTAGTGCCCTATATATATTTCCCTTAAAAAAAAAAACAAACTAGCCAGCTGACGCATCAAACTCCATCCAGCATGGGAACAAGAAGCGAAATAAAATCATCTTGAGAACTAAATAAAAGCAAAGTCTGCAAGCCAGTCACTCAGCGCACCCATTTCCTTCTTTACGAAGAGATTATTTATCGTGGTCCGGGACCACCGTTCTTTTGGTGGTTCCTTAGTGTAAATAGAAGGGTAAAAGTGAAAAAGGAAAAAAATAACAGATATAAAAAGGAAAAAAAAAATTAATGTTGTGAGAAGGAGCACCAGATTATGAGTGGTCCTAGACCATAATAAATATTTCCCTTTACGAATGTGGTGGAAGGAAGTTTGCCGCTCCTTATCGCGCCACTCCTTCTTTATGGATGCAATGCACAAGAAAGAGCCTGACTGACTCAGACGGGCTTTAAGACTATTTATTTGGAAAAAAAAAATTAAAATATTACTATTTTAATAAATAATTACGAATATATAGTTATTTTGAAACTATCTACGAATTTATTGCACTTATTCACACTCAAATTAGACGTGACTATTCACGCCCAAATTAGGCGTGACTCCTAAGGTGGTGTTTGGTTCAGTTGTTTTGCTGAGTTTCCCATCAAAGTGATTCTGGCTTTGTGTAGTGTCCATGTTTGGTTCACTGATTTGATGAAATTTACCCATCAATGTCAATTGCCTATCTATCCAGTATTGCATGTTATTTGTGTGAAAAATATTGTTCCGGAAAGCACTTTGAGAGGTGGTATTTTTCTGAAATCTCGATAAGTTTATCAAGTGGTAAAAACGGTGACCACATTACCCCTTATCAAAGTTTGCAGAAAAGGGTACATCACTCAAGATTGTGTGCATCAAAATAGGGTGGAAACCAGTATGAACCGCGTGAATGAAAAATTCCCTTGCTATTATCATCTTTGATCCAATGGCCACTGTCATTTCTCAGCTCTATGATTTTGTTTTTCCTCTTTCTAGAGATGGGTAGTACCTTGTGTTCCACAATACAAGGTAGTTTCTTGGATACCCAAAAGCCTACAGACAAGGGTTTTGGTCCCTTCAGCTATGGCCCTCCCTTCACTTCCATGCATTATGCTTTGCATGAAGATGAGGTAAGCAAATGGATGTATCTCTTTCATCCCTTGCTTGATTTTATGGCAAAAAAGAAAACTTTTTAAGAAACTTTCATCCCTTGCAGTAAGAGTCGATTTTTGTTATGTTAAGTGAGAGGTCTTTTTTTCAACTATTCGAATAATACCAGTTTGAATTGAAAGCAAAAAGAAAGAATAATACAGGGTCAGCTTCGAACGAGAGACAGAGACGACACAAGAGACAGACTAAGATGGAGCTCCATTATTTATTGCCGTTGGGACATTTGGTTTTAATACAGGGTTATTTTTGAAAGGATAATTTCGTAATTTCAAGAACTTTTCCCATCAATATTTTTTTTTCAACCAAACACACTTTCAGGATTTTCATTCAATTTTTCTGATAAAATTTTGTCCAACCAAATATCTTTTTTAAAATTTTCCTATCGAACTCACTTTTCTCGCAGATCCCTATCAATTACATTTTCCTAGTAAAAAAAAATTTAACCTGAACCAAACACCCCCTAAGGCATTCACGCCTAATTTAGGCGTGAATCATCTGGTGTTGACACGTGGCAAAATAAAGTCAACTTACGAACCGTAAAACTTTGGAAAACCATAACTTTTCACTCGGATATCTGAATGAGGTAATTCTTTTTTTTGATTCCACATAACTTTTTGAGATCTACGCAATGAAATCTCATTTGATATATTTTATCTCTCACAAACACAATTCAAATTTGCATAATTGTATTATATAGTGTATTACCCAAAAAAAATTTAAAAATTATTATTAATAAGAAAAACAAAATAAAGATTTAATTTGTGATTTAAATTCAAAAATCAATTTGAAAAATCTGTATTAATAAAGAAAATAATTAAATAAATATTCTAAACACTTGGTAGAATATTTTAAGAAAATACTACTCTCATTTTACATGAGGTAATTATCTCATGTTATCTCACTTCGAAAATTCCACCCACTCTTTTTCTTTTTTCTCTTTTATCCTTTAATGGTGGGCTCCACGTAACTTCTCTCAATAACAGGAGAGAACTACTCTCGTGTAAAATGATAGTAGCATTTCCCTATATTTTAATAATTAAATAAATAACCTTGTACACTATTTTTTTTCAAACACTTGGTAGAGGCAAAAAAAATTAAAATATTGATTTTTAATAAATAATTACGAATATGTTGCCGTTTTGAACCTAATTACGAATCTATTGGTGCAATGATAGTAGCATTCCCCTAAGTACCATCATTGGGTGTGAATGAATGAGTGCAATATATTCGTAATTAAGTTCAAAACGGCAACTTATTCGTGATTATTTATTAAAAAACCAATATTTTAATTTTTTTGGCTCTACCAAGTGTTTGAAAAAAAAAATAGTGTACAAGGTTATTTATTTAATTATTAAAATATTTACAAATTTATATAATATTCTACCAAGTGTTTAGAATATTTATTAATTATTTTCTTTATTAATACAGATTTTTCAAATTGATTTTTGAGTTTAAATCACAAATTAAATCTTTATTTTGTTTTTCTTATTAATAATAATTTTTAAATTTTTTTTTGGTAATACACTATATAATATAATATTGTAAATTTGAATTGTGTTTGTGAGAGATAAAATATATCAAATGAGATGTCATTGCGTAGATCTCGAAAAGTTATGTGGAATCAAAAAAAGAATTACCTCCTTCGGATACCCGAGTCAAAATTTATGGCTTTCCAAAGTTTTACAATTCGTAAATTGACTTTTTTTGCCACGTGTCAACACCAGATGATTCACGCCTAAATTAGGCATGAATGCCTTGGGAGTCATGCCTAATTTGGACGTGAATGACTACAATAAATTCAAAAATAGTTTCTAAACTACAACCTATTCGTAATTAATAATTAAAATAGTAATATTTTAATTTTTTTTCTTTTCCTGATTCTACCATGCTATTGCTACTTCCATTCAAATATAGACAAGTGTTTTGTTTTTTCCACGTTATTATCGTAAATATTGAAATTGAAATTTCCCTTTCTCAATGAAAAATATACGAGTGCCTAAGTCACGCCCTTGTGCTCAGGATCCACCGCAACGCTTCACCCGGTAAAGCAGGTTCTCTCTCATTCACAGCGTGAACGTGGTCTCAATCGTCTTTGGAGGCTTGTCGGAGGGCCTGATTGACTCGCCGGTACTAACATTCCTCGCCGGATTCTTAATACTGCTTAGTCTGGGTCTGGGCGCGGATAAATATTCCTAAAAATTATTAACCGAAAATAATACAAATGTATTGCCGTTATATTTTCATAAATTAAATTCATGCCGTTCACTATTTTATGCTAAAATATAAAAGGAAAAAGAAGAATAATGTTATAAGAAAGTTGTTAGATTATGTTATTGAGATAGAGATGGTAGGATACACATTTGTTTTAAAAAACAAAAAAACAAAACAAGTGTGGGTTCCACCATCCCTATTTCTATAACATCACTTACAAATTTCTTACAAGATTATATTTCTATTTCCCAAATATAAAAGTGTTTAATGATCATTTGCATTGGTTTAAGTCTTCAATATAGCTGATAACCCCATCTTTCTCTTTCTTTCATCCTTTCCCTATCTGGTTCTACATGATTGGCAAAGCATGTGTACAAACAATTGATACAATCAGTTATCACTCAGAAGCGGGGTTTCTGGGTTGCCCTCTATTATGTCATTACTCGAACAAGTATTAGGCTTTAGCAGGCAAGCTAAACAAAGAGAGATCATCTGTGCAAATTGAAAGATTTCAAAGTTAGCGGAGAGAAACAGCGCTATAGAAAGAGTGTAGAGTAGAGGAGAGGAGAGGGAAGAAAGAATTTAGAGAGCTTACCATGCATATGGATGCACATATAATGCTAAAACCTTTGCATTCAAAGGGAGCATTGCTAGATAAAAACCATGCTGAAACAAGAGTTAATTAATTATGTCGTAAGCACTTAGAACTGTCAAATGGTCTAATAAGAAGCTGGCCAAGATAGCATTCCACTCACAAGTCAATGGACTCATAGCAATAGGTGATAGCAAATCAGATATAGATTGTGCCCCAGCAATAAAGGTTTGTGCTTTTCCCTGCAATGAAGTTATAGCAAAAAATTCTAAAGAGGGCAGATCATACGAAATGTGTTAAAGATGATACCATGGAAAAAGTTATACACTATTGTGCTCTCTAGTATTCTGCTTCATATTTTTTTTCTGATTGTTATTAAATTCAGCTCGGTCATCAACTCAGTCAAGATAGGTGAACAACATAATCCATCGTTTTTTCTGTAAGATCTTATATTGGTGATTGCTATCGTCCGTACTTTGATTGCAGTTTTTCTAATTGATTGTGGAAACTATATCTTCAAAGAACCTGTGTTTATAAACATGTCATGTGACAGGAATGCGTTCTCTGGTGTTGCTTCTGGCTTGGTAAGCTTTGATCTATCACATTTGGCTAGAAAGGAATAACAGATGCTACAACGCTACCCCTCCTCTATCTGGAGATGACATTATTTCCACAGTTTGCAATGACAAGCTTATGGTTGTTTCGAATTCTACAACCGATAGTGTTAATAGAGATTTGTGCAGGAGATGACATATTAATGGGAAATTTTTTTGTTTGCTGTTTGTAGGTAGGGGATAATGCTATTTGTACAGCTTCTTCTCTGCATTCTGTGTAATGTTTTCTGTGGCTGACTTTACTGCTTTCTTGTATAGCTTTTTGATGAAATATTTAAATACTTATCGCATACATAAAAAAGGAGAGCAAACCTGATTGGTTGAGCTTGATGCTTTCGAAATAACAGCATAAGTCTGCATGAAAAAATAAAAATGATAGCAATATCAGGACCATAAAGTTGATTGTAACTATAAAAATGAGTCCTAATTTTATGAGAAAAATTGATCTAGTACTTACAGAAGGTTTGACAAGGACATAGATTGTGCCAAAAGAGGCACTCAAGTATGGTACCTGCATTGGTGAATTAAATTCAATTACTAAAAATAAGGAAATGCAGATAGTAAAATTTTCAGCAAGCCATGTGCACTGTAAATTTGTATAATGACATTGCACAAAATACATGAAGCAAGGTAGGGTAAAGAAATTAAAAACTGCAGTTATAATTTTTTATTCAAGTTATTTATAAAGCTTATTGTGGATACAGGTGACAAATCTGAAGTACAAGAGTGATAACATAAACAGTGAAATTAAAACTACTTATAGAAAGTTATCAAGTTTACGTACCCAAGGTGCCCATGCTAATCCATAAAGCCAAGCCTACATAGACATTTAATATGATTAGCATAAAGGTATCAGAAAAATTGCTTTTGAAAAGGAAGTAAAAGAACCCAATATAACTTACATATGCAATTGATGCAAGCAAGGCAGAGCATAGTATGACTTTCTCTCCAACCAATGGATTAAGTATTGGAAGCAACACCATCTGGAAGCCAACTGAGGGTAAGTACTTAGAAAAAAAGTCATAACTTATCCATAATCAACTTACCAAACATTCATAGAAGCCTGATTAAATATCAGCAATTTGTAACCAATATTAGACCATTGGAATATTACAGAATAAAAGTTTACCGGTTTCTAATTCAAGTGGAACAGCCTTGAGTTCAATGGAGCTAAAAGCAAACTGTATTTAGTTGACAATCAAAGGTACAACAACTGGGGATTCTTGGGGAGGCAGTGAGGACATGAACATAAGCTAACTTATTTGGAGCGCTAGCAAATTTCATGTGTGCATTAAGTAATAAAACACAGGTTCAAAATATTGTAAAATAATATTTAGTTTAGTCCAAATTCTCTAAACAAATCCCCCTTAATAATGCATCCTTAGCCAGAGCGGGTTAATAGACCATTCTAAAACCTTACAGCTTTGGCAAGCTATCTCACTGTCACAAACCCTTTTGCAAAAAGACTGATACTTGGACCCGAACCGGTGATCTTCCAGTCATAAGGAGCAACCTTACCGCTGATACAAGATATCTTACAATTTTAAGGATGGAGGAATTAAAGGTAGAAATTTCCTCTGGGAAATATTATACCTGAGAAAAGATTGAACCGATTCCCACCATCATCAGTAGTTCTGAGAACTGGTTTTTGTTAAAACCAAAAACAGCTTTCAAATAGTACTGCAAAGGAATTACGAGACTGTCAAGCAATGGAATTAAATAAAATAAAATTGTTAATTAAGTACAAACCCTAAAAATAAGAAGTAAAAGAAATAATAGCATGTGTCATATATAATCATAGATCTGTTGCTTTACATGTGATTTTCAACATACTATTCCAATCTCCCAAAAACATCTCTCTAAAAAGGAAAAGGAAAATAATGAATTCATTGGAGATATATCATCACATTCATAGATGCTAAGCTACAATTTCTGATGGTTTGTGATCTCGATTTTTAACAGATGATTTTGGCACATGAGTCAAGCTATAATTTCGTGCAACAAATAGATCATGGTGACACACCAAAAAGAAAGATTGAAAAAGAAAATTGACAAAATAATAGAAATATGTTACTTGATATTGTCTTCATGACAAAGTTAATTTTAGTACATACACACCAAATTTGAAGGTAAAACATATGTTAGTGTTTGACATGTGCAAGGAAAGAACAGTGGACATGAGACACTATCCGTCAAGGAATTGACTGTCCCGAGAGCTTAAGTTATTAAGAGAAAGCCAAAAAATGGTTTTATTAAAATCTCCAACAAAACCCCTCACATAAAAGCTAGCTGGTCTTGAAGTATGCACAAATCGCAGGCACACTCAACCCTTATGCTGAAATTATAATTTAAATTAAGAAAGCAGAATCAGCATGAATCACTCTCTTAACAACTTGGTAAAAACTGCTCTAACTTTTTTTTGTCAAAGAACCATCCATCCTGAAATAATTAAGCAAATGAGAGAAGGCTCGTTATGGTTAATAAAATCTCCAACACTGTCAATATGACCAGAGCCTTAGTATATGGCTTTCAAATAATGAATTAATAGCAAGGCAATAAGTTGGGGGTTCATTTAAATCAACTGAGAAGTGAGAACATACCAGCAAAATGCTGCTTATGCCAGACATTCCCAACTCATAAAAGAAGGAGACAAGAGCCATGCCCCTTAATGTGGGACTGAAAAATGAAATATATCGTAGTATTTAGGATTCATGTACACATTACATTTCACATGAGAAAAATATCAGAAAATAATTTTACAGATAAAGGTAATAATTCTTAACATCCAAAAATGAGAGGCAACCTGAAAATTACTATTTCCCCAGCTTTTCTCATAGATTTGTATCTTTGATGGAGAACATCAATAATTTTAGCGCAGCAACTTGACTCTTGATTCTTTTTTGGAGGCAGTGTCACCGTTTCAACAAGGAAGAATTGCATATAAACGGGACAAAGGATCAATAATACTATTGAAACCTGAAATCAGTGAACCATAAAAAAGATTCATTACCAAACAGGAAGTATGAAAAAGTCATGATATTATCTGAACATTAATACAGAACTCACTACACAAACATACCACAAAAATATACTTCTCTGGAAGAAATCGAGCCAGCACATTCCCCACAACATGTGAAGCAGAAAAGAGACCAGTAATCCAACTAAATACTGCTGCCCTTTTGCTTTCATTTACAACATCTGCCTGACAGAGGAAGTAGAAAGGTGTATATAAAATTCCTTACCATCTTTTGTTTATATTCAATTAATTTAGTTAAGAATCTCACCACATACGCAACAGAAATGCAGAAAATACTCCCTTGACTGATTATATATGAAATTGTGCGAAGAACATAGTAGGCATAGACAAATTCCGCAGACTGATGCATGGCAAGTAAAGCTGTAACAAGAATACAGTAAAAAGGTGAAAAGAGGAAATAAAATCCATAAGTAAAGAAACTGTCATGGAATTGGAGAAAGTCATCCCAAGTTTCGTCTATTTGCATCTTCATTTAACTCGATCTCTTTTTTAAATTCTAATTTTCTGGATAATTTATTTGTCTACCGTTGAGATTAATTAAAAGGATGAAAATGGCACTCACTTATCCTTTCTATTTGTTTTTCTGTGCATTACTATTGTTACAAATAGCATTGGTAAATGTTCAAAAAAAGGGAAAATATTCTGAATTGAAGTAATCAACATTATTAACGACAACTTGATTACTTCACATCACCAAAATATTAGATTGAGCAAAATGTTGAGTTCACATCTTATTTATGTATGTCTTTTTAATTTGAGCAGGTGAAATTGTACTTATATCGTTTGTGACCAAATCATCTGTCAATATTAAGCGCATAATAGACCACAAGAAGTTTAGAAGAATAAAATGTGAAGAAATAATTTCCAGGACTTATGCAGACCAAACTTCAGCAAAGAATATGAGATGATCTGCAATAAATGCATCTTCAGTTCAATTCGGTATCAATTTCATGAAGAGACAAAAATAGAAAAAAAAAAGAGACAGAATGGGTATAGCTCAGAATGGGTATCAATTTCATGAAGAGACACAGGGAAAGAACCTGGGTTCAATTCCAATGAAATACATCTTTGGGAGAGGGATGAGAAGCTTTAACTGACTAAGTCCCAACTCTGGATTATTCTTCTAGCCGATTTAAAGAGATAAAACTTGTGTGATAAGCAGGTTCGAGTCCCCTCAAATAGATAATAGATAATTAGGCTGGAGATAAAAAAAAAAAAAAAGGAAGTTGAAAACATAGCAGAATCAAAGAAGCGTTAACAAGTTTTGCCGTGATTTCAGTCAATGAGAAAGTAAGATAGTAAATTTTCACAAGTCTTAACGCATTTGTTCACAAAGATTCTTGAATGATCTAATGAGCATACCAAAAGGAATAATGGTCGTGGACATGGTAATAAGCAGCAAAGGTTTACGGCCATGCTCATCTGAAAGCTGACCCAGTAGCGGAAGCACCACCATTTTGAAAATTCCAACAATCTACAAAGAAAGTTACATTATTAAATATAAAATCAAATTGGTAAAAAATAAAAGAAAAAAGAAGTAGTAATTAATTATATTCCAAGTCTTGTTAGGATAGCTAGGATGATACCGTTTGCTGAAGGCCATTGATGTAAATAACTTTGGAGCAAGTTGTGTGTGAAGGGCATAAAGCAGAAGTGGTGACATCAACAAGAACAGAAACTGTCATCTCCTCAGCAACCCAATGGATGCTAAGTGGAAGCAGCAAGTGAAATAAAGGCCTCATCTCTTTGAGGCCACTCCACCACCACGACATGTTTGACGTTTGTGAAACTCAGATTCAGAGTTTGGTTTCTTTGCATCAAACGTTGTACGGTTGTACCCTTGTCCTTTGGGACATTACAGATAACAAAGTGGTTGTGTCTGAAATTGAGCATTCAGAGGTACCTATGGCTATTCTATTTGTATAGAGCACACAGCACGAGAGCCTGTGGTCATGTGGAACGAGCGTGGCAAGAACGAGGGGGCAATAGCTACACCGCGCTTGTCCACGTGCTTACCATCATTGGGGTTAAAAACTATAAGAATTAAAAAAAATATTACCAGAAAAAATAATTAAAATGTAAAAAAAAAAAAAAGAAGCTATTTTTAAAATAGGATAGTTTTACTTATGTCACAAGCATGAATATATTTTGGTACATCCGTAGAATATTCCTTTTATTTAAAATAAAAAATGAAGAATTCATATGACATTATAAATAGTTAAATACTACAAAATGGATTATTATTTTCACATGCACCAAATCTTCAATATTGGGGAATAAGAAAAATATTTTCCACGTACAAAATTTATTCTACATTGTGTCTTGTATGCTGCCACCTAAACAATTTTAAAAAAAATTATGAAAAAAATTATATTTACAAATTACACTATATCTTACTAATAAAACACTTTTAAATGAAGACATAGTATAATTTGTATATTTGTAAAAAAATAATTATCAATATAATTCAACTAAAAAAATTAAGTAGGTGTCACGTGGCAATATATGTTTGTTCATGTACATCTTATTGATCACGATCTTTTTCATGCATTACCTGCTTAGTTTTTCTTTTCTTTTCAAGCACATATATTAATGTTTTCTAATTAAATCTAATAATGAGATTAATTAAACACAATTCTTTTGTATAACTCTCGTGCAATGTTATAATTCCTTTTTTTTTAGTACCGAGTTAATGAGTCAATAGTTCAATCGATGGGTCACAGGTGGAACCATATGACCCAGATATTTGTATATAAATTTATATTTTATACTAAATTATATAATAAATATTTTAAATTGTGCAATTTAAACAATAACCCATGACAATGGATTGATTCCCACAAGCAGTAATTTTTGAAATAATCCTATTTTTATTATTTATATAATAAATATATTAATGGTAAGTATTAACAAATTTTGAAAATTTTGTACACCCATCTTAAAAATCCGATGTCTTTCTTATCATGCCGCGGAAGTTGCTTGTTTATTCGAAGATGCCGCCGATAAAGAAGGCTCTTAGATAGTGTTTGGTTGAAGGTTTATTTTAGGATTGATGGGAAAATGTAGGTGGATATTGAAAAATACCACGTTTAGTTCAGGTTTTTTCAAGAAATACTAGACAAATAGGATAGATGAGAAAATGACTTTTGTGTTGATTTTTGGATGAAATTCATTGTTACAGAATACCACTTGAGATGTGGTATTGTGAGATGACTGGGGAAGTGAAAAAACAGGTGCAAAGTTTCTCCTGAACATAGATTTTGCATATTTAAATAAATTTCCCTGGTAATATTTGGGTCAACCAAACAACTTTTTTTACATTTTCCTATCAAACTCACTTTCCAACCATTTTCCTATCAATTACATTTTCCTAGTAAAAAAAAATTTCTCCCGAACCAAACACTACCTTAAGACTCCTAGGCCGGACAAGGCGATAAGGTGATTACTGTTTACGAAATCTCAATCTTTGTTATGAAGAGTACCAAGAATTCTGGTCTCTGTTTTTCTATATATATCAGACTCAAGAGATGAGTTCTTTATATATACAATGCTATATTTTTTTTATTTTATTTTTTTGTATATAATACAATGCTATATTTTAAATGTATAACAACTAACTAAAAATATGTAACAGCTATCTAATACACAGGAAACTGACTTCTATTCCTACTTAAATACATTCGAATAAACATATCAAATACACTAACAACTTGATAAGTTCAAATCTCAACATATCATGATTCAACAATCTTCATTGTGCTTAAGCACATTCATCCCGATGTCGTGATCAAGAAGACAAAGATGCTCCTGATCTACATAGTAAGGCTCTTGTAATTTTTGAAACCGCAATGATTCATTACAGATGTGTGTACTTGGAGGCTTTTTAATTTACCGTTTCATGGTGATTTTTAAACAATTTTTTCAAAGACTATATAGAATTGTAGGATTTTAAAGACTTTTTTAAAAGATTTTTTTGTTACAATTAAGATTTTATAAGATTGGAAAGAATAATATAGACTTATAATATTTTAAAAAATCATTTGAATTTTTAACAAACATTCAAATGTGAATCTTAAGAAAGATAATCAAATAAAAAATTTATATGTATAAAATTCATTAGAACTTTGTGATATCTTTGCATGTTATTAGTGTGATGGAGCGTGTTATTCATATTTAAAATTTTCATTTCATTTCCATCAATATATTTTAAACATGATATAAACTGTATTGACGTCTTAAATTTGGAAGTGATAATGTTGTTAATAGTTGATATCATTTATTTGATTTGAAAGTTAAATATAATAAACTTTGATTTGATATAGACAGTTAATATATTCAAGTCCAAGAGCAAATTCCAACTTGTTCATAATTAAAATAAAAGATTTCAATGCAACAAAAAAAAAAAAAAAAATCAAACTCAAATAATTTTCCTTTCTACAACTTTCTAAGCATGGAGAAAGCCTCATTATGACCTACTAATAATCCCATCAAACTCGGATGAGTTGGCATACAAACTTCGCTTAATGATGGCAATTTCGGAGGAAGAGCCACTAAGGCTTTGTTTGGGAATTTGGAGGGAGGGGAAGGAAGGAGATCCAAAGGAGAGGGAGGGAAAATAAGGGAAGGAAATTGAAGGATATTAAAAAATGGTAAAGAAGAAATATTGAGGGTTAATGATATATTTTTACCATTTTACCCTTTTATTAAAATTAATATAATTATTATATTTTACAAATTAAATTAAATTTAAAATTTCTAACAAAATTATGTATGTACTTTTCACAACACCAAAAAAGATCATATTTTCGATGAAAATTTTATGTTGCAAATGATGAAAATCTCATCACAAAATTATTTTTTTCGTCAGAATACTTTTCGTCGAAGAGCGACGGAAAATGAAAATTTGTACAAAAATAAATTTTCTATCGAAATTTTCGACGAAATTTATTTTCCATCAAATGTTTTAAACAAAAAAAAGGATTCTGTCAAAATTTTGACGGAACGTTTTCCGTTCAAAATTTCGATGGAAATGTGTTCTGACGAAAATTTCAACAGAAATTGTTTTGTTAGAAATTTTGAGGAAAAATTTTTCATTCGAAACTTTCGACGAAATTTAGATTATGTAAAGAATTTTGACAGAGTATTTTTTCCGTCAAAAATTTTTGTCGAAATATTTTTTCGTAAAATTTTTTTACAGAAATATTTTCTGTCGAATTTTTTTGACAGAAATGCGTTCAGTTGAAAATTTTGATGGAAATATTTTTCAAAAAAGAAAAGGAAAGTTGATAAGAAATAAAGTTACACTTCTCTAATGAAATTAAATTATTGTTCATTATTTGTTTCATTTCATTTAGTATTTAATATTCAAACATAACGTCAGAGAGGTTTACCAGCAAGTGCAAAAAACATTTAAATTTTTTTTTTGGCAAAAAGCTTACTTTATGTAAGTTTAATTCGTCAATAAAAAAAGTAACCGTGAAATAAAATAAAATAAAAGTTAAATGGAAAAGGTGTGTTTTTATTATTTTTATCTAAACAGTTTTAATTTGTTTGAATTTTGACTCTTATATTTTATCTTTTTCAATATCAATTTATGTATTTTTATTAATATAGTTTTAGCTCTCATCTTTAAAATATTATTTACATGATGAGTTGATCCTTATAATTTGAACTTATTGAGATGTTAGTTTTTAAGAGCTAAAAATATAAATAAATAAAAACAAAAGAATTAATAATAAAAAGTTTATGTGACTTAAATTTGAATAAATAGAACCAACTAAAAAAAAATAGAAACCAAAAAAATTTAATTCTTAATTGATTTTTTAAAGGAAAGTTTAGATAAGACATAAAGCGTTACTATCCAAAAAAAAAAAAAAAGCGTTAGAAGATTACATCATTTTAAGATTTTGAAATGTTATAAGTCCCATTAAAAATATTCATAACGTGTGTATAAAGGACAAGCAACAGAATGGAATTAAAACTTTAAGTTCTTTATCATTTAGAAAAGTGATTATTGAGCATATATTTCTTCTTTCACATAAATTACATTAGTATAAGTTTGCATATATATATATATATATATATATATATATATGAAATAGGATTAATTGTAATTAAATTATAAAAAAATCATAAATATTAAATACATTTGTGTTCTGTCTTAGTGACAGGGATGTTCAGTCACTTATCAATATTGAATCTGTACCATCTCTCAGACATTTATAAGGGAGATACTTTAGAGATTAGCGGATCACTGTGCACTATAATGACGGCATAACCAAAGGGTGGAGTGTGTGCACAATAATAGCAAATAAAGAGGATTTAAAATATATGTATCTGGTAGGCTTAATCCTTTATTTATAGAGTTTACCTGTATGTAATGAAATTCTGCATTTTGGGTAGTTATTGTGAGGGCTCATATGTCCAAGTTCCTATATGTCATATTAGGATTCATAATAATTAATGTCTTTCTTTTATTTGCATTACTTTCTTTTTATATTACTTTTTTTTGGGCATTCTAGAATATGTGCCTTTTATATGGTCGTTAACAATTTGCGTAAATACATGTGTAGTTTTTTTTTTTTTTTAATAATAAGTTTAGATTAGGGAACAACATGCTCCCTTGCAAGGTGGAATTAGAGAAATTTAAATTAAGGAATACGATAACTTCAATATATACCATTCATCAAATTAAGAAGACCCAAGTGAAGTTCGACCAACAAGTGTATCATCGATGGCAGCTTTGTTTTGTCTATTAAGAGCTTATTTGATACATTTTTTTAAACTAAAGTTAAAAAAAAAATTGTTTAGTTATATAAAACTATTGTGAGAGTTTTAAAGGAGGGAAGATGAAATAATTTATTATTAAAATGAATTATTAAGGTAAAGAGTAAAATTTGTAAATACAAATTTAGAATGT